GTTGCTAATAGTCTCTCTACCCTTTTGCCCTCGAACCTATCGATCACCGACCTTCCTATAATTATCTGGTATAATAAGTGATATATTGTGGAGGAGCAGATTGCTCGGAAAGGGGGCAGACCTAGGAAAACGTAGATCAAGGACCATGGATTCTTCCTTGTTAAGCTAGGCCTTGCTAGACCTACTTCTACCTTCTGGTGTTATCGATGATATGACGAGAAGGGGAGGCCAGAGTTCTACTTAGCTGCTACTTTTTCTTCCGCTATAGACCACCTTCGTAGGTATATATATCCTCCTATTGATTACATCCTCTTGTTAATGACCATGGCTAATACGTATAGATGCCACTACGTTACATAATGGGACCTATTATTTGGCGAGTTAAGTATAGAAGAGACTCTTTATAGGTCTGAGAACCTCTCTACTAGTCGGAAGAAGAGGAAGGTCTCCAGTATACCTAAGGCGAAGATCGGTACCATCAGGGATCTCTGCCTCTCGATTATCATCATCAATGACCTCTCCTTTTGCCACTTCCAAGACGACTTTGTCCAACACCTCCTACGATTCCACGATTCATCCCTAGTTAACCAAGTACCTTGGGGTAGGACTGCGATGATAGATCATCTTCCTATCCTCTTCGCAAGGGGTCAGACCTACGTCAAGGCTAAGCTTCATAACGCCCTCACGAGAATCCATATTGGATTCGATCTATGGACATCACCTAATAACTATGCCTACCTTATAGTTACTACCCACTTCCTCAACAACCTCGGTCAACAGCAGTCTCGCCTTATCGCCTTTAACCATATAATTAGCGACCACAGTGGTCTCAACCTCTCGAATAACATTTACAAAACTCTTTAATAATGGGAGATCACCGGCTAAGTAGGTACTGTTATTGTCGGAACGGCAAGGCTGATAAGGAGCAATGGGCAGGTATCGTGGGCTGGCTGGCGCCTGCCCTAGGCGAAGTGGGACAACTGGCTTAGTCACCACGGCCGGTTAAGGTGGGGCAACCACCCAGGCCGTCACCACCTACTTCGACCGACCCCTGCCCACAATGTAAATAGGAAGAAGAACAACAACAGCAATTATCACGGACATCGTGTTACGAGCTGGACAAGGCAACCAACTGTGGCACAAAGCAAAAGCTTCGATAATGATGACTCCGGCATCATTGTCCCTTGTTCTGCATTATATAGCTACGCGCCCACAGTGACAAGTTGCGGCGGGCGTAACACATCGACGTGATTGTTGCCGAAGATACACCCTCATGAGGAAATGTATCACGCCTGTGATACCAACAATACCAACAGTTATATATAATAATGCTAGCAATAACGATACCTAGTTATATCTCTTTCTTATTTAATAGACTCTACCCCTCTATAACTTACAGCGATTATTAGGCTAGGAGAATAAGGTATTATAGCCATATCCTTAATGTTACGAGCTGGACAAGGCAACCAACTGTGGCACAAAGCAAAAGCTTCGATAATGATGACTCCGGCATCATTGTTGTTACGAGCTGGACAAGGCAACCAACTGTGGCACAAAGCAAAAGCTTCGATAATGATGACTCCGGTCATCATTGTCCCTTGTTCTGCATATATAGCTACGCGCCCACAGTGACAAGTTGCGGCGGGCGTAACAATTGTCCCTTGTTCTGCATTATATAGCTACGCGCCCACAGTGACAGGTTGCGGCGGGCGTAACACTTAACCTAGTAATATAAACCCTTCTTTTTAATACGGATCGTAAGATATTCGAGGCTAAATTACAGTTTTATTAAATTATTAATTATAAAGAGGAAGATCTTAGGCTCTAAAGGAAGACTAGACTTATTAATGAGCTTTGAAATATTGACACAGTCTCTCTGACAGAGCCGTCTCTGACAGAGGGGGTAGGACTGTGGCCTGACCGTGTAGGTACGGGCAGGAGAGTGCGAAATGAGCAAAGCGATTGAAGCACGCGCAGAAGAGCAAGCGAAAGAGCAAAGCGAAAGAGCAAGTGAACGTCAATGGTAGGTCATGGGTGATGTGTGTCTTCAAGGTTGACCCCCTTATGTGGAGGGTCACGGTCAGACCGTCTTAAGTACAGAGGCCACGCTTATCACGTGACCGTAGCACCAAGTGTGCTGATAGGAAATGTCACAAATATCGTAAAGTTTATCAAAGCTTTACCCCAACGATCCGAGCGATTTAAGAAAGTATCCTATAAGGTTGATGCTAGGTTAGATTTTGAGCTCTTTACTTAGGGCTCTCGAGAGACTCACCTCCTCTCTAATAACGAGACGAGGTGGAATTCTATATACCTTATGATTAATCGAGCTCTTTAAAAGAAGGCGGAAATTGAGACCTACGTCAACTGGGTTCATGATGAGGATGATATTATAAAGAGGATTCTTGACGATGACCCCCTTTCCCTAGAGGACTAGAAGGTCCTTGCCGAGGTCAGGTCTATCCTCGAGCCTTTCTACCTATAGACGAAGAGAATAGAGGGCTAGGGTAAGGCGGATAGTCATAGTCGTCTCTAAGAGGTGATGATTAGTATAGAGTACCTCCTCGAGTATTTTGAAGAGTAGAAGGCTCTATATAACTTTATGATCTATCCTGCTGTCCCTCCTACTCGAGAAGTCTCTCTGGAGATTGACTTGACCTCTAAGGAAGACTTCTAACCTTCTCAGACTCGCTCAGGGCACCCCCTTCGCCCAGTAGTAAATAGTTATTGCCAGCCTTATCAAGCATCCTTTCTCCCCCAATATGTGAGGGAGGATTGGAGGTAACGTACTACTCGATTCAGAGGCCTCTTTCCTATGTACCAGGAGCACCTTCGTACCTCTGTTGAGCTGGCCTGGCAGAAGCTCTCCTCCTACTATACAAAGTTATGGGAGTCTCCTCTGTTCCCTGCATCTGTGATTCTTTACCCCTCACTTAGTATCTCTTACTTTAAAGTAGTCTGGGATGAAGGAGTCTAGCTTGAGTGGGTTCGTGATGCGAAAAAGGGGCTTAGGGACTACTTTGACCGTTGGTATAGGTTAGAGAATGCTCCTAATAATGCCGTAGTTACTCTAGAGATCATATTACCCCCCTATGAAGATAGTCACTTTAGATAATAGGTATAGAGCAGGCGAGGTCGCGAGGCTCCTCGGCAATAGGATGAGCTTGAGACTTACCTCCGGCTGCCTCCTTAATCTATCGACGACCCTGTGAAGTGGTGGAAGGATTACTAGTTAACCTACCCCTTTCTTAGCAAGCTTACCCTTGATGTATTTTCCATCCCTGCCATGGCTGCTAACTGCGAGAGAGCTTTTAGTACTGTAAAGCTAACCCTGACGTCTCAACGGCACTTAATATAGCCTCAGATAATGGGCTAGTTACAGCTGACGAAGAACTGGCTGAAGGGGAAGATCCTGCCTGTTGGGGGAGACGTTGGATTATTTGTACTAGGATCGTGATACTAGTATAAATAGCTTTACTTATTACCTAATCGGGTAACATAATAGTGATAAGAAGGGTTACGTGCCCTCACATTTGGCTTAGTTGATTGGCCAATTACTCAACGTAACCAATCCTGGGGAAAAAGTGGTCAAATTAGTCAAATCGAGGCTCGATTGGATTTATTGGAACGAGCGGCAGCGCTGGCAACACGTAGGCCGAGACGAGTCACGACATGGAGTACCAAATGGTGCGAGGTGCCTTCTCTCTGTCATATTTGATGACCATTTGATTATTTCCATATCGGCAAGTACTGGACTGACTCTAATACAAGTGCAGATTCGAGACAAAGATGCATGTCGTACCTTATCGAAAGTTTTGCAAATTGGTACCTGTTGGTATCCCTATCACAGGGAAGTTGGTTCGAACCGTAGGGTCCTGGGGGTGACGAAGTATCAATATCTCTGTATTGATTGATTCTGCGTAATGCGTAAAAGGGAGATTCCAACCGTAGGTTGGTTGGGTAGTCGCGGTCTAATTGTACCACCTCGAGTGGCCCATGCTCTTGCCCTTATCCGCGGTCGAATTGGACTTCCAATCCGACAGTACCTTATGCTTCGACTTGAGGGTGGAAACCAACACTGGCTTACATCTACCAACCCTTCGAGATGAAATCATGGTAGAGTCATCACGCAATCTTGAACCACTGACTAAACGCCCCTGAAGGATCGAACTTCTTCTTCAAAGTCTTGAGTCTATCCAAGCTTGAACCATAGATGGCTTGCAGCTCCCCATCCCGTGAGCAAATTTAATGTACCTGAGTCCTCATTAGTTCCCTGTAACTATATCAGACCATTGTTCAACTCACGTCGGATTCACGGTGGCACTCGAAGAGAAGATGAGGTTCTCTATGTTGGTCTGCACCATGATCTATCAAAGGGGGGAAGAGGAGAGAGGGGAAAGTCCTCTCTTCAGTCCATGTCTAATGTAACCGTCGTATCTCGGAGCTTGCGGCCACTAACGGGCGGACTTCTGGGCGAATATTACTATCCAGCCATCGTACGATAAGGGCGATAGAAGTCCATTACAGAAAACGACGCAAACGATCCCATCTTTGGCAAGAGATTACGGAATCCCGACCACGACATGGTGATGTCCGGTCACCCTGGCATTGCAGGTGGAGCTAGTTGCCGGGTTCGACCTTGTTTTGCGGGACATACGATATCCAACGGGCCCGCTGCACCGATTGCCGAAAGAGAAAACCCCCGTCGGCAAGAAAATCATCCCCTCTCTGGCCCCGCCGACCCGTACTGCGGAGGCTGTGGATGAAGAGGTTATTTGGACATCTGAAGCACACCAAGAACTATGCATTTGTTAGGCCCGTCAAATCTAATAAAATGGCTAGGTAACAAAGTCTGACTCAGTTTCGGTGTCTCGGTCGCAGTCAGCAATATCGCAGGAGAGGTATCATCAAAGAAAGACCAAGAATCGGTCTCAATAGAAGCACTAAGAAATGTCAAAAGTCAACGCTCATAGGAATATCTCTCAAACCAATTCCCCTCCTCATAGTCCGACACCATTAGCTCTTAAGTTAGCGGTACTTGAACTGTCCGCAGGCTCAATCGTCTGGTGGATCGTTGTCTCTCTGAGAATATCTCGTCCTTCGGGGGATCCTGAGCGTGTCTTGTCATCGTTTCGAATCATTTCCAATTCATCCAGCTCTTCGTATGGTGTTCTCAGCGTTCTAATACTGTTCTTTCCTCCAATGCGTCGTGATGATCCGTACTCGTAGGAATCGTTTCCTGTTGTAATGGGCTTAGGGAAGAAATGCACCCAAATAGGCCGCAGTGTTGGGAGACAGGCGCAAACAATAGCCAGCGATAGTTCAATGTTGGTCCAGAAGAAGACAGGGGCGGTGTAGTCTTCATGCAAGAGTTAGGAAGAAACTCGCAGTTGTGAGCAAATCTGATTTGACTTACAGATGACGTCGTTAGGGTGCTTGACATATTCTTCCGCGATAGCGAATGTAGCTACCACTCTCGTGACACTCACAGCACACACACTGCAGTCTCGTCAGCAGCTTCTTTCTTCTCATATGACATTTAAATTCTTACGCAGCGCCAAGTCCCAACATTGCGATCACTGCAAGCTTCTTCCTAAGGGGCATCTGTACTTTGAGAACCCTCGCGACTGGTAGCACGAGGATGACAAAGTCGGCGATGACGTCGGTAAAGAGAAGCGCGAGAAACATTGGTACCGTCTGAACGCACGAGTTGCCATAGTAGGGCTCGATGAACACCGTGATTGGGAAGCAAGTAAAGAGATGGGAAAAGAAGAAGCTGACAGTCCATCCAATCACAAAGGCAAGGACACCAAAGACGACGTAGCGGAACCTCTGGCTTGGGAAGAGGGTGTAATACAACACGAGGATGGATGATTTGACCAGTCCCAAGCCGAGAATAGAAATCATGTTGAGCGCAAACTTTGTCTGATGTGTGAAAAGCTTATCAGCTGGGCGCAAATTGTGACGCGGGTGCGTTGGAAAGTCAAGCTCACCTCTTCGAAGAAGATCAACCCTGGATCGTCCATGATGGGGGAGCCGTCGGGGAATGTGGGCTGATGCTGTCCCAAGTGACCGTGAATTGCAGCTGTTCCTCATGTCAGAGCCACCTGATAGGTGATCATCGGAAGTTAAGACCTACTAGCCAGTTGGAGAGTACAGCAGGTGATAGATACCAGCTATCGAAAGTAAGCACCGATCAGCATATTCTTTGGCTTCAAGCCCCATCTTTAGACTTACGAGCGCTGCTCCGGTCAGGTAATCGTCCCATGCGAATCGTTTGACAAGTAGCTTCGCCCAGACGCGAAGCCCATAGAACACGATGGGAATGATCATGAATCCGATGGCCAGACCGATCATCTGGCCCTTGGTGTAGTCATGGTTCATCGTCACCATGTTGGGCAGCTTGAGGCTGTGTGCCAAGTGATGAAATCACAAACTTCCGCCGAATCTTGATCGCCGCCGTAAGATGATCTGGAAGAGTAAAGGCTGCAAGCAGGGAGCGTGTTTGACCTGAACAGCAGACAATCCACAGGCGGAAATGTCACTGGAGATGTCGTGAGATATGTATCATAACGATCTGAGGCGGCATCCTGTCCATGATGATAACAAGAAGATGTACGGAGTACTGTGACAAGTGCAGATTGTCACAGTCGTCTTCTCGCGAGAGATCCTTTCCCTTCCATCCAGTGCTGGCGTAGCATGTGGCATTTACCGCGTCGCAGTGGCAGTAGCACTACCATGATAAAACAGGATAGCATTCAAAGCGCTCAGGGCAAGGCCGCAGGTGGTAAGAAGTTATCTGCCACTGATAAAACTCAAGGTTCTCCCAGGCGGGAGCGCGTCCTTGATCACAGCAAGAACTGGTTATCATGCCCTGTGTTTCGGACGCCCCGAGTCAGGTTCCTTGTCCCCCGTTGCCCCGATGAGCGTGGCTAGAGGCCGTGACGTTGCAATGCGAACTGATTAAGCCCCACTCGTTCCCTTGTCCAGAGGCACGGCGAGTGACAGAAAACCGTGATCCCCCGCCGCCGTACCGGGGGTTGAAATACCGTGAACTCTAATAACCCTCCTTTCGGGCTACGGTTCCTGAACTGGTCACAGCTACGAGCAGAACATTTGCCTATGATTTTCCGTTTGCCGCCGGACGAGATGAGACTCGGTGATTTAGACTTCTGCGACTTGGGATGACCGATAGTCAAAATGACACTGGTTCCGGAGCCATGGTTATCAGGTTGGACGTTCGTAATGGTTTGGTCACAGAAACAGGCGAGCCTCTTGACCTAGAACGATCAGGGCGCCAGTACCAACAAAAATCTTTTCCGCGATCCGCGGGTTGTTGCATTTTACAGCATTTGTCAAATGATCTTTAGTAATAGCGCAAATATGCTATGTGTGCAGAGGTACGGGGTACGGAGTATATATCTCGTAATGATCCCCCTTTCTACCCCTGGCATGGCGCACGCACCTTGATACCTACCTGCACAGCTGCAGCCTGCATACCCCCACGGAATAATTCGAGAGGCTTCGGGGGGAACTATGCATTGGTGCGTCGTAAGGGAAGGGAAGACTTATGAAACTTTGTCGGCCGAGTCTTGAACCAGTAGCAGTCAAATGGGGGTTGGCCTGATTTGCGTTCTTGTTGCACGAATGGGATGGAGGCTAGGCGAACTAATACCGCAGGTACCAGACTCCCTGCTTGGGCCGCAAGAAAGTTCAGGTGGTCACTAAAGCACCGTCCGGCGTCACTCTCTCGACGGTTACCGCGCTGATATGATGCCGATAAGCGCGATCCCAGCAGATGGTGTCGCCCGCGGTCGTCTTTCTTTTGAAGAAAGCTTATTCATTTATGGTAAGCCTGATGTGAGGGTAAAAGAAGCTAAGCTGTATGGAGTCAGAGCCTGAGAACCAGACGGACATGTACGCGTTGCCGTTGAGTGTCCCCAGGCCAATTCTCTTCTTGGTTGAAAACTTTGGTATTGATTGACTATTCGTACTCCGTAGAGCATGAAGTTCTCGGAAGCTCAGAGCTTGGCCTGTCGCAGCCATTGACTGGTCACCGGATTGATACCGTCTGGCCATGGTGTGGAGAATGGAGCCCTTCCCAGTGGCGATCTTCTCTATCTCCTCGATATGGCCTCAGCTGTACTGCAGTCACCCCTTTTTCACTTGGCTAGTATCCGTATCCGTACAAGTCGTCACTTCGGAGATTAGGGCATGGGTGTTCGACATGCTGGCTTGGATCTTGCATCAGCAGCGGTGAGTAAAACTCATCCGATCGGGGGCTAGTTGATCCGGACACGATCTCAAATACTCACTGCGACCCTAGTGCCTCTGTGAACCAAGCTCTTTGCATCACAACGTTTCTTGAAAATCTGAAGAAAGCCAGTCACCATATGCGCCAACGCAGCCCCGCAATGAGTTGGAAACCAACTATAGCCGATGACATGCCTATCGTATCTATGGGGCATACTTCTCATCTGTTGTCAAGTTGATCTTCTAGAGCACAACTGCCTTAGGACGCATATGTTGAACAGAGCTCGAGAGAAAATGAACAGCCAGCGTAAATGCTCAATCTTGCGTGATCCTGGCTTGGAGGATTTGGTGCATCGCAAAGCGTAAGAAGGCCGACTTGTCATTATCAATCAAGATTCAAGATAAACTCGCAAGTGGATACTACCTGGATCATACGAGGGGGCGAAATCAGGTTACAATGTCGCAGGCAGTGAGGCAGAACGTGAATCTCATTTCAGTAATACGGGGCTCGTACTGAGCATGCGGGCGGTACTCAGTTTTGCTTCAAACGCCCATGAAGCTGTTGCCAATATGTGATAAGAAACCTGTTGGATCTACGGATACTGGCTACATGTTCATTTTGGTTGCCATTGAGGAATGAACTTTCTTGCTCCTACTGATGCTTCAGTGACGAAGACGATGCTCGGGTTATTCGCAATTCCCAAGACACTATTGGTAACGGTACCTCGGTATCCAATAGGATTGTAGTCAAGAGCCCAGACTTGGACTCTTGGGGGCTCATTATGGATGCCTTTGTACCAGCCAATATGTGTGGATACCAAAGGAATCGAGTTGTTTCTTTGTGGATTTTCCGGGGGGTTTGAAAGTGGATTAGGAATGATTGGATCGACTCGGCGGAATAGGCCCAATTAATTGCCTGGGTGGTACCGTAATGGGACAACTCCTTACCCGACCTAAGGCGATAACATCTTGTCTTTGGCCATTCACCCAAGTACCTACCTAATTACTTAACTTAGAACAGCATGATAGGTAGGTTTGATTAAATTTGCGGACAAGCGATGTGCCTACTTTATTCTAACGGCGTTATTTGGCGGGCGCACGATGCAGAATGACAGTCACACCCTTGTTGCTAGCCGAGAACCGATCATCACCTGCACCTGATCTGCTCAGTTCAACTCCACCTCAGTGGATCGCGGCGTTGTGGCAGAGTGGTCTAATGCGCAAGACTAGAAATCTTGTTCCTTCGGGAGCGTCTGTTCGAATCAGGCCAACGTCGAGTTACCAGTAGTCTTTTGCTCAAGAGAGTGCGAGTGGTTTGCGGTTTCGCTCCTAGCCTCTTTGCTTGAGCAGGTAATTTTGATGTGTGATGTTGAAACTGTTTTTACCTCTCCTCTCTCTTTCTTTCACCGCACCGGACTTCCTCCCAGCCTTAGTCAAAATCTTTTGGATCCCGTGAGGTCCCGGAGACTTCAAGCATCTTTTGACCTTTTGTTGGTAGCATTTCTTGAGTCCTCAAAAGTGCCTGTGAACACTTATTTTCCCATGCAATGGCTGCATAGCTGTTCCGGGGTTGGTGTTCGCATTTGGCCGGATATCCGGCGAGAACTAAGCGCTTACACCTAATTGGCTTGATTGCCTATCAACAATGATGCGGACCCTACCAAAACACGAAGCAGCTTTCTGGGAGCTCGACTTGCGACCAATCTCAGAATCTCTGGCTGCAGATTTTCTCCATTTTAATGCATCTGTGAGGCACGGCACCAACGAGGAGGAACAAATACGTCTGCAGCAAACATGCCAAGTTCGCTAAACCAAAAGAGAGAACGACGAACGATGGAGGGGTAATTACAAAAAGGCAGGACAATCGCCCGGCTCCCCGACAGATGAACTGTGAACACTGCCCATCATCCAGTCTACTTAATCGGCTTCAACTCGACAGCCCTGTGACTTCGGTCTTCGACGCCTAGGCGGCCAGTATATACATTATTTCGACCTGAACATCCCCGATCCGCCTTAAATGACTGAGACGACGAACAGCCAGAGTCAAGCCACGGAGACACCAGCTGCACCAGCCGCGACGATGCCAACTGTACAAGCCGCATCGCCCCCAGTCCAAGATCAAGCAAGCCCGCCTACTAGCCCGCCAGCTGATACGCCACAAGTTGCCAGCGATGTGACTGTTGAGGCAGATGAAGGAGAGACCGTAAGTCAAGTCTAAGCACTCACCATGATCGTCTCCACTGTGAACATTTGTTAATAATAAATCAGACTGACAGTGCGTCAACCATTGATGAGCGGATGTAAGCTTTCGAAATACGTTCACTTGGTGAAACAGATGACTGACTTGGGCCTCACCCACAGCTCCAATTATACTGCCTCTCTATCTTCAAGTGTCGTTGATTATCCTATGGAGTACGGCCGACGATACCATGCCTTCCGGCCTGGATGTATGTTATGCCGAATTTGGATTTTTGCGAATCATATTAGCTAATCTATGTAGCCTATATCATGCCGAACGATGAAGTAGAGATGGAAAGACTTGACATGACGCATGCCATGATGGTCAAGGCAATCAAGAATAGGTTGTTTCTTGCCCCGCTCGAGAAAGAAAAGATTCAGCAAATTCTTGATGTTGGCACTGGCACTGGCATCTGTAAGAGCTCAGCCTGAATTCTTTCCTTCATCCTCGGCGCTCTCTCGCATGGCTAACAGACCTTTATGTAGGGGCTGTGGAGATTGGCGACATCTTTGAGAACGCCGAGGTTATTGGCATTGATCTTAGCGCTATCCAGCCGTCCTGGTAAGTTCATGACCACCTTTCCGAGCATATTTCGACCTTCTTGTTGCTAACATTATTTCCAGGGTTCCTGTGAATGTAAGATTCGAAATTGATGATGTTGAAAGCCCATGGCTTCATCAAACAAAATACGACTTCATCTTCTGTCGGTTCATGGCCGCTTCCATAGCGGACTGGCCGAAGTTAGTCAAGAACATTTACGAGTAAGTTGATATTTCCCCCAACCTCTTCTGAGAAGCCCTTTCCTTTTTGCACTCGCCACATGTGGAATTAGACTAATGCATATTGAAAGTCACTTGAACCCGGGAGGTTGGGCCGAGTTCCACGAGATGGACCCCGAGATTTACTCGGATGATGGCACATACACTGAAAAGCATGCCACCTGGCCCTGGAATCAGACTTTCTTGAAGACAATGAGGAGCATCGGGCGGGAACCCTCTCCTGGTCCGAGGCTTGAAGGTTGGGTGACGGACACTGGCTTTGAAAACATTTTCCACCAGCGTTTCAAAGCCCCCCTCGGCCCCTGGCCCAAGGAGCCACATTATAAGGACTTGGGTATGCTCAACTTGGCCCAAATGCTCGAAGGTCTGGAAGGATTCACTCTCAGAGTCTTTTGTGGCGTCCTCGGCAGAACCAAGGAAGAGGTGCTAGTTGAGACTGCGGAGGTTCGCAAGGAGATGAAGGAAGGTGCCTACCATGGCATTTATGACCTGTGAGTGATAATTCCGACAAATGATTGAGTTTCGAGCAGTTACTGACGGTCTGCAAGCCATGTGGTTTACGGACAGAAGCCTCTAGCAGAGGCACCCTCATCCTCGACGCTCTGGGTAGATCATGCTTAGACTAAGTAGTAAGGTAGTCTCCCATTGTACTTTGGCGCACTAACAGCGGGCCGAAACTAGATGTGTTTGAATGCGATTCGGGGGTCATTTAGGTGTCATGTGCAATTATATCGTAGCCTGCTAGATGAACCTACTTCATGCCAATGTATCGATGTTGAGGTTGTGTTGCACAGTTCCATGGACTTTTGTTCGTATGGATACACTTTGCTAGCAAGTTTCTCTAAAATTGCTTCAGCATCAAATTTATAATCATTTCTCTATCGTGTTCAAACGTTCGCGTTCCGAAAGAAATGTTGCCAATACCGATCAGAGACAGCGCTGATCAGAGAGCAGCCGGTCATGGATCGATCTCAGTGACAGCATCGATCTCTACTAAGGTACTACGAGGCCACGCATGAAAAGATAGCTCATCTGCTCTTAGACCGCGAGACTGCCAACTCCAGTTTAAGTAGAAGAAGAAGAAAACATCAGCCAGGATTCTCATGGTTTTCTGGTGGTTCCACAGATATGTACAATCGACGTCCCCCATCCAGACATAGAGATTGCTGACTTAGTCAATCTCAACCGCGTGTCACAAGGACAATTCAGTTCTAACTTAGCAAATGTCTTTGCCAAAGTCCTGATATTCATGCAACGAAGTTCAGCAACCATGAGTCTCAACAAGCCAGCTGCATTGCCTTCCAGTGGAGTACAAGTATTGCTAGAAAACTTGAGATACACTTGAACAACGAGATAGAGTTGAGGAGGCTATAAGTCTACCTTATCAAAGAAACAAGCTAAGAATAATTTAATTGCAAAACGACTTATTCGAAAACTTGGGACGATATGGTCTTCACAAACTTCTCAACAAACTGGGATACTCTCGAAGGACGGGTTGCTTCCATCGAAAGAAGACAATCAAGGTCTTCATCCAATCAGCCATCAAGTTGTCCAAGTCTGTAACAAAAACCTGAGCAAGCAAGATAGTGATAGGTTACTGAAGTCTACATTCTCTGATTGTTTGACCTGACTACCTTACCTTACGAATGGATTGCATATTCGGAAGAAGCATGGCAGCAAGACTGACGTCTCCAATTGTACGTGTTACTGATGTTGACAAACGATGTAGACTACGAGAGGTGAATGCTAGTAAATACGAGGCATAACTTCCGTCTGATCAAGCTACAGGTGCAGCCGGTGCTTGTTCATCGGACTCTTCCGGCTTACGACCGTAGACAACATGCCTGTTGAGCTTTGTTAGCTGTGACAGTCCTACCAGTACTAAAGACGAGGGTTAAGAGCTTCGATCGCCAGGAATTTACTCACAATGTAAAGTACGTCTGAAGTTTGAGGTCTCTCAACGCCTTGCGCATCTCGCTCATGAAAACAAGAATTTCCACATCCTCCCATCCCATCATTTGTCGTAGAAGGAAAGTTCCAAAACCTTCTAGAGACTGATCGATGTACTGCAGGTTGACAGCCCCGACTTCTTTGAGCTTGGGGTCTGAAGCCCACCCTCCAATAGGAATCGGCCAGCTTTTCTCCACGATATCAACGAATCCAGCGTTTCTCATGCCGTTCGCAATGCCGTGATCTCGAGTCTGTTTCCCGGTCTTTCCAAGCTTGTCCAGGGACTCGAACATAATCTTCGCCCACCTTCTGTACACGTGATCATGGGGCAGATCTTCGCCAAGTGTCTGAGAGTAGTCTTCAAGGTCTAGCTCATTTACCTCGATATACCCGCCAGGTATGAGATGCTCAAATGCTTGAGAGTAGAGCTTCGGCCAATCAGAAACACATCCTTCCAGATGTCGAATATGAATGTAATCAAAGAATTCAGTAGGCCATGTCCACTCCGCCTCAATGTCGTCGATTTGGAATTTGCAATTGGGCGGAACCCAACTCGGTTGGATAGGTGAAATGTCGACACCGGTAACTTCTGCCGATGGAAATTCGTCGGCAAAGTCGCTGATTAGAACTTGTGAGACTGGTGTCTAACTTTTCTCTTGGTTCAAGAGCGAAGATTGATACAAAAAATGGAAAGATGTAAACTCACATAGCCCAAATACCCGTTCCGGTACCAATGTCGAGAACTTTCTGTATATAGTTCCAGCGGTTCATTCGTATCAGGAACCTGCATGCCAACTAACCTGAGGGCTGTCCCCTATAGGCGCCAAGAACAGCTTATCGTCAAAGAAGACGCATTCCCAATAATGGCTTGAAACAAGTAAGTACTAATCAGTAGCGTATTTAATTTTGGGAACAAAATGGCACGCTTTCTATCGTGGAGAGTGTGTGTCATGGAAACGAATGGTGTTTACGTACGCAAGATCGAGCCCTTCATTCTGCTTCTCGTCGTTTGGCCCCCAGTAGTCAACCTTTTGCGTGTAGGTACGCCCAAGGATGCGTCGGTACTCCGTGATGCTTTCGGTCAATGAAGCCGTCGAGGACGTGTGGATGCTATTCCTCGAGTCAGCTTTTATTACTCGGCATGTGTTCTGTCAGGACTCGCCTCTCCGTCTCCGCTTCAGTCAAGTCCTCATCGTAGGCCGGGTCCTGTTATAAAAGGGTTAGCGGCCCGAAGTTCTTGGTTTCACCAGAGCTATGTAAACATCAAGAACACGGCGATTCAACTCACAGCCGCGATTGGGCCTGCCTCGGTTCCATTTGCGTTGGCAGCAGGTGAGCTCGCTGCCGCTGGTGGCGATGAACCTTTCGCGGACAGACTCATTGCAGCCGGTGTTGACACGGAGACCTGCGGCTCCGCGCTCTCAGTTGATGCCATGTTGATCCTCGTAAAGTTTTCGTGTAAAATAATGAGATCTGTCAGTGGGCAGGATTTCAAAATAAACGGCAATCATCCAGAGTTTGTGAGGTTCAAGACACGAAACTAGGCTTAAGCCCTCTTTTCAACGACTTTTCTTTTTCTTCTGTTGGTTCTGCGACATGGATGCTCATCTTGCATCCGAACACGCGTTCGGTTGGTCTGTTGGTGGCTGCAAACCTGGGCCGGAGCCGCCAAGTATTCTAGCGAGAGCCCTTCTCCCCGGACGAATAGAAGAATCATTTTCCCAATATCCGATAGCGATTCTTCCACATCGTCCACTGATCTGACCGCTATTCATTTTCCCCCGTGTCGCACAGAGTAGGAACTTATTACTCACTCGGCGGGTCACCTCCTACTTATATAGAGTGATAGACGTTAGGTGTCTCTCAATCCATGATCTGTGGAACATGCAGTATCACGTTGGTGTAATGTATCTTGACCCGGAATCCACAGGTACCAGCTGAGTCGCTTGCAAAGACCCACCATCTTCCTCCCTTGACACAAACGGTCTGATATGCGCTTTGAGAAAAGCTTTACCTGCTTCATCTTGCTGGTTGTCACTGATTCTGTGTTGCCTGCACAGGCCCAATTTAACATTTGTTCCTTCCTGCCTTGGTGGAATGCGGTCTCCGTTTTCGTCGAATAACTATCGACACTGAATGGTTTGGATGGTGGTTCTATAACTTTTGGTCCTCAGTTCTAACGAGACTGACTTGATTCTGGAAAGACCCTCGCCGTTTCTCGAGTTCAGTTCGGCAGTCTATCACTTCCCTACTTACCCAGACACATTTGCCGGTCCCATCTTCCTAACACATTAGGAACCGACAGAGCTAAAGAGACCTCGAAAAGATTGTGTGTTTGTATGCGTGTATTGTTGGGCGACAACTAATTCCAACCACCTTGCTCCCTCACAGCCGCAAAGTTGACTCGTAAGGACCTATGGCTTCTTCGCATGACAACATGCCTAGCAGTTGATATGTTAGTTGGGTTAAGGTTAACCTTATGTTGGCTGCAGGGAATTGATGGGGCACCGCAATGTGACGTACAGCTTGATGTAGGATTGAAGCTTTAGGTCCCTGATGGCCTTCCGCATCTCGCTCATGAACACCACGATCTCAGCGTATCCCCATCCCATTACCTCTTTCAGAAGAAATGTACCAAAGCCTTCAAGCGATTGATCAAGATACTGGAGATGACACTTACCCACTTCTTTGAGAGTCGGATCTTTCGGCCAAGCACCGATAGGCGCAGCCCACTGCTGCTCGACGACGTCGACAAAGCCGGCGGCTTCCAGACCTCTGGCGATACCATGGTTGCGGCTTTGGGTTCCTGTCTTTCCCAGCCGGTCCATGGCCTCCAGCATCACTTTACCCCATCTCTTGTAGACGTGATCTTCGTTCAGTTCAGCAAGCACTTGAGAACACAATTCAACGTCTATTTCCTTGACCTCAATCAATCCGCCTGACTTGATGTGGGCAAAAGCCTGGCCGTAATGTTTCGGCCAGTCTGCCACACTACCCTCGAGGTGACTGATGTGCACGAAGTCGAAGTAGCTGACAGGCCAGGTCCATGGCTGCTCGATATCATCGATCTGGAACTTGCAATTAGGTGGGACCCAACCTGGCTGAATCGGTGAGATATCAACTCCTATCACTTCGGCGGAAGGGTACATATCCGCGAAGTCTCTGCAAGGTATGTTCCGTTAACGAGATGTTTACACAATATGCATACTGCGCCGGATCATACTGAGAGCATCGAGTAGCACTCACATAGCCCAGATACCGGTTCCGGTGCCAACATCGAGAACGTTCTGTAACGATCTAGGAGAGCTCTCCAGAGGTAAATCCTAATTGTAGACATCTACGTACCTGGGGGGTTTCACCTATAGGCGCAAGAAACAACCTGTCATTTAGGAGGAGTTTCTCCCAGTAATGACTATAAAAATAATTCGTGTCAGTACTAGGAGCGGTTGAAGTTCACTCAGTGACTATTACGCACGCAATGTCAAGTCCTTCATTCTGTCTTTCGTCATTCGGTCCTCAGTAGTCGGTTTTCTGAGTATAAGTCCGCCCATGAATGCGACGATACTCGGTGATGCTTTCGCTCAAAGAGGCGGTAGAAGACGTATGAATACTGTACGGTACCGTCAGTCAGAACTACGTGTTTTCTGCTAGCAGCCATCGTCCTTTTCAGTCTCACCTCTTAATCTCAGCATCTGTTGTATCCTCATTTTCAACAACGGGATCCTGTAATTAGAAGACTTAGATTGCGGCCGCACTTGGCAGGTGAGATCCCTCCTGGGAGTGGAATTCCTCAACATACGACAGTAATCACATTTGCTGTAGGCTCGGAGCTGCTCGCAATGGGAGGGTTGGAGCCTGCCGTGTCCTCTGGAGACACGGCCATGATATGATTCCTGGTTTTTGCTTGCCAAAGCGGATTGGAAACCGAGCAAATGTGAAGCACTCGGATTTAAGTCATAAAAAATTGAGAAATCCTGGACTAAGAAGCGGTCACACGATTTTTGATGCAAAAAACCCAACACAACCATGACCCCTCATTTGGTCTTGTTGGTTTGCCTTCATCCCGTTCCGGCCTGCTTGTTGCTCTGCAGGCTGTGTTGGAGCAATCCAAGGCACTCAAAGACTTTCGGTAGCATCCACCCAGACGAATGAACCCAGCCAGATTTCTCAACTGTCGTGGTGGAGTCTAAACCCATTCCGGAAGGTCTAAGAAACATTTACAGCAACAATAGACGCCGCCTTCGGGAAACAAAGAAAGATATGGTTGTGCGCTGTCCAGCCAGCCGGATGGAACATTGAATGCAAGACATTGCGTGCTAGTAAATCACAGACAAAGAATCCAGGAGCACGTTGTCCCGCGTGCGGTTCGCGCCGAAGACCCAGATAGAACGAATCGAACACTGGCCAATGAGGAGCCTTCAGGTGGTTTATCCCATTGACTGCTGCTTAACGTCAGCGGAGCCCTTGTGCGGGGTACAGCCAATAAGGGCATACAGGCTCATCTGTGTCAGCCAATAATTAGGCACGTTTTAAGGTACTTATATTGTCTATATATTTGGGTTATGCCAAAGGTACCAGCAATCTCGGTCGGTACATAACGATACATCGCAATCTAAGCAGCCTTTTCGAGTATAACTTCGCAGCTTTCTGAGGTTATTGCTAGATATCTCGCCTAGAGCCTGGCGGGATCGTAAGGCTGTTGTATTGCTATAATAGGAGCAAGGCGAACAGGACTTTCTCGATCCCTTGCGATGGTGCTGCCAAGGAATAGAGGTATTCCTTTTATCTCTTGTTTGCTTAGGTCGTGATCTTTGCCGACCCCCTGCTAATGGTCCAAACTGCTGGATAAGCTGGGCTGCAAGCAGTTGCCGCCATTGATACTGCTTTTTAATAGATCGCCAACTAGGCTTGCCCCAGAGCTGCAGCAGATAGCTGTTCACAACGATCACTTCTAGCAGAAAGTCCCAAGCAATTGCCTGCCAGCCCCCTCGCCGGATAGGGTGGCCCCATTGATAATAGGACCTCATCTGGTCACTAATATCAACGCCGTTCATCTTATGATTATACCCGTCTATTGGTGCCGGCACTGGCAGGTTCTTCAGGACGTCGGCGCCGAAGACTTTCCGGGCAGCCCGCTTTGCAGCAGTATCTCCGGCCGGTCGGCGCCGGCTCCGGACAACATCCTGGCCTTCTCGGAAGACCGTTGTCAAGAAGAGTACAATAGCATTGTCTTTCCAGGTAAACTGGTTGACCTAGAAGAACTGATTAGTATAAAAATCCTTAAAAGGTAGTTTTTATAACACTATACCTCCCCATCTAAAGTAGGAATATAATGTATCTTGCCCCAAGGGATATCTTGTACACTCTTGAGTGTCTAGGCTGAGGGCCCTCCTCAGAAATCGGCGCTGCATTTGTCCACCGGACCCACTGCTCAACAAGGCTCCGGGGAACGTATCGGAGGAAAAGGTTAATCGGCGTTTCCGGTAGGTCCTGTATTTGCTGGTCCCGGGCCGGTATATCAAATGGTATAAAGGAGCCGGGCAAGCCAGGCTCAGCCGGAGGCTCATGGGGCCGGACTGTGCTATTATCGCACTTCTCCGGGGTACAGTCGGCAGTACAGCCGACTTCAAGGTCTTCGGGAAGGAGCTCAACAAATATACAGCTCCGTACAGAGGTATCGGTAGCTACAGAGGCATCGGAAGCATCAGAATCACTGGAAGACATCGTAACATTGGTTGAAATGATGGTTTTGGTGGTGATAGAAGTCAAAAAAACATAGGGGTAAATGATGTTTCGTCTTGTACCGATTGAAGTGCGGGGTAAAAGCGGGTGTTAATATGGGTCCGGCTCCGCTGACGTTAAGCAGCAGTCAATGGGATAGCTCCTTCACTCCGCATTTCGGATTGTGGTCTGACAGTGCCTGATCATGGGAGGGGCCCAGGATATCATTCATTATGAACCACAACAACTGGAAAGTGGGCTTCGATCTTGGCAATGGAAGGCTGATGACAGACGCAAAGACGCACGAGCCTGTTGGCACCGTTGAACCCAGTGTTTTACAGCAGAAACGAGCCGTCGTGGCCAGCCTCTGTCATCTCGTAACGCTGCCGGGCTCGCTCAGGTAGGACGGATTTTTCTTCACAGGCCGATCCTCGGAATTCGATTAGGCGCTCCATCCAAACGCCTATCTTTCCTCAAAAGTCAAGGACATTCATCTATCTGCCCTAGATCTACACGTGGAGATATATCCAACTCTCCGCAGAATATGACGTTCTGAAGTCATCACAGCTGCTCTGAGTCATGGAAATTTTGGTTTACACAGAGACCTGATTCTTACAGGAATAATGTTCTAGAGTCTATTTTGTGAAGACCGGACCATCAAACAAATAAAACAACGCGAAACGAACAATGAAGCTTGGCCGGATGATCCCCCACCAGCCGTTGAAGCGCGGTCTCGGTCTCTCTCCCGCTGAGAAACGCAGTGGTGCCGCCGGACGGACGCGTTGCAACGAACTCTTTTTCAGTGGCCTGCCACCAACGACGACAATGCAAAACCCTGACTCGCATTTAGCTGATCTTGATTGCAGTGACGCATGTTCCTGCGGACTAACAGTCTATTTTATGTGGGTGAGTGAGGGGTCCCATGGCCTGAAGAGATTGAATCCAGATGTCTGTGTTTTCGGGCCGGCCATGTTAGAGGTGAGAAGGGTAAGCACAGAACGGGTAGCACACCGCTCCCAAGGCTTAGGCAAAGCTATAATTGAAATAATTCGCGACTATGGTATATACCGTTACTAGTTGCAAACTAGGAGCTGCGGCTGCATAAGAATCGAGGACTAGCTGGAGACCGGTTGCCCCAGCTTTTAGTCCGATCATCGCACCGTCAGTCAGACCACGGTCTTTGCCTCCGCGCCATTACCAATATCCAGCCCGTGCCATGTTCTCTACGGCAGTCCCCATATGCGGTTCAGGGGGCCCTTGTGTAACTATCCAGAGATCATCGCTACCACCCTCAAACTTGCGACGGCGTGGCAAACCCCCAGAGTGGGAGCCGGCAATCGGCTGCCCGGCCAGAGAGTTGAGAGCACCTCTGGCAACGAGCTCTCAAATGCCGACCCCCGATGCAGACAGGCAACTCTACGACGAACTCTGGTCTGGCAAACCGGGTCCAACGGATGGAGAAATGAAGAACCGGACAAGTTGACGCCTGCAGGGTCCAAAGGTCAAGAATTTGGGCCCCAGCGTCTGACGTTCCCGAGTCAGGGTTAGGACATGTTGGCTATTCCAAGCGCTTGTGTTGCGCCGCCCTCCGCCCAACCTTCAAAATAAACCTCCCCCCGTGCTGCCACTCACCGTTGCATGCCTTAGCTTGCTACTTGCCCGCCATCGCGACTAGTGCGGTTGCTGAAGTTCCGACGAGAGCAGCGGTCAATGGGTCACGTTCCTCATACTGGCTGCCCTGCCCCAACATTTCATCGAAAAGCTTGTCATTTTTTCCTCCACCACTCGATCTTACCCCTACCGCCGGGGATGAAGGTGGAACAGCAACAGCAGAGAATCCACCGAGACCGCCGCCGTCCGATGAGAAACGAGACCTAGCTCTACGATGGCGGGAACACTTATACCTCCGTGGTATGTCGGCTCAACACCTACTAACGATGAGCAGAACATAGCGAGCATGTTTTGGGGGTTCACACTTGGGGTTGGCCTTTGGAGCGGAGTCAAGGGTTATCGGCAAAGTAGAGCCAGTTGGAACAGGACACACCGAGTCAACGTCTACATATGGCTGATCTGGGCGGAATGGATCGCCAGTATAGTCATCGGCATCATATCTTGGTCCTATTTGACATCTATCATTGATCCAAGGTAAGCCCCTCTCCTTGTCCATGTACCACAAGTGATTCCAGTGTCTAACTTTGAATTCTTTAGCTTTGAATACTTCTTTTTCCTACGTAAGTGCTGCGTAGCTTCAGCTCACATGCCATTTCCTTTACTGACGACATTCAATTGAAGTTGTGTTATGGACTATTCAGGTAAATCTCGAACATGTAATCGAGCATCCTTGATTTTTGGATGTCAACTGATCAATGCTCCATTAGGTTCAATGTCTCATGCAAATCATCGTCAACCGAATCGCAATCTTGATGCCGATACCTGCACAGGCCACACGACTGAAATGGGGAGTTTTTGGCATCCTTTTGGCGGTCAACATCAGCGTCTTCTGCATCTGGATTCCAGCTCGCCTCCAGATAAACGATACCTATATCCAAATCAACGAGATCTGGGATAGGATAGAAAAGGGCATCTTTCTTCTTGTCGATGCTGGTCTCAACCTTACCTTCATCTATCTCGTCAAGTCGCGGCTAATTGCCAGTGGCTTGACCAAATACACGGCATTGTTCAGATTCAATCTTGCCATGATTGCAGTCTCGATGTCACTTGATGTAAGTTCGATTGCTTTCCAACTAAAGTTGACCCCGCAGCTGATCACCAACACTAAAGGTCGTTCTCATCGGACTCATGTCCCTCCCGAATACCCTGATGTATGTGTTCCCGACTTGAATGGGTTTGTATAATTGCTGACCATCACAGCTATGCTCAATTCCATCCGCTTGCCTACCTACTGAAACTACACATCGAAATGGGCATGGCAGACTTGATTGCAAAGGTTGTTAAGGCATCCAACCCCATGCGACCTCATGCCGAATCAAGGAGAGATAGCAACGACGGAGCGCCAGACGCGAACAAGAACTCGTTATCGAAGTCGAGGTCGAGGAGATTTTCGATGCCCTACGTAACTGGGAGATGGATGTTGAGCTCGGAGAATGTTCAACCTAAAAGAAACACCACAGGGCCAGAACTCGAGCTTGGTGTACAGGCCAACACTTTCTCGGGAAGGGCAACAGAACCAAACGCAGCACCTGTGCCACGCCCTTGTTCACTCTCTCGTCACATCACCGAACCGAATGGTATACCTGGGCTGGATATGACGCCACAGTCGAGGACTAGTCGTCAGGATTCTAGTAGCACTGTAAAGGGCCAGGATGAGGATGTTGCGTGGTATGTTTAATGGGAGAGACCGGAATATCATGATACCCAAGGAGTTAAAGGAATGGGAAAAGCGGCGGTCACGCAGATTAAGGTATTAAGCGGAAAAGGAGCGTTATCATAGGACTATGATCTTCTTACCTTAGTTCACTGTCAAACAACAAAACTATAATTTTTGCACAACTCATAGTTCTTTCGGCAAGCATTTTCCCCACTAGACGATGATTGTAACTTAATTGATTATGCGTTGATCTTTCGTTTATGACTACTGAAGTAACTAAAGCTTTTCCCTCTCTGATCCTTAGATTACCTACCTAAGTTAAGACCCAGGTAAGTTGTAACGTGTACCGCCCTTTCCAGTATCAAAGTCGCCCATCGTCAGTCGTACATATGCGAGCATTTCTTCAACTGGTATATGAAGAGTCACATCTCATTTCGAATTGTAAAGTACGTGTATGCTGTAAGAATGTTTTCGCCCTGATCTGTGCCCTCTTTCATCACAGCATGGCTTCAATGATGGGCGCCCTGCAAGGCTTTCACTGCCAAAGCAGTAATAGCCCCTTCGCTTCCAATGATGATCCCAGAAAACCCATAGCGGTACAGGTATCCCATCCAGTTGCCATCACTGCGCTGTAAATCCAGTAAGAGCCTTCTATCTGAACCGTTGGCTAGGCGCATGTTGTTCGAAGCTAGCAGACGGAGGCCAACACTTGATGCATCGTTTGTAGAGCCCATGCGCTCTTTTAGACGCCGACAGAGCAGATCGCGCAAGCTGTCAAGTTCATTGGCATCAAGATACTTGGAGCACAGTTCACTGAGATAGTACAGCAGGAAATCCGGCAAGTGGTAGTAGCGAGTGCCATGCTCGAATGCGCCTGTGCGCAGCATGTCTCCCATAAATTGGAGAGCGGGCTGGAGTTGATGACCTCGTCCGCTGGCGTAGAAGACCCGGAGCACATTGGCTGAGATGAAAGGGTCAAGCCGCGGTCTGCCTGGGTCGAAGTAACACTGAATAGCAGCAGACATTAGTACATGTAGGTTCCATGAGTACATTTATGGAGGATGACCTACATATGCCAATCCATCTGGACTCAGATACTTGAGAATATCATCCATGGTCTTTTGCTTGACATCGAAATCAACATCAAGCGTGAGAAGGGCCATAGAGGTAGTGTCGAGGTCCTCAGGATAGACTTCCGTTGTCAGCACTGGAGGCCCGTAAGAAAAGACATTCCAGTGACCGGAAGGGGGATTCAGCTGGGCGATATCGACAAGTCCCCTAAGAACAGTACTTGTCAGCATCTCAATCGAACGAATCATCTTGGGGGGAGTCCGCACCAGTCGTTCGTCCAATGCAGCAGAAGAAGCTGTTGGAACTGCTCACTAATCTCGATGCCAGTGTTGGACATACACCACATGTTCTTTGCGTGAGCTCGCAGCCATGATGTTTCACGCTCGATGGGGTCGCCAAAGAGATTGTTCAGTTGTTGGATCACCACATCCGCGTTCTCAAACAGTACTCCTCGCATCCCGCGACACTGGTCACAGATGAAATTCTCCGGGCGATCATCAACAAAGACAGTCGATTTTGTATCTAGCCCCGCAGCTTTGAGAACTCGATCGAAAAATGCCTGCTCCGGCTTTCGTACACCCAGGCTGGCTGACGTGTAAACATCATCGAAGATGTCCCAGCCTCCAATCTTGGAGCGAACCGTGTCGTAGCTTTCGCTAGACATGTTGGTTGCAGCAATTACGCGTAGTTGGCCGCCAGAGTTCTTTTTGAGATTTCTGACAGCTACAACAAAGGGTTCGTTGAGCGTCAAGGTCGACGATGCCAGCTGGATGGTTCCTTGTAGGGCACCCTCCTCAAGTGTGAACCTCTTCGTTAAGGCAGGATACACATCTGATACTGTCGCCTTGCCCGACTCCAAGTTATGCCATTCGGATGATTCAAGAACACGTTTGAATGTCTTTGGTGGAATCGGAGCGTCTGGGACAGCAGAAGTTGCAGAAAACACCGCCGATGTCTAGCATCAAGGCAATGGGCCTGCCATCCACGCCACCCTTCTGGTACAATGCTAAGTCAGCAGGCTACTCACAGGATCTCTGGCGTTTTTCATATCTCGAGTAATACCTTGGGGCTGCTTTGTGGAATTCCGCTGGGCTATGAGTGCTGTAATTTGGTCATAGTATCAAAACTCACATGCAGAGAGTAAAAGCGTCTAGACAGAATATGGAATTAATGAGAAACTGAGTTTTCTTAACGAATGAAGATGTGGACGGCGGTATTATGCGATTCATATATTCTCCGACGGAGATACAGTAGACAGCCCCTTTTGGGACCAGATAGACGTCGCGATGGGGCAGGTCAAGAGCTTCGACGTCGTTGACCTGCATCAGACTATTGACAGAGATCGCCCCTGGCCACTTCAGAGACCCGTACGAGCTTGTCAAAAGTTTCTATCTACTTAACTACCTTTCTTCGACGATCGTCAACGGCTCTTCGCCAAGCTAATATGCAATGTCAAGCGAGCTTCGCTGATGTGGGTGACTGCACGAGCAGCACGTCAAGTTGGGGATCTAACGTCAGCTCACATACAATTCTACGTGAGCTTTGAAATGATGTGGGCAGACAGCCCCGTGGCTCGGCCTCTGTCTGCCATTGGTTCAAAGTGCGAGAGTTATAAAACGTCATGATTCTGCTATAGTATGATCACATCAGCGAACGGTGCCATCTCGAGCTTCTGGATTGGGGGGTTCCTCAAATCTTGAAACACATCACCTACATCTCTCAGAAGAAGGAATCTCTGTTGTTTTCATCTGTTTTTTGTTTGGAAGAGTGTTCGTTTAATTTTTGATATCAATGGAGCTAGAAAGACGGGAATCATCAAAGTTGCTGAATAGGTTACTTCCACGGTTAATCAAGTTTATCTTGGTCAAGTCACAGGCCAACCAACAGTGAGGGACATGGTCAAGGCCCTGAAGGCCCAACTGGAGCAAGACAGCTTCGCTAGACAACAGCAGGTTCTACAGAGATACAATGCTCACAGGCGGTCAATCAAACGAACCAGGCTAACCGAATAGCTTATCATATATCAAGAGATCATAGAGGAAGCAATTTCAGCAAAAGTCCCTCAACTCATAGACTCAAGGACTCAAGTCTCTGACTTTCTCAACACCATCAAGGAGATTGCCCCAGACTACTATACTGGTGCCTCATACGACTTCTCGCGCCAGACGAAACAGGAAACAAAAGAGGGCAATACTTACCCTAGGGTTAAGCAAGCACAGAGCTTCAGGCAATAGGTACGGACGTTCTACCCAACATAGCTTTCAGCCAACGATACAACAAAATCCACTACTTCCAGCAGCTTTGCTACATGGCAAGGGGAAGGTGAGAATAGAAAAAAGGAGAGACCCATCCCTCTTTGCCCAGCATGCCCTAGAAAAAGACACTTCGTCAAAAACTACTTCCACTGCAACCCGACCATAAGACCATCATGGTACAATCCAATGTCGCCTCAAAACAAAGAAGCAATTGCTAGAGGTCAAAAATGGCTCGATAGTAATCACAGAGTCAAAGAGACGATCCAGAAGCTTATAGACTCTAAGCCATCAACCTCATCAGGTACCTCATCAGCGAGTTGGCGACAACGAGAAGGCAAACCAGATGAAGCTAAGAAACAAGCCACATCATACTGGGGCCAAAGGTCCAATAGCGACACAGAGGGCTCTTCTTCATCCTTCTTCACTCTGGACACTGCTCCGGATATAAGCCTATTTACAGGTTTTGCTTTACGAAATACGGTTATTGTGGACTCAGGGACTGGATTCCACATCTGCAATTGATGATGATGATGATGATGTATTTAACGTCTGGTAACAAAAGGACGTGCCGGGCGCTATGCCGACATGGTCTATGCTAATCTAAACTATGTTACAGGCTACCGTCTTCACCTAACGTTCCTGTTCAATGACTCGGGCAAATTTCGGAAAAGAAATTGGTCTCCTCTATCCATTCGCATAGAAGAGAGGCTCCCTTAGCAGAACCTAACAAGAAATCAATGCTTGCTTTGCCACATCTGCAATGACTTATCCCTTATGAGGGATATAGTGTGGCAGGTGCAGGTGGGTCACGTGAGGCAGCTCCTTCACATCTCGGAGCTGCCCCACCTACACCTTGCCCAGATATCCAGCCCAGCCAGCGCTCAGCTTTTCCCATCATCATCAGATCCAATACAGTAGTATTGCCTCCACATATAGACTTCTCAGTCTCAAAGGATATACTCACTGGAGGGGGGAATATCACTACCACAGGCAAAGGTGATATAGTAGTTAAGCCTAACATAGGCAAACGACGTAAAGCCATGATCATCAGATCTATATGGTATACTGCCGACTATCCAGTCTCACTCGTAGCTACAGAACCGCTCAAGCAAAAGCAAGTTTACTTCAACACTCGATACCCAGGTCTCGAGGATTCGACAGGCAAGGTACTGTACGAGACTCCCCATAAACATAGGCAATATCTATTGGAACACCACCCACCTGAGGGGGTGGAGGCAGCTCCGCCATCGACGTCAAGTACAGCATCCACTTCAAACACGCTTACAACAACTTCAAAAGTTACTTCTCAGACCCAAAAGGCAGTACAATTCGATATATCTGCAGTAGGCTTTCAGAAAACAACTGAACATCGATCAGCGTCCAAGGCAGAGGCTTGGCTATAGCACGAACGACTCGGTCATCCAAGTGCTGAAGGGCTGGAGAAACTAGTAAAAACCTCACTTGGAATCCAACTGGCTGGTATTACAAAAGATGAGTGCGCAGCATGTTCAACTGGAAAGGCAACTCGACAAGTCTCTCGAAGATCTCCAGATCACTGGCCCACAGCTCCAGGAGATTATATTGTTATCGACTTCTTCACCATAAGCAAGGCTTACAACAACGAAAAGGTTTTCCTGATCATTAGCGACAGGTGGTCCAATTTCACATGGGTCAGAACACTCAGGTCACGAAAAGAAGGACTGTTGGCCATTGAACACATGATCGCCTTTTTAGAAAGACAATATCACATCAAGGTCTGCATTATGAGACTTGACTGGGAAACAGCGCTACGCAACGCATTCGATCTTTGGGCAGCCGCAGAGGGTTACCTTGTACAACGGTCAGCAGACTACACAGGAGCTCAGAACCCAGCAGAGAGAGTCGGAGGGATCATCTTCAAAATCACGAGAACCCTCAGATTCCAATCACGATTCCCCGAGTCTCTAGCTCCTGAGCTAGTCCGGGCTGCGGTTTATTTTACCAATCGATCAGGCCGCAAACGACATAACTAGAAGACTCCAGAAGGCCTAATAAACGCTTGGTTGAACTCACAACCCTGGGCAACTCATCAACGCCCAGAGCTACCTCAGATGGCACATCTAAAAAGATATAGTTACAGAGCATACCCTCTTACTCAAACATACAAAAGCGGTCAGGAAAAGTCCAATAAAACGGAGCCTAGAGCCCATATAGGCTACCTATATAGTTACGACAGCACGAACATCTACCACATCTGGATTCCATCTCTAAACAGAGTTCTAAGGACCAGAGACGTCACATTCAATGAGGGGGTGTTGTACGACCCTAACGCCGAGGATACAAGTCTACTACATCGTCAGGAACTTGAGATCGAATTTACACGCCTCGATATCCTATTCCCAGATCCTATCCGAGAAGAAATTCCTATGGACTCAGCGCTATAGGATGGACAGGAATCCAGCTCTCTTCGGCTGCATGAAGACAAGCCTGCAGGCCGAGAACCAAATCAAGTGACCTCATCTCGTTCTTCTCCAGCAGAAACCCAGTCTCAACAGCAATCTATCTCGGCTAAGGGGGTAGAAACAGGGGATGAGGCTACAAATCAGGACCAAGGGTTCCAAGCAGATGACATATCATCAGAAGAAAATCGAATGACCCCAGTCTCAACACCTGAGGAAGAGATTCGGGAAACAATTATGGTTACTGAACCAGAACCCGCTCAACAACCCCAATCTCATGGCAGGCCAAGGGGCAGTCAGAACAATAATATCTACAACCGTCTAATCTCGATCAGCCAACTCAATCAACAACCAGACAATACTACCAGATCATCCAGAAGCTTGAGAGGAACCAATTCAACATCCAACTTCCTACAATCTACAGACACAGTCAAGGAGAAAGATCAGACAGACAGCTTAACAGATGGACTAGTAAAGATTCATCGAAACGATTTGCCCGCCTTACCAACCAATTATGCAGAGGCTATAACCCACGAATACCGGCTTAAATGGCTTGCAGCTATGAACGTCGAGGACCAGACAGTCTGGAAAAAGGGCACGTTTAAAGCGATACGATTGTCTGACGTAGACCAATCTATCAACAAAATCTTGCCGCTCAAATGGGTGTTTACATACAAATTTGACAAGCACAGACACCTGCAGAAGTTCAAGGCAAGAATCTATGTCAGAGGGGATTTACAACTACCAAATAGACTCGACACTTACGCCTCAACTCTCGCTGGAAGGTCATTCCGCAGTCTAATGGCAATCGTCGCCAGATTCAACCTAGATACAATACAGTTAAATGCTGTCAATGCTTTTACCAACGCCCGACTTGACGAACTAATCTACGTATGGTTCCCACCGGGATTCAACGAGTCTAGATTCTACCTACAACTTCATAAGGCCTTGTATAGTCTCAGGAGAAGCCCTCTCCTATGGCAGAAGAGTCTCACTAGGACCCTCGAATCTATGGGTCTCAAGCGACTTCAAGAAGACGATTATATCTTTATTAATAAGAACGTCGTTGTCTTTGTCTTCGTGGATGACATTGCTGTTATTCATCTCCAGAAACATAAGTCCGAAGCCCAACGAATCGTCGACGGACTGAAGGGAACATACGAAATGAAGGAATTGGGAGAATTGTCCATTTTCCTAGGAGTACGGATTATCCGCGATCGCGATCAAAGAAAGCTTTGGCTTTGCCTGGACAACTACATCACCAAGATATACGACGAATTCAAGATCGAAAAGTCGAAGAAAGGAGTGGAAACACCGATGGCATCAGATAACCTCATGCCTAACGAAGGGCAAGCAACAGCTGAAGAGATCCATCTGTACCAACGAAAAGATGGCTCCCTTAACTACGCAGCTATCATGGGCAGACCAGACATTGCTCGGACCTGCTCAAGACTTGCAGAGTTTATGACAAACCCATCACTAGCCCACCACAAAGCGGCTAATCAGTGCCTTCAATACCTCTACTCAACTCGATATCTTGCCATTAAATTTAACTGCGAAGACAACGGGAAGTTATACTACGCATCAGATGCTTCTTTTACAGACGATTCGGTCACCCGCAAAAGCACTCAAGGATACGTCATAATACTATTTAGAGGCCCGATTACTTAGAAGTCTTCAAAGCAACGAAGGGTTGTCACCTCCAGCACTAAGGCTGAATTGATAGCTCTCACACAAGCAACCAAAGAATACCTTGCAACGATACGACTTGTGGAGGAGTTACAGCTTAAGCTTGACGACGATTACATCATGTGGTGTGATAACCAGCAGACCCTGAGGCTGTTGACAGCTGAGAGGCCTCAAGCAACAAGCAAACTTCGACATATCAACATCAACAATCTGTGGCTTCGCCAGGAGCTTCAGAAGGGTATTTTGAAGTACAATTGGGTCAAAACCAACGCCATGGTCGAGTCATGCATTCAACCCATGCTCGATTCCCTATTGCAATAAGGGATATAGGCATTATGGCCTTGAAACCTTGTTCTGTTTCTTGTTTGAAGTTAAAACAACGTCAACAACAACAACACCTCACTCGCTTAAGTAGGAATATACCAATATGCACATTACTGCTAGCTGCCAAACTGTCGCCTGACACATTGCCTGTTCAACTATTAGATGGTTCAGGAAGGCGTATTCCCCCATAGAACTTCATCTTTACTACATTTCAAGCTCTGCAGGTCGTATTCTATGTAGGTTGCGTACTGCATAGCTTTAAGGTATTAGTGGATGAAAGGCACCTAGAAAAGACGTGCGTATCAAAACAATCTGCAAGAAATCTCCATTAAAGTGAGTGTAGATTAACCGCAATACACATGACTATGGATAAGTAGCATTGGATAGCTAATAAGAGCTAATAAGTAAAATCAGTTTTCTAATATTGACGGATCAGTAATAACCACATTTGTCTTCATATTTAGTAAAGTACTGTAGGTGTCTAGTCGCAACGGGGCATCTGGGGATTTGTCCCCAAGTTTCTTGCAAAGAGTCAAAGAGGCGAAGCGCTCCATTCCTGCATGCTGGCGCCTACGATAAGGGGTGCCTTGGCTGCTCTGGTATTGGCGCTATGGCACATGCTACAATACTCATCATGCCACTTCATGTGTGACTCATGGTCAGGTGCTTCTTCACCGCAATTGGCCATTCACACGTTGGCTATTGATGCCTAACCCAGCAGCCACAGCCTACGTTAGGTAAACACCAGCTCAGGAATCTGCAATGCTTAAGAGAGATTGCTAGGTTTTACTAGCTAAGGTATCTGGAATGTGCCCCATCAACAATAGTCATGGTTGGTATCAGTGGTAGCTCGAAGTGACATCAACTTTAAAGAGCAGGGCGGTCGCAATTGACGATGACATTGAATGGTCAGTGTAGCATTTAGCATTTGTGGGTCGCCTTTGTGGGCGTTTCGAATAAGATGTCCGGTGCTGTGAAGAAAGTACTTTTTACACTCGTTCGGACTCCCGTGCAAAATTACGTCAGCAGCACCAGCATGTTACACCCAATTTCCAATTTCTGACCTGGAAAAAGTACCAGCCCGGCACAAATCGGAATACCTTCCATGCAATGAATCTTCAGAAACGATAGCCTCTTCGGGAGTGTTAATTTGTTTACATAGACCCTTATATGTGTCATGTGTAACTAAATCGCTCACTAATCATAACTTTGCTCTTTCCAGTCCATCGATAGCAAGGCCATGCCGTGAACATCGAAAGTCAATTGATCTCACATGTGCTTGCTAAATACCCGAGCCTGTCTAGCAACAGCGTAAACCCAGGGCGACGACATCAGTGTGATGAGTTGATTCCATTGCCCCGCTGGCGAGCACAAAAAGCACCTCGTCGGGGTTACTACAACATCAAGTCAAGGACGCAGATGACTCCTGGTGCCGGTGACATTCGTGAATAAGTCCAGATCTAACTCAATGGATTAAGCTGTCTCTTTAGGCTTGTGAACATCGTTATACAGTACCTGAAAATCTCTGTTCATTGCTAGATTTCAACGTGCCGTAATTAAGGTAGATATAACAAAACGGCGTGGAAAGAGCTTTATTGAGTTCGATCAAATTTCGAGTCACTCTATTCATTTTCCAGCTAACCTGTGAGTCCTTGGCTCTAGCCTCAATGACTAATCCGTTCGATCAAGCATCAAAGCTCAAGTCAGCTTTAGCCTGCAGCTTTACGTGCAAATAGTGAGTGATCCTGATCAATTGGCCAAGGCAGATGGGGCTGGGGAGTCCTGATGTGGAACGTCCGGCTACCCGCGGGGAGGGCTGCATCACGAGGCCTTCGGTGTGAGCAGGCACCCCGGTCCATCCGCACAAGGGTGCGCTACGAACACATCTGCGCGCGTGGCCCCCAAACTGTTATCATAGCGTATCCTTACTTGATATAGGTCTTTGTCCTCCTTCTCAAGGGCCTGTCCGACGTCCCAATACGTCGGGGCCAGCTTGGTGACCTCTTCGGTTCAAACATGACTGTGATTCGTTTGCCTGATAGCCCGCCATATTTCGAGCTTGCTGCGGTATGCTGTCTATAGCATCGCCAGGATTGTTGCGACTGTGCCTTGTTGCGCAGATGTCCAGAAACTCCTCGTCCTCTGCACACCATCATTATCTTGAGAACCAGCTGCCGGAAGCTTCGTCTAGACCGAACTCACGAATATCTCACAAACTCGGTGCAGGCTTTGATCCTCTCGACTGCGGGTCGACATTGGTACACAAGTGTTCTCTTTTTCTGCCTCTGATCCTTTGCAAATTTCAAATTGTAGACTACTTAGTAATCATGTGGCTGGAGTTCGATTATACCATCGTTGAGAATTTATTCATCCGAACATGTTTATGCTGACGTTGTCACACACATGATAGGGTCGCATTTCTCCTGCGACCTAGCTCATCGCTCTATCAAAAACTCAGCACGATTTAGCATTGAAAGTCTTCATTTGACGCAGGAGTGACTGTTAAGTAAATGCAAATTGAAGAACCTTCTCGTCCTGGCTTGTGGTTTCATGCGTATCTCCATTGAAGATTTAATGTGCAAGATGGCCGATGTCGGAGGTGCAAGGCTCAACGTCTGCTTCGGCGGCACTAATATATTTCGAGATGTATACCTATACGGGAATGACTCTCGGAGTAGGAAGGAACTCCATGACTCTCATCATGTTATCTAGAGACTGGATCGTAATTGTGTCGTGCTTTTGCGACAGTCCACCGTGGCTAGGGGTTTGTGCTATCGTCATCTAGATTTACACAACCGAGGTGAACAGTGCACTATGTCTTGTGAGCGGATGTTCAGGACTTCCTGTTTGAAGAATAGGTGAATTCTACATTTTGGGAGAAAGCATGTGAGCAGTGGCATAAATCTACAGTTTAATACCGCATCGTTTTGTCGAGGCAATGCTGGTATCGAGTCTATTGAAGTAAGTGCATACACGGTGCAGCCAGCTTTCGAAGCTTAGTACTTAGCTAAGTAGGCATCTCTCTGCCTGCTGTCTTTGAGATGCTGAATATCTTGAACAGGCTCCTCATAAAGCTTGCGCCATGTTCGGACAAGGCATTGTCAAACCATCAGTATTACGTCTTATAATCTCTCCAAGGATTTGATGCAGGCTGAGGTGCCACTTAGCTCTCACCTCTAGCGAACCATCAGCGTTGCCACGGTCTCGCGTTAACGCTGCGTTAGTCCACACCCCGTGCACAAAGGTGCAGAGCCTGGATCAGCTGTCCGAGGCGCCGCAATCTGATCTTGATTAAAGGTCAAGGATCCCAATACCCCACTCCCAATTCCATCTGGCTCCTCGACACGCATTCAGACGCATTCACCACACTTTCTGCCCGTCACTAACGAGGCCCGCCACTTCTCAAGATGAATGTTTTCAATACCATCAGCCGGAAGCTACAGTCTGTTGATTTTCCTCCACCATTTTCCTACGCCACTTTCTCTCATTCGTCTGCTGCTCATGAACACGACGGGTGGCATGCGTCTGACTCGGCCGGCGTGCAAGCAATTATCGACAAAGCCTGCGTTCTTGCTCTCCAGAATGGAGTGCATTTCATATGGATTGACTCACTGTGCATCGATCAAGATTCGAGCGCAGATGTATCTGAAGCTATCAATTCTAGCTGGAAGTATTTTCAATCAGCGGCTCTTTGTATGGTCTACCTCTTCGATCTGCCTTGCGGGCCCTCTCATCTGAGCGAAGAAACGTGGAAACAATCCCAGTACTGGTCTCGAGTCTGGAGCCTCCAAGTGCTCGTCTTCGCCCCGAGAATTGTCTTCTATGATTCAAGATGGCACCTCAAAGGAGACACTTCTTCGGACGCATTCTCGTCCTTGCTGTCACGGGTTACGGGCATCGATGCAGATGTTCTAGCTAAACGTAGCACCCTACACAGCATTTCGATTGCACGGAGAATGTCATGGGCAGTAGGCAAAAGATCTTTCCGCGCCGAAGACTTGTCATACGCTCTTCTTGGCATCTTCGGCATTCGCTTGTCGATTATCTACGGCGAAGGCGAAGATGCCGCTTTTCGGCGTCTTCAGGAGGAGATCCTTAAAACGACCAGCGACACGACTTTGTTCGCATGGACCAGCTTGGACGAGACCCTGCCACGAGGCATCTTCGCTAGGTCGGTCGAAGAATTTAAGTGCTTTGGACAAACAGAGCTTGCCTCTGCTCCATTCCGTTTGGACGGATTCGCTGAATTAACCAGCCGAGGCGTTCTGATTCAGAGCAAATGTCTGCAGACGAATGGGGATATCTTTCTCGATCTAGGGATGCCACGAAAGGAGAACAGTCATGCCAAACGATGCGGTATCTCAATACGCAGACGACCATGCGGGACCTACTTTCGCGTGTCCTCAAGCATGACCCAGATGGTACTGACAAACGAATCTGCCGAAGTCATGCGGGTCATAGTCGAAGCAGGAGATATCAACACCGTCAAAACCTTCAATGATCAAGTACATGCCACCTTTCAATGGAGCCTGACATCTCGCCAAAAGCGGCCCGACAGTAACAACAACAACAATACCATAGAGACGAGCAACCTATGCCATACGCCATCGAATGGCAGCTGCTTCGCCAATAATGAATCATCGACCTCCTGCCACTCGCTACAGCCACATCCAATCATCGAGAGTCCTTTGCCCGAAGGGAACGATGCTGATTGGGTTCATGTAGGGGAGCCTTGGGCAAATTCGGGCCGCCTTGGTCCATCCCAGCAGGGGGCAGACCAAACATCAGTGGAAGAAAGCGACTCCGACACTTTCATGTCTTTCATCCACGAAGAGACCCCCGCAGAGCTATTGGTCTCTGACGGTGAAATCTCCGAAGCTTCCAATGAACCCGTCTCTGGGACCGAATTTGGCTCTGTCAGGATGACAATGGCGACCTCAACGGACAGAATTGCGACTCGTAACGCAGCACGCATTGGTGATGTGACACTTGTCAGGCGTCTAGCCAGGCAGGCTGTTCAAAACTTTCGCAACACTCAGCAAATCCACCTTCAGAGGACGGGAAGGCAGAAGCCACTAGTCGACATGAAGAGAGAGACAATTAGGTTTCGGCGGCATAGGATACATGCCACAAAACGAAAACCCGACCTCGCTGGATCTACTGACTTTGCGTGTCCTTTCTTGGTTAAGAACCCCTGGAAGCATCTAGATTGTCTGCGGGAAGACGCTTTAAGCACAATGTTGGATGTGCGAGACCATCTTTGGAGGTCACACCGCGTGCCCTACCACTGCCCAGTTTGCATCCAGACATTTGTGTCTGCTGCTAGGCGAGATGAACATATCCTCGAACGTGATTGCAGATTGAAGGACTATCCGAATTTTCAAGGTGTCACACAGGACCAACGGGATCTCATTTCACGTACTCAAGATATTCCTGGTAGCAAGAAACAATGGTTCGCGATATGGGATATTCTGTTTCCGGGAGAGGACCGGCGGCCAAAGTCTGCGTTCGTGAAGAACACGGTTGGTTCTGAGGTAGGTGATTTCAGGACCTTTTTTAAAGCCAGGGGATTGGCTTTGATCGGAAGCTCTGTCGAGGAGCTTTGGGGCGAATTGGACCACGAAGGAGGGAATTGTGCAACGGCGCTTCACTCAATGGTGCTTGGCGAAGCCATCAATGCTTTGGTGGATGGAATGTTGGGATCTGTCCCGAGTATGGACAGCTGTGTAGATCACTGATTTTGGTCAAGCAGCAATGGCTACAACAGGCGGCAATTTTGATGTAGTGGGAGTAGAACTAGGTCTACTGTATACCCAGACTTCTGAGGTACATATAGGCTGTGGTCTAGGTGTCATTGTGAGCGACGCACCTGAGATGGCCAAGATGGAAACCTGTTGCCCAAGATTATCAAAGAGTAGGGCGGGGCCCTTTGTTGCACGGGAGACTTTCAAGCGGCCAAAGGAATCCGCCTTCGGCGAAAATCTGTTTCTTTTGCTCGTTAGATGTGCTGAAGGAAATCGTCGCATCATATTGATATATTCATACACGCAGTTTTTCATAGTGAAAGGCCGGTCTACTACTGCAAACTACTTTATGTTTATCGGGAAGACGCCATCTGAACTCGACACACGTTCAGAAACTTGAAATAGTCGTGATGAACGCCTCGCGGAAGTCGTTCCCAAAACGCCGATGATTTGAGCTTTGTATACATACAATGAAGACTAGGGCATGTGATAGGTGATTCATTTCATTGGAAAATGCGTCAGCAGGGCTTCCTTCCAGCGGGGACGGAATGCGCAATATCGTACACTGTACTGTGGCTATCTGGTGTGGAAGGAGGAGATATCGGGCGCAAGATCCCAATGATTCCTTCCAGATGGAAGTAGGTATGCAAGATTGTTTGCATGGCCTCCTGCAGTCCTGCTCAATGCTCAGTATTCTAATACTTGTCTTTCCCCGTGCTTCAATTCGGCAACACTTTCGCATGTACGCAATGGTCGGTCATTAGGAGATCATTATACTTAAGGGGGGGTGGTCATTCGCATCTTCAGCCTTGTCTGTAAATTATCGTGATGAACGCACGAGATGAAGTCGAGATGACTATGCTATAACGCAGGTGGCGTGTCTCTGAGAGCCCATTGTTTTCAATCTCCCAAGTCGCTTGCAACGCCAAAGGTGCTTCGGAGCCGGTCCTCCGCTCTTAAAACTGAGTATTTCTGGTCATTGGGATAGGGAAGTTGATGTTATATAAGGAAGGACAAGGGGTTAGAGGAAGCGACGAAATCCTCAGACCGTCAGTGTCCAATTGGTGAAAGCCCTGCAAAAGCCACATGCACCTTCTACGTGTGCCAGGTGCTGTCCGTAATTCAATTCGTCGCTTTTGGTTGATCTACAACATTAAACCATGACTGCATACATGTTCAGGCTTGAAGTTGGTTGCTCCGAGAAACACGGTGGTAAGAGTACGTTCCCAAGCTGAGACTGGAGTTCAGAGCGGTAAAGACGTTCTAGCGAGGCATGTCCAGGATAGAGAAAGCCGGCCGTAGCCCTGAGACGTTTCAGCCACTAATACAATGAGTGCTTCATGATCAATATGTATGCATCAAATGGCCTGCGGGATTGCATCGTTCCATGCCATCTATTTATAAGGTATTTCATACCAGCATTCGAAGATAATTTCCAGCGGAGGCTCGGAAAAGAAACTTTCCAGGTTCCTAAACAGGCTGATTCAGGTATAACGCCATGTGCACCACCGCCCTAATATCAACGTAACCAGATCCAGCACAGTTCATACCGAGAAGAGAAAAAAACAGGGGAAAGGGATAGGTGCAAACGACCGAGCTATGGATGCAAAGGACATGCGTTCGACTTTCCTAAACCGCGACATTGACAAGGTCGTGCCGGAGGAAAATTGCTTGTTGTTTGATGGCCTAGCTGCGTTTCGTTGTAAAGCGTGTTGAAATTTGAAGCTATTGGGTACGTGATGTTCCCTTGATGGTTGGTTCTTTGAGGATGAGTATTGAACTCGAGCCCTGACGGGGTATAAGCCAGTTGATTCTGCCCTGTGTCTGCGTTGTCGAACATGGAGTAATTATTGTTGAGAAACAACATCGAGGGATTAATTGTGTCTGATGACCAGTCGGTCTGACTGGCAATGGGAGTTACAGGCTGCGGAATCAGGTTATCAGCGTGTGGTGCCAACGCGATGGAGAGGTCGACGGGTAAACCCTGATTGCCGGTTGCGGGACCATTAGAAGCGGAAGTCGGGGGTTGCGATGTAGTGTTAAGCGATTGCCCCTGGGCGCCGGGGTGAGTGTGTGAAGAGCTGCGGCGCTCAACTGGAGGTAGCGACTCCGCCGGGCCTGGGGCCCAGCTGCTGCTCAACTCACCTATGACCTCTTCGAGGAGTTGGGAACTCCATCCATAGCGTTGGCCAACTTGTCGCATTCTCTCAGCCATTCTGGGTTCGACCCTTTGTCTTATTGCAAGTTCTTCGACGTCGCCCGAGTAAGGAGAAACGGGTCTCGGCTCATCCGGAAAGACAACGTCCCAAATATTAAACCAAAATTCGGACTCCTCCTCGTTGCGGGACTTCCTCAACAATGTGATCGCGGATATTTTATCTTGATCAAGACGATATTCATCAAACCCACAGTGGCCAGGACTGCATGTTTGGGCTCTCGTGTGTGCCACGTGATCTTGATGCGTCTCGAATGTGGTGTAACAAATGACACAATGGATGGGTTGACGATGATCGCCTCTACCGGGTTCCGTGAGATGTCTTTTGACATCCTTCACGTACTCGAATTGGTAGTGCTGGCAGTTGACGTGGGCGAGAGGGTTATGTGCGTAAAAGTGGCACGCGAAAGGCTTCCCTTTCTGTGTGCCTTTTTTCTTGGCTTCGACATCGATACGTGGGCGTTTCCCGCCTCGATCGTTCTTCGTGTGGCCGGTATCGCTGGGAGGAGAACTCCCGCCGGGCCTGGAGTCTCTTTTCCCCCGCTGCTTCGTTCCAACGCCCTTTGAGGTTCCCACAGTACCGCTGCCGCCGCGTGCTGTGTTGTTCCCTTGTATTCGTCGCCGCGCCCCAATCTGCACAAGGCGGTCCCCGATGCTGGTGATCCACTCTCGAAGTAGTTGAGGAATTGGCGGACGTTCGAGGATAGTCTTGAATGGGAACCAAGTGATGGACCCTTTTTCGCTGATCAGGGGCCTTCGACTCTGGCTGTAACAGGGGTTTGCCGGCGCCCACTCGGCGAGCAGAGCGGCAGCGACAGGCTTGAGAAGGTACAGACCAGTGCCACAGGCCACAAGGAAGTTGAGAAAACCATGGCGAAGCCTAGAATCGTCGTGTTCAAGGACTAGCCACTGAGAGCATGTATACTGTTTGAAGGGAAACCCGATTTGATCGAAAGGCGTTTGCAATATCGAAATGCCGGCTGAAGTCAATTGGGCATGGGCAAGGTAGACCTCCGACGAGTTTGAAAGAGAACCTAACAATGGATCGAAGAAAGGCGTACAGTTACTCAGGGTGTCGGCTGCGGCAGCACCCGCCGAGTGGCCCAAGCTGATCGTTCCGAGGGTCGGTAGCCGGTTTTCCACAGTGTCCGGGGAGTATAGACTTGAAAGCCTCAGTAGCAAAGTCATCGATAGAAACACTTGGTCCCAAGCGTAAGGCTTTCAAGCTATTGAATTGCAAGCGTTTGAAACATGTATGTGAAATAGAGAGTGTTTTCTTTGATTTGTGCAATTGTGGAAGAAAGGAGGGAGGATTGGACAGGAGGGAAGAAAACAGCAACAGCATCTACCTGAAGAAGTCCGAACGAACTTAAGGTAGGTAGGCTTCCCATCATCCATATGAATTGCCCGCCTCCTCTGCTTTTAGTGCGGATGCCTTTCCGTCTCTTGGTTGACGATTCTCCGCTCGCGCAGCTTTCCTGCGCGCTATCACCCCTGGTGCGGCTCTTCTCGAGCGTGTGTCTTCGCCCCCTCTTTCAACCCGGCCAGCTACTACTTGTTATATGTCTTCATACTGCACTGCCTTGTACGGGCTTGCCAGGGCATACTCACAGTCATATTTCCCGTCGAGCTGGCCAGCAGTGAGTACGCCTCACGCCTAAATAATCACTGCACTGTCTCCCCAAGCTCCAACGAAATCTGCCCTCCCTTGCTTGACTCCGTAGTCCGTCTTCTGATTTGCCAAACCGTCAAGCCATAGCTGCAAGCTGTGAAATTCTGAGCCACCCAAGACCAATACCCATGCGAAAGGCAACCTGGAAGATGTTGCCTTGCGCCCACAAAGCCTCTACGGGTCGGAGCCAGACCCGTGTTTAGCACCAGCCAACTTCCATACCTACGTCAGTTGTGGACAGCTGCGCGCGATGGGCGGGCAACTCCCCATTTCAAAACGCGCGACTGCCCGTCCCACCATCGTTATGCCCACGTCAATGGAGCGTGACAGCACGCCCAGTTTTGGCACACGCCCCCCCCCCACCCTGATGCGAACCATTCTTCCTGTTCGCAGGGCCAAAAAAAAAAAAAAAGAACAAACCCCCCGGTTCGCAGGGCCGCAGTACACTGAGTAAGTGCCGCTGCTCAAGAAATCGCTAAGAAATGCGCAAATGTGTGCTGCGCGATGGTCGAGGGAAACGCGCAGTTATGGCGGAACTCGTGAGTAGACTTCTCAAGAAGAGATAGAAAAGACGTGAAAAGGTCCATGGAATTTGGGACACAAGTTGTCACCTTGATGTATTCTACAGTGATAAATAATTGTAATAACTACCTTATCGTCCAAAGCACAAATCGTTCAATCTTAAAGATACGGCCAATGAACAAACCAGTCAAGATGCCGAGCTACAAGGCACAATCCCTTCAGACAGGAGACATGAGGTGAGTCCCTTTCCCCGCGGCACCTTTCGTCATACTCATTATTCAAGGTCGGTCAGAAGCAGCCAACAAACTATGCGAACCACCAGGCTCGAGGCTTGGATGAAAGAGGGGCCACCAGTCCCACTCGCGGCTTACGGCCTCAACCAGACAATTAGCAGGAGGCAGGGAGCACATTCGGGGATCAAGAAATTTGACCGGGCATGGGAGCAGGCGAGGAGGAAGGAGTGAAGATGATACCCAATACAAACCATACCGACAGCGAATACCTTGTTTTGAGCTTCCTTTTGTATCGGTTTAAGGGTTGATGCATTCTGCTAGACCCTACTGTTGTCCACCGCAGGACACCATGCACGCACGCGCCTGTAAGATGGGGCATAAACGCGTCTCCAAATCTGCCCGAGGGGCTGTGTAGAGTCACTTAGCCCACCCCCATTCGGCTGATAGCCGTGTCCCAATCCAGTTCGTCATTTGTGCTAGATATTATTTCAGGTTCGGTACTTGTGCTCCCATAGGCGCTGTTGGGTGTGGTCTTAACCAATAGACGAGTTGGTGGGATGGGTTGGACGTAGACGCCGCTGAATCACGCGAATGAGTCCTAAGTAAGTACCTGGGGACCAGTTGCAGATGAGGGCTGGCTATAAGTCTATGCCTCCGCACACCATTGACATTCTCGCTCCGATCGCGAAACGTGTTCTGTGACTTCAATCTTTTCACAGCTATCTACATGGTCAGCAGCTCAAGAGCTCAAACATGACGACGAGTTTCCAGACTGCATCACTTGCAAACTACAAACCCGAGGAGAACTCCCAGCTATCCGGTCCATATGTCGAGATCCCCTTTCCGGACAGACAATGCTGGGATGATCCGTGGCTTTCACCTCATGATATCGACCAAGATGTCGCATACTCCGGTGAGAATCCCCAGTCAGATATGCGTGATGGAATCTACTAAGCGCAGCAATCAGAACCACCATCTCGAAGCCGACCCCAAGACGACTGGATGATGGTAGATACCGCGTCAATCGATCCTTCTCTCACGCAGTTCTCGCACTCAACCATGATTGATAGGATCCATGTGGGACCTGAGGGAAATCAATCCCTTTCATTTGAAGACTTCAATCTTGGCAGACAAATTTACCAACACCCAATGTCGCAAAGTCCGATCTGGGGTATGGATCGTATCGAACTTTGGTCGAAAGATTGGGCTGACACATTTCAGATATAGCGTCACAACCCTTTTCCGACCCAAGCCTAAATGTAGCCAGTTTTGCCCAATTGCCGACGCATGCACTTAACGGCGGAAGTCCCCTCTCCCTTGGGCTGAGCATCGATGCCAATCACAACAAGACGAGCCGACCGGCTTCAAATCCGACATCCAACGCAACAAGAATCGGAAACCGTAAGCGCGGAAGGTCCCAGATAACCAGGAATACAATATCAGGTCGGCAGAAGGGAGATAACGCCGCTCTTGATGAGTTGGGAGATGCGAAGGATGAATCAGAGGATGATGAGGCAGATGCGCCGCCTAGCAAGAGACTCGCTTGTCCTTTCTACAAGTTTGATCGGGTCAGGCATCTTCGCTGTGCTCATTTCCATCTAAAGCGGGTGAAGGACGTCAAGCAACATCTTCTTCGCAAACATCGCTTTCACTGCAACGGTTGTCACGAGGGATTCAAGGATGAGGAGAATTGCAGGAGACACGCCAATTCCCAGCAGTGCCAAGCTGGGGCCGGGTTTTCCCAGCCTACTGGAATCGAGGAGGGTTTCTCCGAGGATCAGGTCAAAGAGCTGTTGCAGAGGATGAATTCGAGGGAAGCCGATCGTTCTTGGTACAGTATCTGGGAGATTCTGTTTCCTGGGCGGCCGACTCTGGCCTCGGCTTTTCTCAAGAGCGACGTTGAGGAGGTGATTTCTACCGTGTGCGAGCTATGGGAGAAGAATAGGTCCAAGGTCATGTCTTCCCTCGGCAATGCTCCGTTCTTGGCGGGGCCGATAACCGATGCAGAGCTTTCGGAGCAAATTATATGTTCTACGTCGGGGACGCCTGCGGAGGACAATCTTCTGCGGCTTCTGGGCAAGCTCGCCGAAGTCAGTGTTCCCCGAGGCAATGTTGACGGAAGATGTGCTCCTACTGCACAAACTGGCTTTTCGGCGCCTGCCCTCGGTCATGCTTCTATGTTGCGTACAGAGTCAACCAATCTTTGCGATTCAGAGAAATTGCAGGTTAGTGACAAGATGACATGTTTAGTCAAGACCGAGAGTCCAGGCAACGCAAGACCGATTTCAAGGAGGCAAATCGATAGAAAGCGCAGAAGTGCAAGGAGGAATCCGGAAACGTGAATACGATATTTTCTAACCAACGATTTAGGACTCTTGAGATTGAGGTAAAATGCTCTTTTCATCGCCGCGGGGACTTACTTACTAAATATCTTACTAGGTGATTGGGGGTGAGGTGCCATCAGGTCTTCAAGGGCACTTCATGAGAGTCACTAGATTGATGGATTGAGCCTTTTCGATAAAGCTCCGTAATTCCACTATTTTCTACGTAGCGTCAGCAGCTCACTTTGATGAATCTCTCCAAGTCTAGCTTAATTGACAGATGTCTTCCAGTTCCCATGGAACCTTCGTACTCACAGTCAAAGTTGCAAGGAAGACGCAGCGTGATTGGAAGTTTAGATGGACAAGGCGACTACACTATGTCTACAAGCTTCGTGTAATCAGAGCTTTTGTCGAGCCTATTTGTGTCACATTGATCCGTGCCAATCTCAAATAGGTGTATCAGGGTCTCAGAGGGGAGGATCCCCTCTGTTGTTGAACACTGACTGCGGAAAGTATTCTAATCGCCGGTGCGACAAGTCTCATTGGATACCTTGCTTAATAACATCGGTATATACCCAATACGTCTTTAATACTTCCCTGATTTCAGACATGCTGTTCTTTCTCTTCTGAATTTGCAGGAACGCCCAGTAACACTATAACTATGTGCAAGCCGCTTTTCCCTTGAATAGGAACGTACTGGTAGTATCTAGCACTGGTTACGAACATCGGCTCGCCCTGTGTCCACTTCGAGGCCATTTGAGCCCTCAATATCAAGCTAGAAAGTGATCAGTGATGGAAGGCCATGTGCGTAAGCTACATGGAGTGTGGATAGGAACTTCTGAGCTAAGATGGCTCTGTGGAGGGTTGGGCCTGCGTACACGATAAACAGTGGCAACCAGCGTACTTTACCTAGCCGACCAGTCGATAGGGCCAGACTTGATGCTGGTCACAAGCAGTAAGTATTCATAGTCCCCGACTTGTATTTGGTTGCACTTGAGCCTCCATCCTGCAATAAGTCCGGCTGGCAAGTCCCTGCTGACATACTAGAAGGATTCTGAACGTTGTGTTGCAACAAACTCGAGCTTCGGCTTTAGTCTGACTTTTCTTTGTGGTCGATGAATTCCTACACCAAGAGAAGGATAGTTGATCTCAATAGGAGCAATAGCACGGCAAGGTATTGTTGCACATCTAGCGTACTTGAAAGTTACCTATTTGAAGAGACATGAAGAAATGACACAACTGTCAATGCTTCTAATATGTGTCTCCCTTCATGTTACTTAATTAACCGAACATAGCAAAAGGAGAGAAACTGATGCCCAGTCCAAGTTATTTGCAGTTTAAACCGACATTACAAGCTCCCTAAGAAGTACTATACTATATGTGGGCAAGTCGTAAGAGGCTGTTGGTGTTTGAATATGATCCTGACTTTTGATGCGCGACTTCAAAGGCGGCTTAAATCCTGCTGCAATCGCCCCCAAGTTCCACCCGAGTCTTGATTTTCTGGGCCATTTCTGAACACAAGCAGACGCTTCTGGGTCTAGGTAAGTTGTGTCATTATTTGTTTCCTCCCTTCCTCTCTCAACCTGCCCCTCCCCCGCAATTCGCTAGGGAAGCACGGATCACCGGGAATCCGTTGAAAATGTGGAGACGCGGCACTCGGGTTGACTAATCGCACCGCGGCCTTTATGGACGCGAACCGTTTCGGGAAGACTGCACAAGTCCGCGCCGAGGGGCCAAAGAAGCTTTGCGACACAACGGCACCGCTGCGCCAGTCACCCTGTCGTATTCGGGTGCCACCCACCGTTGCTCAAGCCTCGATCCCTCCAGGACTGCCGGTCAGTTCCTCTGTGTGGAGTGTAACGGCACGGATCACTTATACTGTGGTCCCTGACCGTTTGAGCAGTCCCCTGGGACAGTGGGACGGGCAGTCTAATTGACTTGGTCCGCGTTGCTTTAGCTGTCCTTGTCCTTCTCGGTCCAATTAACCTTTCCGAAGCTTCCCTCCTCGTGTTCTTTGACGACAACACACGCACACGAAGACACCTACACCGACAAACAACGCGTCAACGACTCGACGGACCATACCGAGCAAAACCCTTCCTCCACGATACACTCACATCACGAACCCACCCAAATCCAAAGACCCCAGCGCATACGACAAGATGGTCTCAACACGCTCCTCCTCCCGCGCCCTCCCAAACGGCCTCGACGCCTCCCCAAGCATCCCCTCCACAGCCCGCGCCGTCGTCACAGCCGCCACAACCCACCCCGAAAACAAATCCACCTCACAAGGCTGGTCCCACGCGCCAACCTCCCTCACCTGCTTCTGGCTCCTCGTCTCCCTGCCCCTCGTCATCTGGGACACGGGCTACGTCCTCCTCCGTCCCTGGACAATGCCGGGAGGCCACCTCCACTGGCCTGTCTGGGCACCCTACAAGCTCTACGGCGAGGTCGACCACGTATATGGATGGAAGGCGTTCAACGCCGGCAACGGCTTCACGTCTGCGCAGGGCGCGTTGAATGCTGTTGAGACGGTCATGTATCTTGCGTACTACTGGCTGTACTTCTCGCGGGGACGCGCCGTTGATGGACCGGCTGGGTTGAAGAAGGTTGTCGGCGGAAAGGCGGGCGCGTTGGCTATTGTCATTGGGTTCAGCGCGGCTGTTATGACGTTGAGCAAGACGGTGTTGTACTGTAAGCGCGACCCTTTTGCGCCCAGAGCTCTGCGAAGCGATGATATACTAACAGTGATGATGCGACAGGGGCGAACGAGTACTTCTCCGGTTTCGATAACATCGGCCACAACCCCCCTCTGGACCTTCTCTTCCTCTGGATCATTCCTAAGTAAGCTTTTCCCCAGTATGGCCGGGTTAATCGCAATGTGGTGAGAAGCTGACTTAGAATCGCAACTACAGCGGCGCATGGCTCCTCGGATCAGGCTACATGATCTTTTCCATGGGCAGCGAGATCGTCGACGGGCTGGCTCTCGCGTCGAAGACTACCAAGACTGAATAATGCACGTCGCGCTCGAGACGCCTTACGCGGATTGACTCTTTGTGCGAGAATAAATATAAGGTAGGGTATCCGTGTCCTGTACACTTGTTCAAATGGCGCTGCAGGCCGCATGCATTTTTCAAGACGACAAGGGGACAAGGAATCCGATGGACTGGTAAGAATGAGATGTATATATACGTGGAAATATGCGTAATGTTTGACACGAAAAAAAGTTCATCTACCCTCTTCTGGGTGGCGTCGATCCTGATTTGACATTGCGTGCGATAGGTCGCGCAATTCTTAACATGTGCTCATCCACATCCACGATGGCTGCATTCATGCAGGTACCATGCAAATCAAACGTCGAGGGGCGGACCAGACAGGCCATTGCGGTCAGCACTTGTGCCCACAACACCTCACAATACATGCACCTCAAAGATCAATGGCAAATTGAAAGGCTTCCACGTTTTTTGGAGATCAGTCCATACTAAGGTAGTCTATATAGCCTGTCAACATGGACTTTGCAACAAACATGGTGGTGTGTATAGGTGTCTTCGCTTGATTTGTGTCATCTGTACTGTGCAAGTCACCATTGAAGTGAATAGGAAAAAGAGACTTGGGTCATATCACATTTCTTTTCTTCGAATTTTCCAGTAAGAATATTGTACAAGGTGCCATGGCATTTCCCGGCCTAAACTCCAGACCTTTACCAACCCCAACGCCCATATCAATCATCGCCATGCGCAAGGCCTGGATAAGGAGGGTGCGACAGGGTATCTCGTCATTTCCAAAATCAATACATACAAAGAAAACAACACAAGTGGCGTCATACCGCTATCATTCGTACATCCCGACCGGAGTACTCAGTACACCAAGTCGAGTCTAGATATTCAAAGGCGAACAGCTGGTGAGGCCGCCCAGGTCCTTGAACTGCTCCCACACAGGCTGCACATCCATCTGCCCCAAGACTGGAGACTCATGAATCGGTACCGAAGACTTGCGAATCTGCAAGGGAAGAGGCTCCAGCTCATGGCGGTGAAAGTCCTCCTTCTGCTCCTTGATCAGCTCCTCGTAGTCGTGAGCGTAGCTACCAGCGCCGGCGCCGATAACACTATGGCGCCGGTTATTGACCGTCCATTCCGAGGACCTGGCACGGGGAGGCGTCCCCGCGAAGGAGAGCACGTTTCTCATGCGCCGACGTCCTCGCAGAGGGACGGGGCTCAGCATAGGCGACTCCTGGTTGGGCCAGTTCTTGGACGGCGCGTCGGGGGAGGTCGGCGGCGCCGTGGAGTCGACGGTCGCGTAACTGTGGCCGCCCATCGACGGAGCCTCGGAGGCGCCGCTAGACTCTGAAGAGGTCGAGAAGGAGCGCGGGGCGACCAACGTCCGGGGCGAGACCTCGGCGGGAGGACCCTCCCATTTCTTGACGGCGTTGGTGCCGTTGCCGTAGCCGTGGACCACAATCTCGCAGTAAGATGCCTTGCGGGGTGCCGGTGCGCACTGCTCTTCCAGCTTGCGGAAGATGCTGAGAGATCGCCGGAAGGGGTTGTTACGGGACAAGCTGCGGCTTCGTGAGCGGGCCGGGGCGGCGGCGGCTGGGACTCCGCATGATGACTGTCGACGGGAAGCTACTTCGCCACGGCGAGATCTGGCGGTGTAGTCGACGTCTGGTCGGATGTCAATAGTCGGCGACACAATGACAGTTGGTGTGCCGTGGCATCCCGTTGCCCAATCAGTGACGGATTGCAACCGCCTAGTATCGGCAGCCATATCTGTCTGCTTGCGCAGGAGGGTTTGCAGTTGACGTCCCTCCTTCCACGGTGGCAACTTCTCGGAAGAAACTGCGAGATGATAGTCCGCATCGACAGTATCGCGAACTTCTGGTGGAGGTTGCGTACAGCTAAGAAGCACTTGGTAGACTGCGTAAATCAGAATCCATCGCACCTTGCGGGCGTCGACGAGACTAATCTTCTCGGCCTTGTCGACGCGGATAAGGGGTGACACGGAGTCTTCTTCGAACTTCCGGTAGGCCCGGACAAATTCATTATCCAGGAATGCTGGGTCGCGCATGTTCATCGCCTTGATCATGGCACTGTGAGCCACCAGGCGCTGGTCCGGCTTCAGTTTGTCGCCTCGCGCGGTATTCGCCAACCACTGCAGCGAGATGCGACGGGATGCCTTGTCCCCAGCCGTCTCGGGCAGTAACGGCAGCGGATGCTTCAGAGACTTGAAGTTACACCGGTCATCGAACTCCTGGACACTCTGCACGGCGCAGATCCCGCCTTGCGCTAACAACGGGCTGCTCTCGATTGACGTGAACTCTTCATCTACGAGCAAGTCGTAGACGGCCTTGAAGTCCTTGCACATGGTGCTAAAGATCTCAGGATCGAATATGGTGCTGCTCCGAGTGTCAAACGATAGTGGCGGGTAGTAGCCGAACTTTGTCGTGTAAAATGATTGGATGAAGGACCGGAATCGGTCCAAGTGGGCACGTCCGCCTGCTGGGAGACCAAGATGTTTCTCAGAGAGCTCTTCCTCAAGAAAGTTCTTGAGCATGTCACCAGCCTGGCTGAGCCGTGAGTTCATCTCAGTCCGGGCCCTTCGAATCAGGGTCTTGGAAACTGAGCCAATGTGCTACGTTCTGTAAGTCAAACGTGCAGCCGTTGAAATTGAGCGAAACATACCTGGTATTCGGGGCTGTAGAAGAGCTCCTCGCTCATTCCAACGCAGTGGCTGAATGCGTCGACGTACAAGTCTCTCAATTGGAAGACTTCAGCCAAATGCAGCATAGCGAGTGCGTGTTGCGGCAGACCCTTGATGTCGTAGTAACCCTCCTCGTCTAGGTAAGAAGTAAGATCCGACACGTTGTCCTGTTCGTTGCCTCTGAACTCTGCCATGCTGTTGAGAAGGCCGATGAGCGCGGTGCCCAGATGCTCGCCCACCACTGAGCGGCGGAAGATCCATGCAAAAAAGTTTCTTGTTGCGAGATGGTAAGAAAACGCCTGTTCCTTGTCGGCCATTGGCGGTGCTGGAATGTAGAGCTCGATTCGCTCATTTGGGTTGAGAGCATTCCACCGATCCAAGTCATCATACTGGTCATGGAATGAACCTGGCGTCTCAGGCATGTCGCGAGCCATAAATCTCTTGACAAACGGGTGGCAGTTTGCTGAAAGCAAAGCACCGAATGGTACCTTGAATGCAGGTCCCCTGCGGGATTGCCCTTTACCGTACAAATGTACGAAGCAATTTCCGCCGCGGAACCATAATTCAGGGTCCTGAGACATCAACGTTAGCGAACAACCTCAAGTCAAGAGACATCGTGCCGGCAGATTTCTTCCACGATGATGGGTTGGATTGACTCACTCTTCTCAGATTATCCCAATAACTGCAAGACCTTGCCGCACCATCCCACCTCTTGACTTTTGAATTTTGAGGCATCCTTCCCTCAATAATAGGGTTTCCAAGCGTCTTAGGCGTCCAGCCTTGTGTTGATGTTGTCGACATTGTGCGAGTCGGTGGTAGAGACATTCGTTTTCGAGAATCTCGTCGGCCGTACATGGTGAGACGTCAAGCGCGAGACAAGTCGCGGGAATAGGGACGTTGATATGTGCGATCGTTGAATAGCTCCCGTGACGGGAAGCCTTACACCCCAGCTGGATGCGGCCAGAGAGATTCACCCAGATTGAGAGCAGTGGATGGCGCCGATGACTGCAGAGGAGGTGTTCCGGACCGCCAATAGTCCACAGGAACCCCTGTCAGATCTGCGGAGATCACTGAAGGGACTGCGGCAACTAGCGGGGGTACCCAGTACGCCCGTAGCAGTGAACAATGACTTCGGATCGTCACTTGTCCACGGCCTTGTCGAGCCTGGTCGAAAGCAGCCGGTCCAGATGGGCGAGAGAGCTCTGGTTGGATGGGGAAATGGACGCCGAAAACCTTACGAAACGTCTTCGGGTGGGCGTGTGGATGGCTTTATCTCACTTGTCCCGGATCAAGAACAACTTGACCCAGAATCCGGGACTGGGCGGGACACCGGCGTCCTGGCAAAGACCCGCCAGCTTGCCCACGGTCCGAGCTGCCTGTCGAAGAGTGTCGAGTGACGCGGCGGGAGACAGAGGGATAGCTCCAAGCCATGTTTTAGACCGGGCCGCCACTAGAGCAATGGATGAACCCCTCAGTCCGGATCCTACCCTGGTCTGCAGCTTCTTCGAGGTTGGCCAAGCGAATGTGCCTGTCATCCACAGCTCTGATGCGTTGGCAGTCTCTTCAGACTTCTCAGACTCCGTGCAGCAGCATACGCATACAGGAGTAATGAGTCTGTTCCTGTTCCTGAGGAACACTGCTGCAGCAGCATCCGTCAGCTCCAGGCTGTGCCACTGCAGGCTCCCCGTCCGTGAGCCGGCTTCTCGCAAACAAGGGCGGCGAGAGGAATCATTTTGCCTTTCAACGGCGACGTATGATGTCTGGAGGTCTCAAACAGTCTCTGCGTCTCCACAAACGCTGTTGTGACGGAACCCGAAATCGACGTTGAAGTGATCGGCAAGGCCAGTTGTGACTTGTTTTCTCAATGATATGAGCATTCTTGCGTATGCAGTCTCCTCTCCCTGGAACACTTTGGGAATGCTAGTGATAGGATGGTGATGCAAAGCGTCGATGCTGGCTCGCCTCTGCCCACCATCAGCCCAAAGTCCGGGGGCTTGTTGTGCTTGTCTTTGGGGATCGCCGTCCTCGATGCATACTTCGGCGTTGGCTTGCATCGACAAAGAAGTTCAATGATTGGTCAGAATCGCGTCCCGCTTGCTCGATTGAGCAATGTCTCATGAAAATTGGCGACTAACCCACCGGGAGCTGGGTTTCCCTTTGCTAATTGTCTTGGGACGATCGCAATCGGCTTTCTTTTGCTGAATCATCAGAGTCACACGGCGGCCATAATGTGAAGTCATCCCAATGTGATATAACGACCACGATCGCATCCGGGAGGTGTGGATAGAGGTTTGACCGTCTTCGTCCTGTTGAGAGGCAACATTGAATCTAGGTCTTGCAACCACGTAGGTAGACCTGCTGATAGACAGCCCTCGAGACCAAAGAGCGTCATCCCGCATGAGGATATTCGTCGCGGCGGGAAACTCCATGGCGTGAGTGTGAAGCTCGAAAGGTCGGCCGCCATGTAGTCTTCGTCGTCGCCAGATCAGTCCGCTTTCCGTAATTACTGTTTGTAGCACAGACAAGATAAACCTCTCGCCTCTCTCTCTCGGTGACTTGCGACCGATATTGTGCTACCTCGCCAGAAGGTCGCTAGTGATGGCCGGTGCTCGGGATCTACCAGGATAGACCAAGTTAGAGAACCATCGCCATGGAACGATGAGCGTGCGTTTGGCTTCCCTAGCTTCATGCCGTCGGCCGACAGAAAAGCTCTCTTTCCCGTCGTTGGGGCCAGCTTCAGGACTGTTGCTTGCCGCTCCCTCGAGTTCAGATAGATATTTTCCGAACCGAGATTTCCCTCATCGGTGTGCCTCGCTTAACAGATTCGACGAAAGCTGCGAGGCATTCGGGGCCCAAAACACTGGCGTTTACGCTGTGCAAGAAGGACATGGCTACTTACACACAGGCACAGTCAACGACACCTTGACGGGCCTCTGCCCTGCGTGGAACAGCGGCTCCAAGAGGAGATGCAGGGTATCTGCACGGCAGAAGCCGCGCTGGCCATATTCGTCCAAGTCCAGCCATCCCTCACGCGGGGCGACAGTCATCTTTCCAGAGATCGGCTCAGGGTCATGGGGCACAAAGGAGCTCCGGAGGCGGATCCCACCGCCTGGCAAGGGCTCCCGTCCAGCACCGGACCGGAGGCAAGACAGGCCCAGCCATGAGGACTCAGCCCTCGCTCGCTTCGGAAGGGCTTGCACGACCTAGACCCCGCGGCTGGCTTTTGGCGTCCTGTCGCACTCGAGGAGGTCTGGACCGCTATTAAATAGCGCAGCGCCGGGCCGCAACGAAAACGTCGAAGCTGAAGAAAGAAGACCCAGCCCGGTGGGACCACGGTGAACGGTAAAAGGAAACCGCAGACGAAATGGGGTCCACCAAGCGAGGCTGGCTGGCGGCATGGCGGCCGGCAGAGAGAAGCTTAAGACAAGTGCAAGTCATATAATCCAGATGCGGGAAGCCTCTCGAATCCCCCAACCGGAGACACCGAAGCCTATCGTTGAAGACATTAAGCCCGTGGCGAGGAGCGAGGTGACAGTTGTGACAGCGCCCTCAGGGCGTCCTTGGCGAGAAACCGGTTTGACAAGAACAGGCTCTCAGTCTCGCGTGGGTTTGACAAGTTCGAAGCATGTTGATCAATAACGTCCGTCCATAGAAAGAGTTTTCCGGTCAAGAAGGTAGGCGATTTTTCTCATGCAGTCGAGCGCATCAACAGGCGATGGATGGAAAGCTAACAGCCTTTGGAGGGACCAAGCTGATTTCCATGTAAGTCGCGAGTTTGGGGGACCGAAATGGAGGGTGGGATAGCTCGTCGCCGCTTACATAAGTATGCGTCAATGGTGAACTTGTGATGTCCTTATCGGTAACGATAACGAGAGGCTCACCTTCTTATCGGTCTTATCAGCCCGCCCTCCTGGGCTCTGGCCGCGCGGGATTTCGGTGAGGAGCATTGTCGCGTCCGGGAGACAGCTCCGTGCAGACTCTCAAACGCCCTTCCTCGAGCCTAACTGCGCGGCACAGTCGCCCTCCTCCTCGTGGCATACCACACCTTTCCAATCCGGAATCCACTCCGCATAGCACCATGTCGGAGCGAAAATGGCACCTCTGACCCCCTACACCTACATCCGCTGCCCCTGCTCCGAGACTCACCAGTCCAGCGAGGACGGGTCGTCAACGCCGGGAAGCCCAGAGGACGATGAGCGAACATTCGACCCGCGCGCCCCGCGCGCCAACTTCAGCCTTTACCCTCTGGAGCATCTGATGTACTGCGAAGACTGTCACCAGATCCGGTGCCCACGATGCGTCAATGAGGAGATTGTCACCTACTACTGCCCCAATTGCTTGTTTGAGGTTCCCAGCAGCAACCTTAAAAGCGAAGGCAACAGGTATGCACAAGGTTTGCGTCGGACGAGAGTTGCGGCGGTTGCTAACACCATCGCAGGTGCACACGAAGTTGCTTCCAATGTCCCGTCTGCGTTGGCCCCCTCGCTGTTACGGCCCTCGATACACCGCCCGAGAGCAACCTTCTTACGGCAGATGGAACAGCCCCTCCAGGCGCTTCCTACGTCCTGTCATGTTCATACTGCAACTGGAGTTCAACCGAGATCGGCATCAAATTCGACCGACCCAATGGCATTCACGGGCAGTTGGCCAAGTTACAGAACGGAGGCCAGCCCAAGCTGACTCCCAAGGAGCACAAGGAGAGGAAAAAGGAGAGCAATGGGGAATACCAATTGAATCCAGAGGACATGGATGCCGAACTACAGTTTGCGCAGCTCAAGTCCTTCTATCAGAACCAGATGGCCAGTTCGAACCCCTCAGCAGGTGGGCTATCATCACTGGGTGACCTAGGCCTCAACTCGCCTGGCTCCTTGTCACGCATCATGAGTCTGTATACCGGGAACAACTTTAGTAACAAACAGGCCCGTGGTAAGGTGCAGATCATGAGGGAGGCCGTCAGTCCTGACGAGGGCTTGAAGACAACCGATCTGGACGAGTCAAAAGAGATTGAGAAACTCAGGCACACGCATCCCGACGATACAACCACTCTAGCCCAGAACTGTCTACAGCAAGACCACGTACGCTTCCGAGACGAGCTCCGGCCCGTCCCCTATCTCCTGAGAACGAAGCGGTCCAAGAGATGCCCGCTCTGCAGACACATCATCAGCAAGCCGGAGGCAAAGATCTCCAACACGCGGTTCCGCATCCGCCTTGTGGCCGGCAGCTACATCCCCACAATCACCATCCGACCGCTGCAGTCGGAGGTCCAGAACCTCCCCTCGACCGCTCGGCCTCCGATACCCCAGGAACTGTGGCTTACGCCACTCAAGCCCGTGCAGTATCTCCTGACCTTCAAGAACCCCATCTTCGAGACGGTCAAGGTGTCGCTGGCCACCCCGTCGAGCACGCCTGGCCGGTTCGCCAGCACTGTGACGGTGCTGTGCCCGCAGTTCGAGATTGATGCCAACACGGATATGTGGGATGATGCCCTCAAGGACGACGGCGACAAGGAGCACAGGAGGGGCGAAGAGGGCGGGATGCAGCAGGCTGAGGTGGGCAAGATTTACGAGCGTGGCCGCAATTGGGTCAGTATTGTGTTGGAGGTTGTGCCGGCTTCATTGAGACCTGAACATCAGCAAGGCGGCGGTGGTGGCGACGGCGCTCTTCGCGAGGATGAGGATGTGTTGGAGATACCCATGTTTGTGCGTATCGAGTGGGAGACAGAGGCTCAAGGCGATGTCGGAACGGCGACAAGCAGGGAGAAGGAGGCGAGGGAAAAGAGGGAGCTGGCTTATTGGTGTGTCTTGGGAGTTGGACGAATCAACCAGGACTAGACCTCACGTCAAATGAAGAATGATACCCCCCAAATTTACACATCAAGCAATGGCTTCAAGCAAAGATCATAGGTCACACGATGTTGGGAACAATTATTTAAGAAGGAGCGGTCAAGTGTTTTGGTATATGCATTTTTTGGGCAGCCTGTAATTGAATCGCCCAAGCTATATCCCTTTAGACGCCAGACCCTTTTGACCAACCAGTCATTGTCATGCCTTCATTGCAGCAGACTAAATGCCAAACCCATCATTGACCATGATTCCTTGTTTATTTTCACCAAACACCCGCCCATGCACAAGACACTAGACAGATAATCTAGTACTCGGCGGAGCCGGACTGGGGGAACTCGAAGGTGACACCGCGGCCGGTAAGCTTGCGGTAGACCTCGGAGTAGGTGTCGAGGCGGTAGTCAACACCGCCGCGTTCCTTCTCGTCAAGGATAACCTTGAGGAGCTTGGAGCCGTCCTCCTTGGTGCGGAGGCGCTTGCCGACGATCTCGACGGGGTAGACGAGGTCGGTGAGGATGGCGTCGTGGACGGCGGTGAGAGTGCGGGAGCGGGGGCGCTTCTGGGTCTGGTTGTTGCGGGAGCGGGCGGAGCGCTTGGGGCGGGGCAAGATGCGGCGGGAAGCCAGGATCAAGACGTGGCGGTCGGAGAACTTCTTCTCGAGCTCACGGGTGAGGCTGTGGATGGTCTTAGTATCTTGGTGAAGGTGGGTTGAGAGAGGAAGAAAACTTACCGCTGCTGGACGCGGTGGAAGCCCTGCAGGGAAGGAACGGGGACAAAGATGGCAATAGCCTTCTTGCCGTGGCCGACCTCGATCTATAGGAAGATCACAAGTCAGCATGCGAGCTCCAGGACGATGCCTTGGACCGCTTCCCGTCCTGTTCCTGAGATTATCATTCTTTTCAGCGTTCAAATCTCCGCCGCCACGGTGAAGCTGAAGACACAGCCCATGAGCACCTCCCAAGACTTCAACGCGCGATTCCAACGCCAGCAATTTCTTTCCCTTTTGGTCCTCTTCAACCCTGATGTGTTTCAATCGAGAGAAAGGATTCGGGGATTCCATTGCTTCACATCGCGCTCGTCAATTGGGGGTGTTGCCCATGTTCGATGCTTCTTCATGCTTGGATTTCCGTGGCGGCTGGGAACAGGAATTTCGATTCCGGAGAATTCGCGGGGGGTCGGAAGTCTTCAGGACTTTTGGAATGTGTCGCTTCAGGTAGTTCTCACCTCGCGGGCAGAGACGATCTGCAGAGGGCGGAGGGCGACCTTGAGGTCGGCGGTGTTGCTCTCGAGGTCGTACAGAGCCTGGGCAATGTTGGTCTCCAGCTCGGAGGGGTTGGCCCGCGAGGGGCTGTTGGCAGCGATCTTGTTCAAGGCGGCGGACATCTTGACTGTTGTCGTTGGGTGATGGACGGTCGGGTTAGTTGATGCTCGAGCGGACGGGGTCAAGAAGGGGAGGAAAAGTTTCAAAGTCGATCGCGGCAGACACACACAAACAATTCGAGATGCGCCGCCAGAATTTCCGGTGGGTGGGTCCGGGAGTGATTGGGGTTTGAAAACCCTTGGGTGGTCTGTGCTTATCGGTATCTCTCTGCAGTTTTTCGAGAGCCTCTGAGTGGACCGACAAACCCACCATCGTATCCACCCTCCAGTATGCGCTTGTCTCCTTTTGGTCAATCGTCTTCGGTGAGGGTCTCGGTAAGGCCATGAGAATCGAGTTGGGTGATGTGTACAATAATAACTCAGCACGGCTTCCTGCAATGGAACTTCTCCATCTTAATGAGTATATAGTTACAATTTAGTATGTATCCTGAGCAACTCTCAACTTCTTCCGTAAGCCTCGAGCTATTTGGCGGTGGTGGTGAAGGAGAAGCCACCGGAGGATGTAAGAGGAAAGCGTCAAATAATTGAGATTCCCTCGTCGCTGGTTCTAAATTTAGAAAATGTAGTTGCTGTATGATATATGATACTGAATCTTCAATATATTCACTACAGAATTTAGGCTTTGCTCTAGCTAACGTTCCTAGTGATTTTTCTCGGGTAATTATGTGGTTGTTCTTTCAGATAAAGGGGTATTACGTCGGATTAAAGTATGGTTCCAGGTTCGCCGCACAGTAACTCTCCAAACAGGACCTAACGAGTGTGCATCTAACTCATAGTCGCACAATCTGAGTGTCTTTGATCATTTCAAGGACAATTAAGCATAGCCTCACATCATAGTCTGCACCCTCTCGTTCCTGTCTTGCCTATTCATCTCATTGCGGAAGACATTGCCCTCCGAAGATGAAGGCGGAGGCGGTCTCGGCGGCGGCGGCATCATCTCGACACCGCGATCAGGCGACGAGAACGCATTATCTCCAAGCCCGATCTTAACGTCAGCCGTCCTCTGGCCGCGGCTCTTGCCGACGCCGTAGCCCCCGCCACGGGACGAGAACATGCCCTTTCTGCGGCCGTACCACCATATGAACCAGGCGATGCCGCCGAGAGACAGCACGCCAAAGACGATGGGAAGAACGATACCAAATACGTTCGGTCCGCGTCGTCTCTGGTTATTGTTTTTGTCGTTTTGGGGCCGGTTGACGATGCTGACCTTAGCTCCCGGGTGACGGGCGGTGATGGAGCCGTTGGTCTGCGGGAGAGCGAGGAAGATTTGAACGGTGAGGGATTCGTTGGCGGCCATGTTGTAGCCTACTGCGGCCCAAGCGAAGTGACCCTGAGATGCGGGGAGCATTTGGGACGTGAAGCCGTGGCCTGGGTCGATGGCGTTGGTGACACCGTAGTCACCCTGGACTTGAACCATAGTGTTGGGCAAGGGGAAGAGGCTGGTGTCCCATGTTACTAGTTCCGCGTTAGTGGTGTCCATGAGCTAAGTGTTGTTCATGAAGATGATACTTACTCCAGTAGGTCTTGCCTCCATCAACCTTGCTGTCGGCCTTAGGGGAGCAGAAGGGCTGGTTAACGCCGTTGGCTCCCGCAGCCTGGTTGCATAGAAGGAAGGAACCGGCGCCATTGGCGTCTGCTGTGGGGAGAGTCGAGCTGCCAGTGAAAGCAGACGTGGTTTTGCCGTCGTTGACGGTCGGGGTGATTGTCTTGGCTGCGCCGTCGGCTTGGACCGTCACCCAAGGCCGAAGGGCATCATTGCTCTGCCGAGGAAGGATGGCGGCGTCAACTGCTTGTGACAGGGCCAAGATGGCGGCGGCCAGGCCGAGGCCTCTTGAGAAGTCCAAAGCAACCATGACTTTGTTCGTATACCAGAGAAAGGACTCGTTTACCAGAACGGAGCTGTATTACAAAATACCAACTGGTGGCATCTATGAAGGAAATGGAAATTCACTCGGGGAACCAGCTATGCCCAGGAAGTGGAAAAGAGGGATTGCCATAGTTATGTATCAGGAATTGGCACTGGACACTGGCATGCAAGAATGCGACGAATGCTTATCATGCGTGACTTACGCTCACGGGACGCCTTGTTTCCTCGTCTTGAAACGGTGATGAGTTTGCCTTCAACCTGAGCGATCTGCAATGCAACCAGGAAACTTCATTGCGACGGTCTTGCGAATAAGGAACAGCTTTTAATCTTCATTATCTTGTCACTGCAGGAAGTGAGCATCTTGTAGGGTCTAGATGTCTCGATAGTTGATCTTTGCCCGCCATAGATGCCGCCGTCTTTCATGACAGCTGGTTAGATCCTCCTAGGATGGAAGGATGTGCCTGTAGCTCTGTGAGGCTCTTGGTGGATGACAAGACGAACCACTGGTGGCGTCGGCCGAGAAAGGCAACAAGCTTACCGGCGCCGGCACACTGACAATGCAGGGTTTCCCCTTGGCTCCGGTTTCATGAGGAAAAGCAGTCTCGTTTCTCACTGGACTGAGTGATCAGACCGGGTGCGCAGAGTGGCTCTGCTGGCGTGACCCTTGGGTTTGTGTGGTTGCGTGCCGTCGTGATGGCACAAATTCCGGGGACCGTTGGGGCCTGAGCTGATCGGAGGGATCTGGGTGATGATGGGAGGAGTGGTTGGCACTGTGCCCATGGAGGTCTTGGCGCTGGCACGCGCTGGGTCCCCTTCCTTGCGCTCGTCCTTACGTCCGCGGCGACCCGTTGAGTTTTGAGATATGGGGGTGTATCATCTGCAAGGTTCGGCACTTTGATGGAATTTCTCTGGCGAGTCGAGTTGGTGCTTCAGATAGAACGGTTTGGCGACCAGACCAAGGAGGGCGGCGGCCGGTGCCCTATGGCGCCGGGTTTTCGGTATTTGTGGGGACACGCCGGGCATTCTTCGGGGGCCGTTGTGCCGGGTTTTCGGGATCGTGCCGCATTGATGCGCACATAGCCCTGGTCAGCTGGAAAACAGTTTGCATGTGTTTATTTCCCTGCCTTAACCGGAAAGATGATCCGGGATTGACACATGCGAATTGAATGTCAACCAATTGATCAAGGCCAGCCTAGGTAAGGAGAGTTGACCGTCTTGGCTGGATTAAAGGCCGGACAATATTCCGTCGGACGATATAAGCCAAGAGATCGAGAGTGGCAGTCGAAACTTAGCAGCCGAGATGTTTGAAACTTGAGTGGCCGTTGCTCTCTATGTCCCGGCAGGATCATCGCTGCTCTGCACCCCAATTGTATCCATACAGGCGTCAATTGGAAGACAATCAATCAGATCTAGCCGTCCGAGATCGATCATTCCCCTGTTCTTTTGCCTTTGACTGGGTATAATTAGAAGTCTAGATCAACCTTTGTTCATCCGTTTCGTCAAGATTACGATCGTATCTGCCGGCATTCACCTCTCTCCCCCCCAGCTCTTCTCCTTTTTGCACTGTACAGACTTCGAGTCATCCACCGTGGCTGAGGTCCCCATCCACGATGATCTTGACCCAAGTTGAAGTGCAATTAGCCTGCCCGTCGCCCCAACAACCCGCCCGGAGCGCCGGACTATCGAGAAGGAGGCCGCACCGTTCACGCACCGTCCCCGACACCGTCCTGAAGGCTGCGCAGTGACGTCTCTGTGGTTCCTTGTGGTTCCTCTCTTAGCGGCAGCGCGTGCAGCCGCCAGCGGTGCGCGATCGCCGGACCTTCCCAACAAATCTTCCGTGGGAAGAAGGAAAGGTGCGACATTTCCTTCATCTTGGGTTCCTTGGCTGCCATTGCTCCGATCTGACAACCACGCTCCCGCCAGCTGAAAGGTCCGCTTACCTGCAGCAAACACCGAGCTACATCCTCCACTAGGACTCCTCCATTAGCTTCGCACTCTCTCGATCTTTCCATAAATAAATCTCCTCTAATGTTTAAAGCGAACCCATTCCCGCGTTCCCTCCCTTCCCGCCTCTTCTTCTCCCCTGCGCAACCATCACGTCCTCTCCTCAGATTCACCAACACCACCTTGGGAGCTCAGCAACAACACCTAAACAGCCACCAGACATCTAACTTCTCCCACATCGCCTACAAACGCGCACCTTCATCATCGTCTACCCCTCCTTCATTCAGACCCGACCGCAAGATGGCTGAAAGCGACATTGAAAAGTACCTCAAGCAGACGCACGACCGCGTCTTCGAGAACAACCGCAAATGGGCCGAGGAGAAGAAGAAGCAGGACCCCAACTTCTTCGTCAGTCTGTCCCAGGGCCAGGCTCCCGAGTACCTATGGATCGGATGCAGCGATTCGCGCATCCCTGCCGAGCAGATCACCGGCCTCGAGCCCGGTGAAGCTTTCATCCACCGCAACATCGCCAACATGGTCAATAACATTGACCTCAACGTCATGAGCGTCATTAACTATGCCGTCCGCCACCTCAAGGTCAAGCACATCGTCGTCTGCGGCCACTACGGTTGCGGAGGTGTTAAGGCCGCCATGACACCCAAGGACCTCGGTCTGCTCAACCCCTGGCTGCGTAACATTCGCGACGTCTACCGCCTGCACGAGGCCGAGCTCGATGCTATCAAGGAGGAGGATGCTCGCTACGACCGACTCGTCGAGCTCAACGTACTCGAGCAGTGCCGCAACGTCATCAAGACGGCCGCCATTCAGCAGTCGTACGCCAAGAACAAGTTCCCCATCGTCCACGGCTGGGTCTTTGGTTTCAACGACGGTCTCCTCAAGGACCTGGAGATTGATCACGAGAAGATGCTCCACGACGTTCAGAAGCTCTACCACCTCCCCGGTGCCGACTTCTAAGTGCAACCGACCGACATGGGACGCTCGTTCGCTGTACGCTGTCCCAGTGCGGGGTTGACGGAGACGGGCGAGATGGGAAGAGGGGTGGACCGGAGCGTTTGCCCACGGGTGACTCACGGATGGAGTTCGGCTCTCGACGGCTGCCGTTTGTGTGCGCGCTGCATGCGCCCATCGCGAGATGGGGAAAATTTTCTTGTTGAGGGCGGCATCTTCCACACCCGCTGTAGATCCGGATGGGGTTGGTTGGCAATACTCTTAGGTTCTGACCGAGACATGCCACCCCACCACAACCGTTCATCCGGTTTAGCTTAGTGGGAACTTGGAGCTGTCAACGAGCCGGGGACCCCACTGCCGTGCATCTCCGAGGGAGGAAAGATTGAGAGGTGGTAGTAGAGGTTGTTTATCATACAGCTGTCACCGGCGGATTGTACCGGAGTTGAGGATTTGACTTTTTTTCAATGGGATGCGGGAGGTCTTGGGGACCGGAGCAGGCTTGGTGAAGACATGAAGTGCACATAGCCAAGAAGACTTGATTCTTGAAGCTGGCACCTTTTCGGAGTAGGACATATCAAGGGAAAGCACAAAAATAATATTTCATTACCCAGCACGCTCTCTACTGAGAATTTGCAAAAGAATGTCAACCTCTTGTACTGAGTAACATAGATCGATCATAGGGCATTGTCGCAGCTCTAATCCGGATGTTCAGTTAAATCTTAATCTAGGTCTACATCAGCGTAAGGCCCTGATCTCCTCGCGGCCTAGGCCAACTGCCAGTCGCCAGAGGATACAGCGCCACTGGAAGTGCCACGGCCCCGCAGAGCAATTGTACCGCCGTATTGGGCCGTAGCACCGGGCCGCTGCCGGGGCGCCGTTGAGCCTCGGGGGGGGATACGTGTGTTTCCAGCGGCGGGAAGGGTTCTGGCAACAGAACTGGCAACAGGCACAGCTTCTCAGAAAACCAGTTCTGAGCACGGAATCAGCCCTTTTGGCAACAACTATACCATCTCCGGCCTGTCTCAGCCACTGATTCAGAAAAGAACATTGCACAAGAAGAGGTTTGGCATCACGGAAAAGGGTTTTCCGTTGTTTTTATGCACCGATTACATCAGCACTGGCAACTGGCAATTGGCTTTGTACGCGAGGAGATCAGGGCCTAAAGAGGCGATGTAAACATCTAACGTGTAGCAAACTTCTAGAACGGTTCCCTTCAAATCTCGTTTCATACATCGTGGAGATGAATAACATTCCTATCAGATTCGCCGTCAGATAAAGCACTTTGAGCATGATTTCCAAGAGATGAAAGTGACTCACCACGAAACGTTCCACGTATGCCTCCCACCGAGACTCTGGCACATCTTCTTGCTCCCCGTATTATACGGTGCCACATCGGCGGACGCCCAACCGTCGCCGCCGTACTCGCTGGAGCTCCGCTTCATCAGCTTCGATGCAAGGGCCTTTGCGTATCCTCGCTGTCGGTATGGTGGCTGAGGGGGGATTGTTAGACCAAAAGACAAGGATACAGAGTATTCTCATTATCGGTATGATAGGATGTTGCGCAACTTACCTCGCAGTGGAGACTTGACAAAGAAGCATCAGTGCCTAAGCCGAAATTAGTGATGCTGTCCAGGAGCGATAGGAATATGTAAACAAATCGCGGCGGGAGCGAAAGATGCGAGACGGAATAATTCGAACGTATTGAACACTCACCGAGGAATGACCATGCGATAGGCGTTCCATCCTCCAGCTTGACAATCAAACTCGGCCAAGACAACAGTGTCTTTCTATCGAGACATTCAGTCATTCTCTCCATCTCAAAAGTCGAACTCCATTTCGAATTCGCCATGGAGAAAAATTTGACAAACTCACACTTGACGCGGAATATCCGTCCTCGATACTACAATCTCACAATCTCGCTCCGTAGCAGGACCCCACGTAGCTCCTTCGGGCAACGTCACACCATCCTCAAAATCGGGAATCTCATCGACGCGAAACAACCATTTCTCATACTCATAATCCTGACGGGGCGTCACGCGTACGCTGGCCCGGAGCATGGCGTCCCGGGTGGCTGTGGCCAGGGTCCCGACGAGGACTGCGCCGGGTAGGGTTCTGTTGTCTGGTTGTTCTTTGCTTACTTGTGTCACGGCGTCGAGGACTGCCGTGATTTGGGACTCGGCTGTCTTCTTATCTTCGTCCGTGAGAGATTTGTTGGGGGTGTCTTCGAGAGTTGAGTACATGAAGAGTTGGGTTTCTTTGGTGCTGCCGAAGTCGAGGTATGCTGCGCAGAAGTTGCGTTGCTGTTGGTCTGATGTTTCGCCGTCTTGGTATGAGGTGGTTGAAGGGAGTGGTGCGTCTGATGCTAGGATGATGCGGGCTGTTGGGCGCTTGCCGTCTTTGAAGCGGGTGAATTGGAGGCGGCGGAGGAGGACGAGGGAATTTGGGAGGTGAGATTCGAGGAGGGGAATGAGGCCTTCTGGCACGGAGGTGTGTGTCGTTGCCATTCTGACTATGCGGTGACTCGAGATCTTGTCTAGGTATGTGATATAATTGAGAGCGTGGTCCTCGATGTTTCGTCCTCAAGACTTGTGTATGACGAGATCGCGTGTTGCAGCAATGATGTGCGAGATATGCGAGATGCGAAAATCGGCTGATTAAATATCCGCTAGTCGCTGCACTGCATCAGTTAATGGCGCTGCAGCTCTTTGAGGCAGCTCTTGATTGAAATGACTCATATTTACGACTCAACTCGCCACACTGCCGGTAAACTGAACCCTCGGAAGATAATCTCATGATCCATGCAAATGCCTTCCTGTGCATGCAACATCACTCTGGTATTTGTAGATGGTTCGAATTAGTTGCTGTGGAGCAATTGACTGGGCTAGATTGATTGAGTTCATGTAAGATGCTGCCGAAAAAGGGCAATTAGTCACTCAAACTTCACTGACGGTATCATACAAGGGGGAGGTGTAAAGGAATATAGAGAATGTTTTCGGGCTTATGCGCTGCAGTTGAATAGAATAAGAACGAGAGGAAAAAAAATCCCCTCCGTTACCGTTGGGGACAAGTAGGGTGACACGTGGGTGATTAGTGAGTGGAATCTCACATTCAACCCTCGACCATAGCCGTGAAAGATTTTAGGACACTGAGGTAAGCTATGGTTGTTGTGTGTAATCTTCATAACCGACGATTGAATGCTGGTTGTGCGGATTGGTGAAGCTTCAAGCTTGCTCTTGTCCATATATGACAGCCTTCAGCTCATCCTCTTCACTCGAATTACAAGCTTACAGGTATTATCCATGCATCCCTTCTCATCGCGGTGCAATCGTGAGCTCACCTGCGTAGAAGATGATGCGGCAGATTATCTCAGTCAGGATGAAACTCACCGTGCCCAAATGAAATGTGATGAATCGATTGAGGAGGACTTTTCAAAACACCATGCAATGAAATGGAGACAGGAAAGAATAGTTGCTGAATCAAGTCATTGGCTCAAGAAGGGACCAGTGCATTTCGGCCTCGAATGATGCGCCCCACACAGGGACCGCTCAGTGAAAATCTCATCTGCATGTCTCCAACTCCTCATTGTTTGCCTATTGCAACAGTCTCATACTTTCTGCGAAGACAAACACTCGTTAACAGGAAAACATCAGAAAAAAATGGCCAGCTACGACCGCAACGTTGTTGTCAAGTGCCTCAAGAGGCACTACGAGCTCCTGGTCCGCATGGGCTACATGGACGTTTCGGCAGTCGAGCTCCCTCCCGCCGCCGGCTGGAGCGACGCGGAGCTCCGCGTGGATGCTCTCCGGGCCATGGGCCGCTCCGAGACCGTCATCGATCTCCTGCGGCATATCCCCTACGTTCATGAGAACGAGGAGTCGGACCCTGTTGAGGTGTACACCGAGACATTCCCGCTGCGGTACCTACGCAACGGGCGGTGGTTCGGCGGCGGCAGCAACGGTAGCGGTGAAGAGTTTGCGAATACACCGCTTTTGGACCTGGGGTTTGCGCCGTTTGATGGGCCCGTGCCGGTCGATATGGTCTCGTTGACGCATGCGGATGAGGGGACTTGGTGGTTGATTGATACGAACCAAGGTTAGCTACCTCGTGCTTTGTGTGAAGCTTTGCTTGCCGAGCTCAGGCATTCCGAGTGCTCTGACACTGACGCATAGGCTCTCACAGGGTGCATCTATCCTTACGGGACCGAGTTCGACAAGCGCGAGGAGGATGTTCCCGAGGACAAGCAGTGGCTTGTTGTGGATGCCGTTCCCATCCAGGCCTACTTTGACAAGATCTATGCCCAGGTCGGCAACTTGGATGTTGTGCCAGCACCCCGCTCTGGAACGTGGGAGGCGAGAGTAGTCGAGGAGTACACCGAGGAAGGCCAGGTGAGTTCATCAGCAACTGAAATCCCAGACTTGCGACTGATCAAGACATTTTCTCACTGCGTTCAGGAGATAAAACGGCTGTATGCTGAGCACGGATGGCCCAACGCTTTCCGCAGAGAAGAGTTCATTCAGGCCGTGGAGAGAACTCGGGCGACATTCATCGAGGCTGGGTTAGGACATGATGATGACGACGAGGATGATGAGATGACGGGCTAGATAGAACAGTGACTTTTGGGCCTGACCTTAGCTTGAAGACATGAAATAATTGGTTGGCCAATGATAGCAACCAATTGATGGTGATTCTAGCGCACGGCCATGGTGACGTGCTTCGTTCCGGGGCGTTGAATTCTGTCTCATCGATAGCCATACAAGATGTCTCTCAACCGAGAAGGATAATGGTGAAAGATATCGGATCGCGGAAGATAGAGTCGGATGACGGAAGTCTGGCAAGACCTCGTTATCATGTCCTAACTCCTATCTTTTCTCTCAACAGCACAGCCGGCTTCAACCCCACAAACCCAAGCCAGAGCTCCCCAACTGCTGTGTTGACTAGCATCTTGGACGGGGAGGTTGGGCCCATTGATCAAGGATAACGTTGCGGGGCCCCTCGGTGAATGTTTCGTTAGCTGATTTAGTCATTTACGATTCTTATCACATTAAAGCACTTTCAACTGGCTGCTCACACTGAATTCACTGAGAAAACCCCAGGGTCCCCGGACCCCAGATGTGAAGGCTGACGATATCGGAGCGACCCCGACTTGTTTTCCCCTCGCTGAATGACATCGATCTGCGCCATTCTAGCGTGCTCGTTGCCCCAGTCGCTCGGGATTTCTCCGCTATGCGGGCTCTGTGAGTGCCTGAGTCAAGGATTCTACTTCTGTCAAACTTCTCATCTTCACCGATCAATGCTTCTAATGGGTTAACGCTGTCTCCGTCGAGCGGCGAGAGGTTGCTTTCTGAGCGGGTCGCAGGGAAATTGTCTCCTTGATAGCAAGTAGAGGAGGGGCAAAACGACAACGAGGGCATTCGAAAATGCGTTTAAAGCTCAGCGATGACCGGCCCTGCCTCTCGGTGGTGGCGTGCTCTCTTTTTACCATCTTCTCTTGCAGTCAAGCGGCAGCAGTGTCCGGAGACGAGGGATCGAGCACGTCGCTAAACATGAAGTTCTCCACGTCCTTCAACACGCTCTTTGCGGCTTCGCAAGTCGCCATTGCGCCAGCTGCCGCCGCGTACAACCCGGTCGAACTCAAGGGCTACGGCAAGTTCACCGGCACGGTCGTCAACTCGACCTACAGCGGCCGCGCTCTCCCCGCCCCCGTCGATGCCTGGCTCGGCATCGACTACTCAACGCAGCCGGTCGGCGAGGGCCGCTTCAACCCCGTTACCTGGCCCGCGTCGTTCAACGGTACCAAGGCGGCCACAAAGTATGGCAAGACCTGCGTCCAGGACCCGACCTCGACCGATGTCAGCACCCAAGATGAGGCCTGCCTTAACTTCAACGTCTACCGTACGCGCGGTATCCCGCTCGACCAGAAGACGCCTGTGTTGGTCTGGATTCACGGCGGCGCGTTCTATGCGGGCAGCTACAAGAGCTTCGACGGCGCTGCGTTCGCCGCCTCATCAAAGGAGCCCATCACCGTCGTCAACTTCCATTACCGCATCAACTCGCTGGGTTTCCTGCCTTCGGCTCTCTTCGACGAGGAGGGTCTGCTGAACCTTGGTATGCGCGATCAGCACTTCTTCCTTCAGGTTGTGCAGAAGCACATTGCCGCATTCGGCGGCGACCCGGACTCCGTCACCATCGGCGGTCGCTCTGCTGGCGGCCACTCCGTTGGCATCCTCTACTTCCACAACTACAACGAGGATGAGGGCAAGCCTCTCTTCGCCAGGGCCATCCACCAGTCCGGTGCCGTTACCGCCCGCGCGTTCCCCAATGCCACATACCCGCTCTACATCAAGCAGTACGAGGAGTACATGAACTACCTCTCCTGCCCACTCGACGCCGACAACGCCGCGACCCTGGCCTGCCTCCGTGCCGCGGACGTTGATGCGATCCGCAACATCAGCACCAAGCTCTACAACGACTACGACCCGGCTCTGACTTGGCCATTCCAGCCCACGCAGGGCGGCCCTCTGCTGGAGAAGTTTGGGTCGCAGTCAGGCTACGACGGCACATTCTTCAAGGTCCCCGTCATCACGTCCAACGTCAACGACGAGGCCAAGTACTACATGGCCGGCGATAAGGAGACAAACCAGGAGTTCCTCGACTACCTCCACAACATCTCCCCTGCCCTCAACAGTACCGACCTGCAGATCCTCGAGGACCTCTACCCGGACCCCGCCACGCACCCTGACTCACCTTTTGCCAACTCTCCCAACAGCACGCAGTACAACCGCCTCTCGGCCGCATGGAGCGACTATGCGTATATCTGCGCTGGACAGGAGACGGCGTACCGCGCCTCGATTGCTGGCGTGCCGACGTGGAAGCTTCACTTCAACACGAACAACTCGTGGCCTGCGTGGAGGGGTATTCCGCATACCGCCGACACGAAGTACACCTGGGACGAGCCGGTTGTGCAGTACCCCGAGGTCAGCCACATTTACCATGGATACCTGTCCAGCTTCGTTCTGTCTGGCGACCCGAATACCTTCAGATATCCTGGTAGCCTCGAGTGGCCTCAGTACAAGCCTACAGGCTACGGGCTTGAGTCGGAGCCTGCGCTGCAGCTTATCGTCCAGCCTAACAACGGAACCAAGGTTGAGAAGGATGATATTCGGAGGGAGGCATGCCTTTACTGGAGAGATCCGGAGAGAGCTCCTCGTCTGAATAAGTAGATGTCTACGAAGTCAAAAGCAATCGATGCAAATACTGAATCCTCCATGTCACATGATTGAGCGTGGTGTAGTTTATGTAATGGAGTACCTGCCCGCATGCAAAGGGATGATCCCAAGGAATGTCAATTGTGTTTTCCAAATCAGTCCTGAAAGCACTACCCCGAGATTTTTGGTTTGATAGCTTTTCTTGCCAGCTGGGATATGCAGCCAGCTGGGCACATCTAGATGACAACAGCTACTGGTTGGCGCTGCTTTTGACCACAGAAGTCGAGGGTGATCACGACACACGAGCTTGGCAGGGAACAATAGCTAAAAGCAACGCTCGTTGCTTACGTGCATTGGACAGGCTATGTGTGACCTCCGTGATAGTCCATTGGCTCTCAATGAAAGGTTTCGAATTCCAAATGATTGGAGTGGACGGTTCCGATTTTTGCACTTTGTCTCGCGCGGAGTCACCTGCAGGAAGTCCAACAGCACATTTGTGCAGTCTGGCAAGCTTGCCAATACGTCAATATATACCCTCACAGTCACTTCCTCACCTAGATAATTGTTAGGAGCAGGACAAGGCAACCAACTGTGGCACAAAGCACAAGCTTCGATAATGATGACTCCGCATCATTTTCCCTTGTTCTGCATTATATAGCTACGCCATGACAGGGCTAACTGTTTAGGCCGTAACAGAATCACGCGGGCGGCGATATAGTAACTACGGAAAGACTAGATATAATATACGAGATTATTAGGTAGTTTAGGAGACCTCTAAAGAAGAGGCTAATGAGTAGTTCTAATTGATTTTGTACGATGTGGCTTGATTGACTTATATAAATGGCTGGAGGGTATTTAAAGGTGGGCCACTCGCTATGCATGTACGTTAAAGGAAGTTCGAGTTATCCCATATTGGAAACTTATTTTTAAGCCCTCGTTTTACTAGATATGGACCTTTAATACACCTCTGCTACGTCTGATAGAGCGGATAAGGGGCCAGGACATTCAAGATAGGATTGCCCAGGGAAAATCTGGTAAGTTGAAGTAGCTTATGCGCATATGGTTGACAGGCAGGCTATTGACGACACGTCTCAGAGGAAAGATTGGGATGCCCAAGAGCTCCCCTGAAGGAAAAAGCACACCTGAAGACGATGAAAAGTACTTGGCAGCTCTACTAGCAAGATTGTCCACCCGGCATTCTCCGACGGATAACAAGAAACCTGGCTTTACATCTAAGTCATCCTTGAATGAAGTCTCCGAAGCAGCATGTGCACTTCCTCTCGAGTCCCAAGCTTGTGGCATTTCCCCAACGCTTATGGACGCCGGGCAGGAACTCTACTTCTCAGGAATCACCGACGAAAGTGACAACAAGAGCTCATCAGTATCGGAAACTTCAAGCTCGGAAAAATCGTTCGCTCCTTCTTTGCCACCAGGCCATCAAATTAAATGGGCCAAGGAGCAATGCGTAAAGGACTGTCTCACGCGCTTTACAGAGTGGCAAACCTGCCCCAGAGACTCGAACAAGCGGCCCGCGACCGTTTCATCAGCGCAAGTGCAGCAGCCAAGTAAAAGATCGAAGCGATCTGAAAAGGAAAAATGTCAAGATGATGATGAGACAGAAGACGAGGAGAAAGGCTTAAGTCCCAGGCCGACGGGGGTCTCCACAGTGACACAGCCCGAGAAAAGCAAGAAGACTATATTTGCTTGTCCGTATTACAAGGAGAATCATTTGAAGCACCTTCAATGCCTCAGAATCGAGCTCAAGAGGATGAAAGACGTCAAACAGCATCTCAACCGGAAGCACAGACGACCGTCGTATTACTGTCCAACTTGCTGGATGATATTTGACCAGGAGACGGATCGAGACCTTCACGTTGCACAACGCGGCTGCCTTGGGCAAGAACAAGCTCGATATGAGGGTATCTCAGAGGAGCAAAGCAGGCAGCTCACTCGCAAGGCAGACAGACGACTATCGGAAGAACAGCAATGGTTCACTGTGTGGGATATTGTGTTTCCTGACATTCCACATCCGGACTCACCACATCTGGGTAATCAGATCGAGGAATCTATGGTGATGATTCATGACTTCTGGGGCGCCAGTGGAAGATCACTGGTATCTCGTGCTCTGAGGCAACGGGGACTGGTGTCAGATCTACCTCGGCTCGATGGGAATGGCGAGCTTGAGAGCTTGCTGGCTGAGACACTCGAGTCCGTGGTAGAGGAGCTGCTCGCGTCCTGCCGAACGCAGATCGCGGCTACTCTCTCTAGGACAAATCACCATTTCCAGGAGGCTTCGTTAGCGTCAGAACAGACGTCAAATTCGGATGCTAAGACTGGGATAGAGAGCAACGGTGCGAGTGAGAGGAGTCAAAGCACCATCGCTTTCGCGCCTGTCTCCGAAACAAGCAACAATACCCAAAAGAACTCCATGCCGCAGGAGTCACTGGATAAGCCTGTAGCGGCTTACACCCATTGCCTTGCCGAGGACCTCGAATCCAATACGACGTACAACTGGCCTACGGTGGTAGGTGAGATATCAGTATTTGGTGATCAGAGTTGGGACCTATTAGCCCATTTGGAGGAACACATTGGCGGTTAACTGCAAGGGTGAGCAGCATAACCCTGACACAGCATCAGCCTTTTGTCATCACGTTTGCCTTAAAGAGCCGGTGCCCAGTGCATGAGAATGTAGACCGTGATAGAAGACCACGCTGAATTGTATTGAGCTGAGAGGTATCTTATGTATAAAGGCACCGTGTGTTGACTTGTCCAGGTAGAAGAGCATGCGGGAGCTTTCGGCTCGTCCTAGACTGAGTTAATCTTGGATGAGGCATACAATGTTGAGGTCATTTCCGACTCAAAACGAGCTACACGTTGAATGGTCTTGTGAAGTAGGCAGTTCAAGGATACACTCATCACGAGCAGAAAACCGAGAAGTCAAGTTTAAGTACCTTGTGACGAGGGAATTGACCATATGAAATGCCACGTGGTAGACAACCAGAGCACACTGCACATGTGGTCCGTATAGCGTGGCATGCTTTATAGGCCAGATGCCAGTGCCGCTATGACCACCCATAAATTATTGAAGTCTGGTCGCTGGGCTGGTGTTGATTGACCAATTGAATTGCAGGCGAGGCACTGCGGACCGCCGATTGCTTGGAAGCATCATCGCACGTTAGGATTTCGTAATTCACACATAGAGACACCGAGCAATTCTCATTTCCTAATTGTGCAGATAGCCTCAATGCTCGCAGGTCGAGTTGGCAGGATGATAGGATCATGATACATGTATTGGTGGCTATCTTGAGAGGCTAATGGGGGACTGCTGTAATAATGGGCGGCGCGATGCTGGGAAGCGACATTTGAATGCTGCAGGCACGTGTTTGGGTTGGATGAAACGTGCAGTTGAGTGTCTCATCAGCTGCCCATCCCGCCTTCTCTCACCCTCCACTGTCTACCTTACTTACTCCTACTAAAAGCACTCATGTGGGATTCACACATCATCTTATTCCAGATGATTATTACCTCAAAACCTCCACGGTCCATGATTGAAAACGTCTCATCTGAAATGAATTGAGCTAGCTGCGGGTCTCCGAGACATCCCCGAGGTCGGAGGGGCTCTGGAGACGGAGCTGATGCCCCGCGGCTGTTTTTAGTGTTTGACTCATCGCTTTCAGGAGTGAGAAAACCAAGGGCTACTAATGAGATTTTCTGAGCGTGAAAGAGTCAACATCCCTTCAAGTTCGACCAAACGCCCCTTTTCAACCCAATCAACCAACCCATAAACCAGACATTCAACATGGCTCCCGCCTCTCACGACCACATCCTGACGCTCTCGTGCCCGGACAAGTCCGGCATTGTCCACGCCGTGACGGGGGTGTTTGCGGCCGAGAAGCTCAATATCCTGGACCTGCAGCAGTTCTCCGACCCCGTATCGGAAAAGTTTTTCATGCGCGTGCACTTTGGGCCGACCGAGTCCGAGTCGACGGAGCACCTCAAGGGCCCGTTCGACGCCCTCGCCGCCGATCTCCAGCTGGACTGGTACCGCATCCGGCCCGTCGCACGGAAGCTGCGCACCCTGATCATGGTCTCCAAGATCGGACACTGCCTCAACGACCTGCTATTCCGCGCAAAGTCGGGCCAGCTGCCCATTGACATTCCCCTCATCGTCTCCAACCACAACGAGTACCAGGGCCTGGCTGGCAACTATGGCATCGAATTCCACCATCTGCCCGTCAACAAGGACACCAAGGCTGAGCAGGAGGAAGCTATCCTGCGCCTGGTCAAGGAGAACGACATTGAGCTGATCGTTCTGGCCCGCTACATGCAGGTCCTTTCCCCCAAGCTGTGTGCAGCAATGTCCGGCAAGATCATCAACATCCACCACTCCTTCTTGCCGTCTTTCAAGGGCGCGAAGCCCTATCACCAGGCCTACGAGCGTGGTGTCAAGATCATTGGCGCAACGGCTCACTTTGTCACGGCCGATTTGGACGAGGGCCCGATCATTGAGCAGCGCATCGCCAGAGTTGACCACTGCATGAGCCCCAAAGACCTTGTCGAGGAGGGATCAAACATCGAGAGCCAGGTTCTGGCTGCCGCGGTCAAGTGGACTGCGGAGGGACGCGTTTTCCTCAACAAGACGAAGACGGTTGTTTTCAATTAGGTGTCAAAAAGACTTGGGCTTTTCAAAAGGGATTGATAAATAAAAGTTGGTCTGTTTCCCTGCACTCCTAGATGTCTACTTTATCTGTTTAACGTTATTTTGATCTCTCATCTTCGCCCCTGTTCTCTTCCTTCTTTGCCTTCTCTGCTTTCTCATGGGAAACCCAGTTGCCGTCAGGTAACTCAAAAACCATGTCGCTAAACCCAGGGATGCTGTTCATGGGCGAGTTGAAAGGCGACGGTAACTCTTGAGGCTGTTGCTCGCCCAATGCGGACTTCCGGTCATGGTGCTCTAGTTCTGAGATTGGCACCCCCTTTCCATCCATTTCAGCCTTGCCTCCAGTGAAGATATCTGCATCATGCAAACCACCACCGCTTCCCTTGTCGGTTCTGTGTTCTTCGTCGGAATTTCTCTTCCTCCGAGCCCGCCAACAGAAGAACCATATTATAGCCACCATCGCAACTCCCCCCGCGACGGCAATCCCCGCTATTGCACCTGTTCCTAGTCCGTCCGTGGAGGTGGAGTTGACACTGGTGGTCTCGGAAGGTGTGCCTGATGTCCCTCCAGCCCCTCCAGTCCCTCCAGCTCCTGCTTCAACTTCCGTCCAATGTCCCCGCCAGGTGTCAGCAAAAGTATTTCCAGACCGCGACGGCAAGTCCCAGGTGTCATCTGTGACGATGTGTCGTTCTGCCATTCCCGGCCCCGGTGCCTGTGCCATGTAGAATATCCCACGATCATAATTGAATCCGGTAAAGGCACCTTGAAGAAAAGCTCGGCCTAATGTATATCGGCTCAGTGATAACGAAGCATCGAGGTCCGATTCGGTCCACGGCTTGCAGGGCCAGTAAGAATCCACCTCACAGTTCACATAGTTCTCTCTTGAGGGCAAGCGGTCTATAGTAAGATTCAGTAATCTGAAAGGGATCTTGATGGTAACTTTTTTTGACTTTTCGTCCGAGAACACGAAAGCCATGTAGGCCGGAGAGTTGACAAACCGGGCTGTTCCAATCGGATCCGCCTGGAAATCCCACACGTACAGGCCGATGTCTGACACCCAGCGGACGGGCAGATGAGATGCAGCAGCCTCGCAAACCTCTGGGGGGAGATACAGATATGGGGTAGCTGCATTTGGATGTATCATGACCGACTCGGCAGGACCACTGAACCGCCTGACCATACTCCGGGCGGAGTTGGCAATGTTGGCACTTTTCCACACACTTCCAATAGTCGTGTTATATGGCGACCCTCCTGTTTCGAAATCGAGAAGAACATCGGCAAGGAATATTCGAGGAAGGGTCCAGTCCAGGAAAAACGTCGCTACGTCTCCTAAGATACGGTTTTCTTCATAACCTCCCATTATCAACGACGGTGGCTGACCCAATGCAACGCTACCCATATGCATGAACCACGAACCATTGCCGATGAAGTTTTCCGCTTTGAGTGCGTCAGTGACGCTGTAGACGCCACTACCAGAGGTGGAGTCGTATGGTGTACTATCGTCGCCTAAGGCAAGCGTTCCGATGCGTGCGGCCTCAGTCGAAAGATTAGAGTACGCCGTGGGTAACAAGTCGGGAACCCATATCTCGAAACTCATGTCGGCCCAAAAGTTACTAGTTGTGTTGCCCGTAAGTGAAAGGAGGTTCATGGTGTAGCGGTATACTTTGCTCAGAGCATTCTTTTCAAGTCCGAGAGGCCAGTCGTTCTTGAATGTTACGCTGCTGGAATTTGATACCACAGTGCTTCCAGTTGCGCTGCTGTTATAAGTCCCGCCGTCTTCCACGGAAATCATCATGCTGTCGGTTCCGCCTGTCGGCCAGAGAAAGTGGGAAATGCTTTCGACATCAGTAGACCCTGGCTCGCCGGATAGTCCTATCGCTGGCCATGGCCCATCTGGCCCAAATGAACGTGCATTGCTCCCGAATTCTGAGTCGGTCGACCAGTAAAGGCGGCGCGTTTGGCTCCTGACGCATGTTATCCACAACAGAATAACTACCGGAAAGGTTCCCACGCGCATCTTGATAGAGGAAGTCGACTAGAACGCCGGAACAAAGAATCCAGTTACCAGACAACAACAGTTGATGAAAAGAGAGAGAATGGTGGAACTTCCTTTGACTGCCCCAGGAGGGACTCAAAGGGGCGCACCAACAAGGCAAAATATAAGTCACCTCTCGGCTCAGAAGAATTTTCTACAGGGATATCTGTATTCCGTTTCAAAACGACCGAATAGTCTATCATTCTACATCAGGCTTCAAAGGCGATGTTGCTAGGATAATTTTGAGTTGCATATGCATGTTGGAGCAAACAAAGTTGTTGGTTGGGCGGAGTAGCCTTGGCCGCCCCGCGGCCCCATCACCATGGCTGGGCCTGCACATCGTGTGACCAACATCATGGGTAGCTTGAGTCCTCTGTGCAACACAAATAGTACTTGATGATCATGTCTACAGGCTCAAGTCGCAAAAGCAAGCTGATAGCCGGGCGGTCTGTATCATCTTGGCAGGCTGCAGCGTAGAGCTGCATGCAAGTTGGTTCAGGGTCTCACACGGAGAAACATGAACGGAGTCTGGCTGAGTTGGTCATTTCTAGTCATCGATGGCATCATAGGAGTCCTCAATGTTCCCAAGCGAGGGTCAAATATGTTCTCCTGCATGTCTGTACCCACCCGACTCTTCCCTATGCCCTGCCGTGTCTGCTCAGCTCTTGACCCAACAGTTCTGAGACTATTCTAGAAACGTTCTGATTTCCGAGGATGCTCTGGTGTTGATACTTTATCTGGAAAATTAAGGACGGGGAGTGTGCTGCGGCTTCCCGCACTGCAGGGCCTCACAGCCTGAACTGTGAAGTTGGCGGTGAGATTTGTATGTATCACAAGGCTGGTGAGCGGACAACCACGTACAAAATGATCGACGCCTCCGAGGGAGCAGAGAGATGCAACCATCCGCGCCGCACTCTTACTCATCATGAGAGTGCTAGTGAAAAACAAAAAGGCCCGTTTGCTCCAAGAATAGAATCAACTCAGAGCTACGGATACTGCTCTCCTCATTTAGTAATGGAGCAGGAAGCCGAGAGAACTATTTTGACTGATAAATACGGAGTACGAACCCTCAGCACCCACAGGCTTTGAGCAGGGACCTCTGGCTCTCATCAGATTACAAATGTTTCTTACTTAGCAACGGTATCATACTTTACCCAATACAGCAGCTGTCTTATTGCGCAAACGTACCTTGAAACACATTGGAAGTACAGAATTGCATCTTAAGTTCCCGGAGAAGCATTCGGACTAGCTGAGCCTGTCACGCCCACTGCTAATCTCCTTCAAGAAAAGATCACAGAATTAATAGTTGCAGTAACAAGAAGACGGATTCGGCTATCGAGAGTAAGTTGCACCAATATCCCAAGGCAGGAAAGCATGTTTGATCTTGAAGTTGGCAGGAATTTAGTGATTTGAATGTACATACAACGTAGTACATTTACGCAACAAATACCTTTGGCATCAGCTATCGTTAAGATGTAATCTTCAAGTCATTCACCTATCACTTGTAGAACAAGAAGGGGGAGTGGGGGGTGGGCGGTTCCTCGCGGCAAATTATTCCACGTTGCCAAAGGCTACATAAGGAACGTAGGTTGTTGACCGAATGGAGCTAGCAGCAGAATGTCTGCTAGCACCTTAAAGGCACGACCACTCATTCTAGGCACGGTGATACGAGTGCCCAATAATCAGGTGCACTTTTCGTGACAGATTTGTTAGCATTATGTTGTCATTTGAATTGGTGCCTATGTGATCCTGAACGAAGAAACAATAATTCGCTTGGTCCTCTCCATGGCCTCATCCTGGACATGTAGTCATTACAATTCTTTACGCAACAAGGCCGGCAACGAAGGCAGCCGCGGCTGGGGCATCTTGCTCGTAGTTTCTGTGGTCGGCGGTGATGATGATACCGCCGTCGCAGATGTTGTCGCCATCGTGGCAAATGACCTTGACCTTGGAGGCAGGGATGCTGCCAACAGCCTGGCCATCGAACGGGTCGCCGAAGATAAGAACTGCATAGTACAAGCTGTCAACAAGCGGGTCTCAAGGATCTCCAGACAACGGATTCTGTAGACATACCGGCAGAGACGCGGGCGGTCTGGGACGCAGTGAGCTTGGATGCGGCGTTGTGGACGAGCTGGCCACCCTGGCTGTAGCCGGACATGACGATCTTGGTGCTGGGGCACTGGGTGACGGCCTGAAGAAAACCCATTATTAGTTTGGAGAAATACCCTGCATGAAGGGTCTTGAACTTACGCGAGCAACCAAGTTGGCCATGGTGGTGCTGCCCGCTGCGTCGCCGCCAGCGAGGAAGCCAAGGATGCTAGCGGAGTAGTCAACACCCTGGACGGCCAAGTTGGAGGTTCCGACAAGACCGGCAAGGGCGTTGAAGAAAACGGGTCCCTCGGAACCGGCCTCGCCAACGTTGCCGGACTGCGTGGTGCCACGGGCCCAGATCAAGGTGACCTTGCGGCAAGCCGTGCCATCGGTAAGCTGATTGAAGGTGTCGCCGTTGTACTGGCGCTTGGAGATTGCGGGGCTGAGAGCGGCGGTCTCCTCGGGCTTGACAGAGTAGGCGGCATTGTAGTAAGCCTCAAGCTCGGCGATGGGGAAAGACCCAATCTCGCTGCGAGCGACGGGGACGCTCTCGAGAGGGGCGGCAAGGGCCGTGGAGGCCGCGAGGAAGAGGAGGCTGGCCTTCATTGTGACGGCTCGGGGACGATGGCAGCTGCTGGACATGGGTTGCTTTGAAAAGCAGGAGGTGGGACTTGTCGGGCTTGGGAGTCTGGAGCTCTGAAGATCTCTCGTGATACTGGATGCTGGGGAACAAGAGCTAGTTTATATGCCCTTAGCTCCATGTCCCATCCGGGGCTTCGCACCAGTTCATGATCGAGATGTACGCGCCTCGGGCGCCGAGAGGGTTGCTGGGCCAAGCGCCTGGCTGTCGATGTTTGCTTCAGTCCCTCTTCCAGTTTGCAATGCATCGCAGGGCCAGGACCAGCATCGACCATTGGTGTCCACCAACGGTGTAGCAGTCCGACTCGAAAGCTTGGCCCGAGCCCCATGTCGACCAGTGCATGTCTTCCTGACGCCTGTCATCCAGCCCCATTGACCAGTCAGACGAGTGCAATACCAGGAACGTCGGTCTTCGAAGAGGAAGCTGGGACGACTGAAGCAAGTTTGCCCAATTTGTCCTGCAGATTGACTAGCCCACTACAGCACCTCGGCCCGCACCGGTCTCCGTTTGTGCAGCTGATATTGAGTTGTCAAAGCTCTTGGATGTCTTGAGGAAATCGTCGAGGGGCCACCGGCGGCCACGGCCTGCGCGGATGACAGCTGTAGGTGAGTCCTCGAGTCGGAAGTGATCATCGTGACTTTGATAGTGACCCCATGGCGTCATGATGCAACCTGATAGGCCCGGCAGTTCGCAGTAAATATCGGAACCAGGGGGGCGCCCACCAAGCCACCAACCTGTCATTGAGTCCCGTGGTAGCTAAGGGTTGCGCTGACCGGCTCCCAGACGGAGCCAATGTGACATCGCCTCGGGGATGTCGGCCGATTAAAGGTAAGCATGTCGGCGTCAAATCCTGAATCGTAACGGAGTTCTGTCGCTCATCGCGGGGTAATCGAGGCGCTTGTGATAGGAGGTTGGGGATTGGATATCACGAAGAACACGTGGGTTGCGACCCGAATATTGACCTTCCACTTTGATGGTGGAGTCCCGTCCCCAAGAGCTTGAGGGTGGGAGCTATGAATAATGATGTACTCCGTACAACCATCGGGCGGTAAAGCAGCTTGGCAATAGGAATCAATTGCTTAACTGGCGTAATTGATGGCCTCTTTGGGAGTTAGCTGAAAGTTAAACATCGGGACCCGCCGAAAGCTTCGCATTGATTACATACTACAGGACAAAAAAAAAGAGTAACACGCGGCTCTGACTATGAAATTCATAGCTTTCGCAGTAAAGTAATAAAAGTGGCTTTCCTGGGGTTCACTTCGTACTTAGTAGTCTTTGAGAGTTGCAGGTCAGGTTAGGGTGGGACATTAATGAACCTGGAACCAGACAAGAAGCTTTTTTGGTGAAGGTTTCACTAATCCACAAAGTAACCAGAGCCGCAGTGTAAATGACAAGTTGAAATCTGAAAATAGCTTCCAAAAAGCCCACTATCTTCAACGATCAGGAAACAACTTTCATCTCTGCGGACCTGTACTTCAACATGAGACAAGTTGCTAACCGCATTTTGATGATCCTGACTACAAGGTACGATGCGATCTCCGCTCACTCTCCCCAATTGTACTCTTGATGTCAAGTTCAATCGAGGGAACTGCACTTGAGTTACTAGGCATCACAAACGTAATGTTCCAAAATTCAAAGCCACTACTTAATGTTAGCACGATGTTCCGAGGGACTTTTGGAAACTGTTCAGACTCACTGAATGATGGAACAGGTGCCGCCAACAAGGCCACAGAATCCAATTTCCGGTTGTGAAACTACTGAGCCACCGACGCTGACTTGTATTCCTTCAACGTCCTCGAATCCGAAGATGTCTCTCTTGCCGCCAAGGGGATTGGAGCTCACAAGGAATGTGAAAATGCTGGTAGAATTGCCGTGGGGGTAAGATAGGCTGAGATGCCCAGGGCTAACATCCACATCCAAAGTCTCGTCAGTGCCATGGAGAACGATGTAGCCGACGCTACCGTCGTTCCTAGCCCACTGCACCACCGCAGGAGACCATTGAGAAGGATCTTCGCGGGGCCCACCGAGAGTATCTTCGTCATATGACTCAGCTCCAATGGTGAGGTTGGCAGATAGCCAGGTTGTGATGTTTCGAGGCACGGAATCGTGAGGGGGTGAGAAAGCGGCAGTTTCAAACAAGTGCTCACCAGGGAATGTGCTGAGCTTCTCCAAAACGTCTGATGGTATGAGGGCATCATGGAAAGGTGCCAAGACAGAGATGAGCGGCGCGTACTCAAAATCATCTGCGTGCGCCATGCTCCATGTTTGTGAGATGCCGGGTGCCTTGTCCTTACCAACGAGAGACCAGATGTAGATGTTGATGATGGCGACGTATTGGTTCATGTCGAAACCATAAGTCCTATCCCACGGTCCAGCGACATTGCGGAGGTTGGCGTTGTACATGGAACCGATGGATTCCCAAATGGCTTTGATCATGCGAGCACCATGCTGGCCCATTAGTGACGAGTCATTAGGCATGTACTTGGCCCATAGGGTAAGCGAATAGATGCTGACGCCGATGTACGTTGGGCTGTTGAACTCAGAGAGTGTGTTGTTGCGGTCAAATAAGTCTAAAATCTCCTTGGCGTACAGTTCGCCGGCAGCTGTCATGTTGGAGTCATTGAGAGTTCGACCAGTCCACCCGGTCGCAATGGCACGCATGATGGCTGGGTTGCTGTATGACGGGTAAAGATTGTCGTCATCAACTCCACCGACACGGTAGCTGTCTCCAACGGTGTTGTTGTACAGGCTCTCGAGAATGAGATCCTGAACGTCTCTCGCAAGAAGGTGCCTAAACTCTTCATAAATGACGATGAGAGTTGTGCCAATGAAGCCTCGCCAATTAGGATCCCAAGAATTGTAGATCTTTGGGAACGAGGTAGGTCAGCATTATTGTTGGGGTTTGATAGAACATCGAGAAAAGAGATGCCTACGTTCTTAGGATATGCCGTTGTGCCAACAGTTGGCTCCTCTGGATAAACAGTGTAGTCTCCATACCTGAACAAATTGAACCTCTGGTGTAAGTGGAATTTGATCTTGAAACTCACGATGTAGGAGGAAACTCACCATTGTTCCTCACGTATTTTCTTCTGATCTCCGATCACATTTTTGATGATCTTGGTAGCCTGCTCCACATCGTCGCCAGTGTTGCGTTGCAGGAGGCCAGTTGCATACCAGACCGAAGATCGCGTCTCGTGCTTGCCTGCCGCAAGTGGGAAGTAGAAAAAATAAAGGTAGCCGGCCGCAGGGTCGTAAATCTTATCCAAAAAGTCCATGGACTCGGTGAACAAGTTCTTTGTGAAGCTTGACAACTCAACTGCAGCGGTCTGCTGCTTCAGGCCCAAGGCGCTGAGCAAGCCCACCATAATGAGATTCCTTGTCGAGAACCACATCGTGGACAAAACTCCGATATCTCTGAGAATTACGTGAGAGCCGCGCTTTGGTATCCAAGTGCTATAGATCCATCTAATTACTCCTGTTCATCATCTTCACTTATAAGCTACGAGCTCCGGTAAAGACCGGTACAGCAGTATCGTAGGTCAGTGCCGGCTTCGGCATGAACACGTCGTCCTCAAAGAGCGAACATCTCGGATCGTCACCTCACAGTACGTGTCATTGTCACTCCGGAGAGGGGGGCTTGTGGAGGCATCGTTAATGGCGAGGGATCGCCCTTAGCTGATGATGTGCAGATTTCGACGTTCCGATTAGCACCCGTGTGCTCGTGTTGGCTCGAAGTGCGATTCGTACACGCATGCCGCTTTACCGGGAGCAAAACGATAGCGATAATGGTCCTTCTGGTCTTAGCTTAGAATCCTGCGATCGGCAGATAATGCTCGGGCTCCCGCATGGAAATACCGGTTGGTACACCGGACGGTCCCGGGCCGGTTGCCCGATCGGTGGGAAATCCGAACTGGTCTTTTTAACAAAAGCCACTACCGACATTTGACAAGCCGGTAGATGGATACCCCGCGGATCAACTGTGGAGATATCTACGAGGAAGACGGTTCAACTTGATTTTACTAACTGATAACACTGACCTGGAGATTGAGGAGACATTCGGCAATCTTTTTTATCGCCGACCCTGAACCGGCCGATATCCGGGCGTGCCAAGTTTTAGATCTTTCATACTAGGTAGAGAGCGAAAAACTCTATCTTTGGACTGTCACTCTCGCATTTCCTGCAAGTTTCTTTCTATGACAAGAATAGTCCGAAGCGAATCTTAATACGAGCGGGGAATAACATGATACTGGAAAATACCACTTTAATGTCACCTACCTTGGTACCCAACATTAAGAACCCCCTTCATGCTGTATACCGATATGCTTAGATAGTCTCGGGTGAGTTAATAGAAACTAGAAATTGAACACGGATTTTAATAGTGTTGGAATTCCCGATTCGCTACCTTGTTTGTCCGAAAACGTTCCGGGTGAGGTTGAGGTGGTATGACTGTGAGCAAAGATCACACAATTCCCCACTATTGCGAGAGCGAGAAATACATGGCCCCTGATCCGTTCTAGAAACGGTTTCTTCCATCGTCTACCCAACGACACATAAATCAAAGATGGAGATGAATGCCGAATTCGATGCATTTGTCATTGACGACTTCGGGCCGTCAGTGCGGGTACAGGTGCCCAGTACCGCCGAGGGTCTCGCCCATTTCAACCAAGCCTTTCTAGACCCGCAGCAAAGGGCCTATGTGCAACATATCGACATCCATGTTGTTTCGCCAGCGATCAGTGACAAACGCATCAGGAAGATCCAGAGCAGAAAGTAGGCGTCAGAGAATGACGCGATTTTCACGAAAGCTGTTGTGAATTTTCTCGGTCGGTTGGCTAAGTGGGAACGTCAACAATACGGCCCTGGCATCAACCTGAAGATTCTGGTGGAGTCACTAACAGACAGGCTGGTGGAGGAGATGGAGGAGAATGGTGAGCTGAGGAACACCCATAATCACCGGACTGCGCCGATGTGGCAAGTAAGGGACCACTTCCGCTACCTGCGTTTCGACCACAGCCTCTTGCCGCCATCCAATTCGGGCCTGGAAAAGCTGCCGCAGGTGCCGTGTGTGTCCGCGTTCGAGTTTGACGGGGGCCCCGGTGGACGAAACTTCCACCCGGACGCGATTTCCGCCATCTCAAGCGCATTTGTCTCTGCGAGAAAGATGGAATGGAGTTTCAGGCTTCCGACACGTCGATTAATGTCTACTCGCAACGAAATCAGATCTGCCCTTGGAAACGCGTTGCTCAACACATCGTTCTCGAGCCTGGTCGAGTTCAGAATCAAAGTCGACGATAAGGATCCCATTGATGAGACTTTCAAGATGGAACCGTTGATGGGCGACGACCATGAAGACAATATCTTGTCCCTAGGCGTTCGTCGCTTGTGTCAAATTTCTACCCTTCGGCGACTGCACTTGGAAACCCTTTGGATCTTATCACCAGCAGCGTTTGGGTCTCTTCAAAACCAGCCAGAGATTCATTGTCCTTCATTGGAGTACCTTTATGTCGACTGTTCAACAACAACACCTGACGGCAGGTACTTGCTTACCGGCGACCAGACCAAGGCCTTGGCCGATGATGGTGGGTACGGTCTCGAGCACGAAGAAAAGATTGCCGCCTTTGATTCGGATGACTCCGACACCTCGGGTTTTCTACCAGATTTTGAATGGTCTAGACAGTCTGGACAATTTCCTGGAAGATGGTTTAGATGTACACCCGAGTCAAAGACGTTTACGCCTTTGGCTACATCATTCGTCGCTGCTGTTGATAGGATGCCGTCGTTACGTCGGATGGATATTCACTTTGGCAGCACGGCAACGGCAACTAGGGCACCTCTGGACATGCTGTATTTTGCACCCGGTGAACCGAATCGAGGTGCAAGCCAGCTCAATGGACGCAAATCATTCGACGAGGAAAACGCAAGCTGCCCTAGATGGTTCTTTCTGGGTGGTCGCAAGTTTGACAAGCAGTGGTATCCTCCCCAGGAGTTGCAACGGGCGTGTGGAAGAAAGTCTGGGTTAGGCCGCGTTCATTTTGCTACAAGTTGATCGGAGCAAAGTTTCAATGTCTCAATTTGAATCATGACGGCTACCTGCAACTGAACGAATTGGACATCATTCCTACATCCGACGACAGAACATTGAGGGGAGATTCCGCAATGCTGAAGTCATCTAAAATGACCAAAGAAGCTGCTGCAATGTTTGGACGCCCATTCTGAAATGTTGTTGGACTCGCAGATCTGATGAGCAGCATTGGCTTCAGGGATGTTTACGTCAAACGATTCAGATGGCCAACGAAATCATGGGTTCATCTCTGCCAATGCCGGTGTTGGTATACACGTCAGCAGGGGCCTTGTGGGCCGGTACGAAGCTCAATAATCTTGGTATTGAACTGCGTATATCTATGTAAGGAGGAAGTTGGTGGGCGTAGCCCACGATTCCTCCGTTGGGTGTAAGTAGGTGGAAGGGCCGTTTGCAACGGCCCAGACCACCTTCCAAATCCACCCTTTTCTGCCGTCAATATTCCAACAGCCGGTGTTGAAATGCTCCCTGTCTCGGACTCATGACCACGGCCTTGATTTCGAATCCGAACGTGATTCACGAATAGACGTGTATTACCATAGTTTGTAGGTCGCAATAGCCGATACGTGGGTTGCTAGTTGATATTGAATTTGACCTTGCATCTATAATGCAGCTTTGTTACATATTGAATCGTTTCAGACGAAGTTCTGATGAAGTTCTTCCGATAATCAGGCCGTAAGTCGATTCAAACTTCCTCTATCTGCTTATCACGCTAGGATTTGGACTCACTGACCCCTCTGACCGGTGGCTTCACTGTTCACTTTGTTCATCTCAAGCCTCTCCATGGAGAATCTAGGAACCAGACATGCAGAAGTAAGTTGAATCACGCCCACTCGTCGAGAGGAGCTTGTATCCTGTGACTCTGCGGGATATCCGGTAGTAGAAACAGAGCAATTTGTGGTGCCCTTCTGTCAAGCTTGAATTAAGCATCTGGGGACTGAATGGTCTCGGTTGAGACTACCGCTTCGGAAACTTGGCTTTCGAACCCTTGCTGGATTTATGCTTTTCGTCCAGTGTCGCAGCCTTGGCGGCTTCTTCCCGTCTGGAGTGCGACATGTTCCCGAGTAAAAGTTTAATAAGGGTCTCACTTTTTCGGGAATTTTTGGTAAACACCATTCCAAGCTTGACATGCCTACGCGTATCCTCACCAGTCCCAAGGCTGTGGTTCCGGCGCCCTCGGATCCCCCGACTCATGCTTGTAGCGATCATCCTCCAGCTTCCTGCATCTGGACGCCCTTCCAGCTCGACGCCCGCCAATGACATATGATCCTCAGTTTCATCCTAAAACAACTTGCTCTGCCATCATCTGAAGTCTATTCCTCTTGGGTGTTCCCCAACGGACATTAGAGTTGGCGATTATCCGCTGATCGCAGGGTACGTCTTGGCAATGGCAGATCCCCGAAACTGGGGACGAGTCGTAGTGCGAGCCATATGACTCCCTTGATGCTGCCGATGACAGCTTCATTGACCAGAAGAGCCCGAAACGGCATGATCAAGATTATACTACCACTCGGTGTCGGAAACTTCCAGTCAAGTAAACTAGGTTTGACTGCGACGTCTGCTTCGTCTGAGATGCCGCTTCATCAGGGACCACCTCATCTGGTTGGTTCTTGAGTAATAATTACCTGAGATCCTATTCACCATTGTGCGTTGTTCAAAGAACATGAGTATAAAACTGACAACAATTCCGAATGATAAACGTCTGTTACTCCGGCCATCACACCATTCAATCATTATTTTACAATCTCTTCCATAACATCCGACAGGATTCGGATCCCCTATCACTGTACCTACTTAATTTCATAAGACAATCATTTCATTCAACTCATTACATTAGTCAAGATGCGTCTTACACTTGCTTTCCTTCTCTTCTTGGTCGCCCTCACTGTGGCTCTTCCAGTGGCCAATCCAGCAAACAACAAATCTCCTGGCACCAAGGCAACCACCAAGGCAACCACCAAGGCACCGTCCAAGGCACCGACCAAGACACCGACCAAGGCAACAAACACCAAGCCCTCTGCGGATAAGAAGAAACTTGAGAAGGGCATCAAAGATAACCTCAAAGCTGGCGACAAGGAGATCTCTGCCACTGAGAAGGCAAATAACGCTGCCAAGAAGAACGATGCCAAGGGTCTCAAGAAAGATGAAAAGAAGATCAATAGTGCCTTGGATGAGGCGACTAAGGACCGTCAGAAGAACCAGAAGATCGCCGGCAACAAGGATCCCGCTCTTACCAAGGGACTTGGGAAAGTTGAGAATGCGCAGAAGGGTGCGAAGAAAACAGTCAATGGCTTGACTGGCGACCCTAAGAAGGATAAGGGATCCTTAGACAACCTGAATGCTACTTTCAAGAAGGGAAAGAAGACTAATGAAGAGAATTTGAAGGAGGTAAGTTGTATCCCACTCAATGTCTAAAGGATTCTCACTAACACCGCTCCATCAGGCCAAGAAGAACTTCAACTAGGTCACATGTGAAGGTTGAAGAACAACGGCTTTCGGTCTGAAAGGGTCGTAGATCTAGTTTACCATTGACTTAAGGCAGAGTAATTGAAAATACTTGCACTTCTAATCTTGGTTGTAAAGAAGCCAACATGTTGTACAAGAAAACTTGAAGTCTATTTAGGTACATATATCTTCGCCAGCTTTATAAGACCACGATCGAAATTTGCTATTGCAAGGTGGTTATTATCGCTCAAGTGAGCGTTCCCGATGCCATTTCCCTCCCAGTCCCTCATATGGAGATACGTTAGCCAAGCGCTCGCGTGATCAGAATGTGCCCCGAAAGTACTCTGAAACCTGTGGTAGGAGTTGGCGATAAGCTTCAAGTTTTCCACCGACGACTAAGTCTTCAAGAGTAGCCTTTCTGTATCCCTCAACATCCCAGATATCGGTCCCGACCATCTTGGCTTGCTGGCCGGTGCCCCAAATCTTGCGGCAGTACCAAGCCAGGGTAAAGAGACTGCCTGATCTCAGCCCTTCCTCAACTTCGGTGTTGACTTTGTCGAGGCTCAAAACGGAAACTCGAGGAGGAGTGTCATGTTTCTGTTTCAGCGCAGTGGCAACATCATTACCAGTGGCCTTCAACTCTGAGATCGAGATCGCCCTATTTTGGAGTTGAGGAATTGGCGTCGAAGCAAAGATAGCTACATATGCCGCGGCCACGTAGCTGCTCGTACTGAACGCCACATTAGTAAGAAATTGAAGTAGATCAATTATAAATCTCGGCTTCAACTCACCATAAGTCCACATTCTCCTCGGCACTGTTCCCCGAGTACACAATTCTATTACGAGGCAAGTCTACACCCATGCCACTAACATGCAATTGTTTGAGTCAGTCAAGGTGAACATAAATCTTACCGTAGGATATTCGAGGAAAACCTACGGAGTATTCAGTGCAAACTCGGCGAAGTTCCCAAGCAAAACCAGCGTAGTTGGAATGCCAGCAGCGATAGAGGCTTCCTCAACTTGGCGTTTAGCCTTGTTGACGCCAATCTTCAAGCCTTGCTCGTCGTATCTACCCGCAAGCTCCGATGGTGAGAAAAGCTTGACGTCCGTCTTTGGTATAGCCTTGACGAAGGCATGCTGTCGCTCAACCCCTTCGTGTCCGACGAGAGAGCTGCCGAAATGTCAGAGCTTTTGTCTGGGCTAACTTGAACCTGAATGGTGTTTCGAGGTCGATGAGTACGGTACGTACATTACGATGTCAATGTCATGTAGGGCGTTAACCAGTGCTTGCTCGTCCTCAACATCCACCTCGACGCTAGTGATGGAAGACGGTAGGCTCGAGATATCGGATCCTGGACGGTAAATAATTCGGATCGGTGCCCCTGAAGCGATCAAGGCTTCAGTTATCTTCGAGCTGGCCCAGCCTCGATGACCGTAGATAGCAATACGATTGAAAGACGGTATACTGGGACTGAAAAATGAGGCCTGCTGATATTCAGGAAACGAGAATTGGTCAAGTAGCATATAACTACTTTACTTGTACTCGCGTGGACAAGTCGAACAAACGCAGGACAGTGTGCCAACTAATCTATCAAATCACCAGTGTACGTCTTTGTTCCACAGCCTCCACTCGGATCACCGTCTGTAAGACCTTACGAGAGAGAAGATTGGTATTTCTTGGTGGTGGGACTACGGAGACCTTCCCTGGCTATGGTTAACGAAAACGAGGTGCATGAGCCACCGTGCCACCTTCGTCATGTTAGTGATGATTCCCATGCATCCGACATCCCCGCTCGTTGTGTCACTCCCGAAGGAACAACACTTTTCCATCCGTAATTGTGCAACAAGATCTTTTTGATTGGACACCTTTCGGCGGGAGCAACCACGGTGGTTTTTTGAGCGATTTCTGCCTTGGTATGCCACTGGGGAATCATCATCATCATCCCGCGCTCCTTCTCTCTTCTATGCGAATGGATAGAGGAGACCAATTTCTTTTCCGAAATTTGCCCGAGTCATTGAACAGGAACGTTAGGTGAAGACGGTAGCCTGTAACATAGTTTAGATTAGTATAGACCATGTCGGCATAGCGCCCGGCACGTCCTTTTGTTACCAGACGTTAAATACATCATCATCATCATCATCAATTTCAGAGCGAGCCTCGTACCTATTCTCTACTTTCAATGGATAACTGTTCTCTATCACACATCTCGATGCCCACATTGTGACCACACGACAGGCGATTAATAATTCTAGGTATTAGTCAAGATTACAACACCCGGGCGTGTTTTGCTTCCGATTGACTGTGATCATCGCTCACACCTGTCGATGAGGTTCATCGGAGTTGCCTGATAGCCAGGTGTTGCTCGACGAAGAGGATATTAGATAAGAGATACCAAGATTTGCTCTACAAATGGCGTTTGCTTCAGAACATTTCCAGACCTACGCCATACAGTGAGGCAAATCGTCGGCAATTGTCGGACTTACGCCCTGGAAACTACATCAACTCAGAAAGTTTCAAATTATGTTTACTACAGCATTTGTATTACAGTATCGGCCTCTAGAGCTTAGTTTATGTCGCTCGAAATCGGAACGCGTTTGCAGATAAGTAAGCCTTTGAAGCCTGAGCCACTGTGACACAGCTTAATACTACGCTGCTTCTATTTCGGAGATTGACTTTGCACATAGACCAGATTTCCGGTACTCGAAGAAGTCTATGCCACTAATACTTCTCAGATGCTTAATATTGCATCAGCTTAGTAGGATGAACAGCATAGATCTTATCGAACTACATCAAGCACAGTAGAAAACGTAGTCATTCCGTCAAAATGTTCAAGCGTAGTCCAAAAGGCCGGAGATGTCGTTCAAGCTTGAATAGATATCATCGCTGAGATATCAATCAGTCGTACTGTTTCGCGTCGGTACAATCCATCACAAATACACAAAGAACAATGCCTTGCGTTTTACATGCAGAGTATTATGCACACCGTTCATCGCACATCGCACATTTGTGACGCCCAATGAACATTTTACAGTTACCCGTAGAGCTTTGATGCTAATGAGTCACAGCTATGAATTAGTACATCGCATATGGCATGAAGATCCTAGCCGTAGCAGCCTAAACCTCAAGAGGCTGAGATTGAAAGAGAGCGATTGACAACTGGAAAGGAGTATGAATGCAGAAGGTCTTTATGCCGTGCAACAGACCAGTAGTTCATAAGACATTGATATCAGCCGATAATCGGGCTTACAACGTCGCGACTTCGGTCGTGCAAGTTTCATGCCTAAGCCACAAGGAGATTACACATCATGAAACAACCCTCCGCTGTCCGCCGAGATGAAACGGCCGCGAGTAGGGCTGACTCTCACCGAATATTTCACCTTGTACGTGTTTGGAAATCCCAGGTAAGCATGCCCGTCACGTTCCGCATTTCCTCTTGCCCAGTCTTCCATCCGGCAGCGGAAGCCGGGTGTAGGCGACGGCCACACTCGGATCGTCGCGGTCCGCCTCGCAAATCAGTGGAGGCTGCGCACGAACGGTTGGAGGAAATGACATCACATGGCACCCTGGGACTCGGATGTCCGTTTGTCTTGCCAAGTGTGGCATCTGATTCACCGTCTCTTTGCCAATGTTTTCGGCTTGAAAAGGCCACGAGAGATCAGATTACGATCGTGCATTTATAAGGGGTCTCTCCTCTTTTCCTTGTCAGAGAGTATCTAGATCGTGATAGTATCTGACGCAATTTGACGTCCAAACTTCAAGATGAAAGAACCGCAGCGACGTTTACGATACAATGTTGCCATATCCCTCGATGGGTTCATTGCCCCTCCAGACGGATCAACAGATTGGATCGTACAAGACGACAACATCGATTTCCAAGCACTTTATGCCCAGTTCGACACTTTTGTAATGGGCCGGAAGACGTATCAGTGCATGTTCGCCATGGGCGAGCAGAACCCTTTACGGGGATATCCAAAACAAAACCTGGTTGTCGTCAGTAGGACTCTCAGAAGCGAAGATCACCCAAGCGTGACAATCATATCACAACATTTCACCGGCTATGTGGCAGACCTCAAAAACGCGGAGGGCCGGGACATCTGGCTCATGGGCGGCGGGCAACTGGCGGGGCCGTGTCTAGATGCGGGGATCCTAGACTCCGTGGAGACGGCAATCATGCCCGTGATGCTGAGGAAAGGGACCAGAATGTTGCCGGACTCGGCGCTCACGCCACTTGGGGGATTCAAGCTGGAGTTGGTGGATTGCAAAAAGCTGGAAACGAGCGGCATTGTGAACTGCAAGTACAATGTCAGCAGGGGAATGGCTGCGTCTTTGGGTGAAGCATTGTCGTTCTGTTGAAATGGAGGCTATGGATACGAAGAAGAGGCTCCGAGATACCCTCACGTGGTAAAGTCCATCAAACCACTAGGAAAAGCTGGTTAAAAGTTTCTTGAATCATCTATACGAAAATAAAGAATATTTTTGCTTGGGACTTTCTGATGTAATTCCTTAACCGTCGTCATCTCCAGAGGGACTCGACGTGCGCATTCCATGGGCTTTAACAGAATTATTTGGCCGACAAAAACGCATGACTGCGATGGATCCGTTGCCAATGGTCCCGAACTGATCGCGAATCTCATACGCCAGTCTTTATGCCATTGGCTTGCAAGGCGTTACTGTTTGGAGATGGCGAGGTTGCATCTTCCCATTGCCAAAGCTGGAGATGAACACGACGCAAGTGACGCAGACGTGCGGGAGATCTACGAAGGGCATGAAAAGAACCCCTTCGCGCAGTGCTAGCTCTCTACCAACCTTTGATCCCTACACAGGTACCTACATAGGTAGGTGAATATCGAGAGACAAGCGGGATCGACAACATATCAAAGTTTCAAAGTCTGACGACAGAGTCCCACAGGTCTCGAAGGATTCGACTTCGCGTCTGGTCACTCAAGCGGCTTAAATCCGCGACGGATTCTTCCCTTAGCTCCGCTAATCCCCTCGATTTGGCCGTGATCATACCTAAGGATTGACCTGCAGGCTCATAAATAATGCCGCAGTAGCCTTAGGTGTTCTGATTCTTTTCACAAACGAATTCCACCATTTCAAAGATGGCGACAAGAACAACCCGAAAGATTCTTATTCTCGGCGGCACAGGCAAGGTTGGTCGCCAGATCACGAAGCTGCTCGCACGCACATCAACCCCCGTCTACCAAAGTTCCCGGAGCGCGGCCTCCACAACGGAGCCGGATGCCGATAACATTCAAGCCGTCGCATTCGACTGGGAGAATGAGCAGACGTGGGCTGCGGCACTCGGCGTCGGCGCCACCAGCATCTTCCTTGTAGCGCCGCCGGTGATGGACATGCTTCCGCCGATGCGGTCATTCATCGATCAAGCAAGGATTCAGAGTCGCACAACGAGATTTGTGCTGCTGAGCGGAAGCCCAATTGAGCCTGACATTAATGGGTACGCGATGGGACGGCCGCATGCGTACTTGAAGGAGCTCGGTGACAGGGGCGAAGTGGAATGGGCTGCATTGCGACCAACGTGGTTTCAACGTGAGATTCGGTAGTCACCATACAAATTTGATGTCAGTGAGCTGATGAGAGAGCAGAAAACTTTGCAGAGCAGGATAATCACCGCCTGGCGATCATGAATGAGAGCACCATGTATTCAGCCACGGCCGACGGCAGGATTCCTTGGGTGGCTACAGAGGACATCGCCGCCTGTGCATTCCAGCTACTCACTCAGGAAGACGCGCCGAATGATGAGTATCTAATTCTTGGCCCAGAACTACTCAGCTACGATGAGGTGAGCCCAGCGACCCTACTTTCAAGTATACGAAAGTCTTGCTAATCATCTGCGGCAGGTCGCTGCCACACTCACCGACGTTTTGGGTCGAAAGATTGTGCACAAACGCCTTTCAGCGCAGGAGCTGGTGGACCGTTACGTCGCTCAGGGCATGCCGCGGGATTACGCGGAGATGATGAGTGGGTTGGACACCGCCATCAAGAACGGGAGCGAGAACCGGACGAACAGCGTTGTCCTTGCGGTGACTGGGAGGCAGCCCAAAAAGTTCCGTGAGTTTGCTGAGAGAAACAAGACAGTCTGGGCCTAAATTGCATGAAAATACGTTCAAAACGTTCGACGTCGACGTTCGGTTTTCGGGGCTTGGAGTGAGTGTTGGCTCACTGAACTCAGATGAAGAATGGGTGCTTGCCGTGGGTGTGCTAGTGACGCTGTCAGATGCCTTCAGCTGTTGCTCCTACTACTTGGTCTCTCCACCAGACCTTCATTCTTGGCGGTTGTTCCATGTCGCCTGCTCACAGCCTCACAAAAGAAAGGCTCAGAAGGGGAAAAAGGTTTCGTTTTCAGTCAGCAAACGCCGCCGTTTTCAGCCGAAAGCTTCGGCGTGTCTTCGCGTGCGGGGATGTGCGCTAAGGTTGAAACAAGTCATGAGATCACAAAGCCTCCCTGCGTGCCTAAAAGTCTGCGGCATGAAATGCAAGGTCATTATCCTCACTACAACATCTAATCAGATTGCCCAAGCTACAGCTCGAATGAGTTGTGCATGAATCTCACGATATGGACTCATCATTTGTCGCGATTGAGGACGACAGGCCGGGGAGGGCCGCCGGCGGGGATGATGCCCGGAGCCCGGAGGAGACGGCGAACCCACTGACGTACCCCAAGGCGGCCAAACCCTTCAGTCAGGACCTCTTCAAGAACCCAACGTCGGAGTATCGAGGATGTCCTTTGTGGTCATGGAATACAAAGCTGGAGAAGGAGAAGCTTCTCAGGCAGATTGATCATCTCAGTGAGATGGGCATGGGTGGTTTCCACATGCATGTCCGGACCGGACTGGACACCGAATATATGGGCCCGGAGTTTATGGATCGCGTTCGGGACTGCGTGGAGTATGCAGAGAGTAAGGGGATGCTCGCTTGCTTGTAAGAATTCCTAACCCTCGATGCTTCAATTCTCTTGATGAGATTACTGATGAAATACATCAGATACGACGATGATCGGTGGCCCTCCGGCGTTGCTGGGGGCAAGGTCGTCAAGCAATACCCAGAGCATAAGACGAAGCACATTCTGTTCACGCCGTACCCGTACGGGTCTGTTGAGCTTGGCGGGTAAGTCCCCAGGATATCTTTCTCATATCCATCTCACACAACTTTTAGTGGCTGCGCTCCCAGTTCAGCACAGGCCTGCCGGAGTGAAGAGGGTTACCTCTTGGCACGCTTTTCAATCACACTTGATGAGAATGGCCGCCTGAAGTCAAACAAGAAACTCGAAGAGGGAGAGGATGCGGAACCAGGTGGAAGGGTATGGTACGCGTATGTCGAGATTAACCCCCCATCATCTTGGTTCAATGGGCAGACCTACATCGATACAATGAGCACCGAGGCCATGAACCGCTTTTTGGAGAGCACGCATGAGGTCTACAAGGATAAGATTGGCGACAAATTTGGAACTACGGTGCCCTGCATCTTTACCGATGAGCCCCAAGTGGCTATCAAGACACAACTTTCGAGCCCGACTGGAGTGGAAGACGTCTTTCTACCATGGACAGCAGATCTACCCGACACATTCAGAGCGACGTACGGTGAAGATGCAGACCTCGTCGCTAGCATCCCGGAACTACTGTGGGATCTTCCGGGAGACACACCAAGCTTGTCCCGCTACCGGTTCCACGACCACGTTAGCGAAAGATTTGTGACTTCATTCCTCGATCTGCTGGCAAACTGGTGCAGAAAAAACAAGATCATCCTCAACGGCCACATGATGGAAGAGCCCACCCTCCGTTCTCAGACGACCGCCCATGGCGAAGCAATGCGCTGCTACCGAAATCAGACGCTTCCGGGCATGGACCTCCTCAACGACTGGGTCGAATACAACACCGCGAAGCAATGCACCAGTGTGGCCCGCCAGAACGGCGTTCGCGGCGCCATGAGCGAGATCTATGGGTGCACCCACTGGTACTTCACTTTCGAAGGGCACAAGGGCTGCGGCGACTGGCATGCGGCTCTGGGCATCACGTTCCGCGTGCAGCACCTCAGCTGGGTCAGTATGGCTGGTGAAGGTAAGCGCGATTATCCCGCCAGCATCGGCTACCAGAGCCCATGGTACAAGGAGTACGGCTACGTCGAGGACCATTTCGCCCGTGTTGGTGTCGCCTTGACGCGCGGCAAGGCCGTCACGCGAGTAGGTGTGATTCACCCCATTGAGAGCTTTTGGTTGTGCTTCGGACCCAATAACAGCGGCGACGATGAGATTGGTCGCCGTGACCAGGCATTTGCGGAGCTCACAAACTGGCTGCTACATGGCTTGGTGGATTTTGACTTCATTTCCGAGAGTCTTCTCCCGAACCAAATCAGCGAAGATGTGTCGAAGCCCCTCAAGGTTGGCCAGTGCGAGTACGACGTCGTGATTCTGCCGAACCTGCGGACCATTCGGTCGTCGACATTCAATGTTGTCAAGAAATTCGCCGCGGCCGGGGGTACTGTTATCATTGCCGGTGACGCCCCGATTCTTATTGATGCTCAGGTTGCGCCGCCAGATCTCAGCCTCGATATTGAGCCATCAGTCAAGGTTGCTTGGGGTCAAGGCGATATCCTTTCTGCTGTATCTCAAGACTGCGACTTGAAGATTGACTTGAAGGACGGGGGGCCGACCGATACCCTACTTTACCAGATGCGCCAGGATGGAGAAGAGAGGTTCGTCTTCATCTGCAACACGGACAGAAATAACCCATACGACACGCTGGTTAGCATTAAGGGCGACTGGGATGTAGAAATCTTGGATACCTTTACCGGTGCAACCCATCACCACAAAGCTCGCTATGAAAGTGGTTGGACCACCTTCGACCACAGATTCGAGGGCTGCGCAAGTTTACTGTTGAGACTCTATCCTGTACCTGGGGAAGATCTGTCCTTCGTCAGTATTGAAGGCGCAGTAGCGCTAGCTCCGGCTCAATACGCATCTACGGAACTTAAGCTCGACGAGGTCGTGCTTTCGGAGCCGAACGTCCTAATGCTTGACTATGCGCTGTACAGAATCGACGATGATCCATGGGAGGATTCTGCCCGTCAGGAAATCCTCAAGATCGACAACGAGATCCGAGCGAGACTCCGCATCCCGGCAAAGGGTTCCGCTTGGAAACAGCCCTGGAGCGTACCGCAGTCAGAACGAGCGGCCAAAGTTTACGTTGACCTTAGGTTCGAATTCGATTCCACCGTCATTGTTAAAACACCAGCCTACCTCGCAATGGAGAATCCCGAGAACGCAAGGATCACCATTAACGGCCACAAGCTGCCAGTTGAGGAGAAAAGACTTTCTTGGTGGGTTGACGAGGATATCAAGACGATTTCGGTCCCGAAGAGGACGATTCGCAAGGGAAAGAATATTATCGAACTCAGTATGCCCTTCGGCGTGCTGACCAATCTGGAGAGGATATACTTGTTGGGCAGCTTCAGCGTCGAGCTGAAGAACAACCTGCCTATACTCTGCGAACGGAGACAGAGCTTGGGCTGGGGCGACGTGGTCAAGCAAGGGCACCCGTTCTATGCTGGCAATGTAACATACAACTGCAGCTTCTCGCTCAAGTCCCGCTCCGCCGTCACTCTCTCGATTCCGCAATTTGCGACGCCGGTCATCAAGGTGCAATGGAAGCAAAAGAGCGGACACATCGCGCTACAGCCAAGGAAGCTGGATCTTGGGGAACTCGAAGCTGGCAAGCACGAGATTTCGATTACGGCCTTTGGGTACCGGTACAACTCGTTTGGTCATATCCATCTCACAGAAGGAGTCTTTGGATGCTGGCCTGACCAGTGGCGAAGTAAGTTATCCGGTGCTAATGGCAAGTAAGTTGCTGACATGACTCTCAACAGCTGGTGGTTGGGCTTGGAGCGAGGAATATCTGTTGAAGCCTACAGGAGTGCTGGAAAAGCCTTCCTTGATCGTGGAGTCAAATGCCGCTGCAGGAAGTGAAGATTGGATTGTCTTGGCCGAGTAAAGAATTAAGTACCTCAGCCTTGAATTGTATCAACTGCGGTTAGGAGAGTGAACAAAATTGTATGGTATATGGTCATGGGCGTTCTTGGTGATGTATCCTTGTAATTCTACTATTTTGACTAGAACTTCAGCCTTCACACCGATAATGAGCACTAAACTGGTTGTTTTTAATCACAACTATTTGTCTCGACACCCGGGCGATCTGTTCCAAATAAAGCCTATCACACTAATCATGACCTTTCCTGCCTTGTCTCTTTGACCTGTTTCAACTGTTGCATTGTGTAATAGATCTGCCTATTCAAGTAGGAAAGCTGTCTCTACTTACCCATCTCACACTACCTGACCTTGCACCTTGGCGTCCAGACCCGCATGGCGCCGTTCCCACCGCGATTGGCACGGAGGAAGTACGGAATGGCTGTGAGTTGCAGCGGCTCGACCTCATATTCCCAGGCCTTGGGTCCGTGGAGCCGATTCGGCTTGCCCGTCATAACGCCTATGTACGCCAGCTTCCGGCCCGTGACCAATAGGGGAGTCACACCATGCGTGGTCGCAATAGATACGGGCAACCCCTCCTTCAGTGCTCGCTCATCCTCCAGAGCGATGTGGTCAATATCGATGCCCACGTTGTCCACATCTTCCACGCAGTACACTAGCGGTCCTCGGCGAAGGCAGACCTTGTCCTTGTCCGTCCTAGGGTGTGCATACAGCTGGTGGGCTGTTGTCGATGGTGAGAGGCGGACCTCGGTGTCTACTAGGACGATGGTGATGTGCAGATAACTTTGTTCGAGCTCGCCTTGAAGAGAGCATGTGTACCCTTGATCCTGCATCCAGTCAGGAATCCGCAGTGCCAGCCTCGTGGTGCCCTCAACACGGATAATGACTTCGCCCGACCATGGCATCGGTCATGACGGAGAACTTTACGCTTTTGCCTGCCAGCGTCAGTTCAACCTCACTCTGTACGTACAGATGAACCACCACGAGACCCTTAATATCATCGGTCGAGTAAGGTAGAGAAGGGAACCCAGCGAACCGACGAGCTTGGCCACATTAGGAGGGCAACAGGCGACGCCGAACCAGCGCTCACGCTCCTTGGGCTGTCCCGTTCTGTTGCGTAATACGTTCTGGTAGTAAAAGGCCTCGCCGTCTGAGCTGATGGCGCCGAGGAAGCCGTTGTACAGGCACTTCTCTATAACATCCGGCGCACTCGGATCTGAGCTCGATCTGCAATATCCGTTGACACCATACAATGAGAGTAAAGGATGCGCAAGTCTCGCCGTAGCAGCCCTCCATCTCGAGATCGTTGAGTACGAAGGCTTCGCCAAACCCTTCGGTCTGACGGTAGACGCCAACAGCACCCGTGACGTACATCTTCCAGTTCACCATGTCCCTCCAAAGCCGCTTGAGCACCTGCTTGCACTCGACCACTTCGGGATCCGACGTGGCCTCGAGACGAACAAGGTCCGCAACAGCCGTGTAGTAGTACATTGCGCGTACGGCATGCCCTCTGATTTCGGTCTGCTCGCGGATGGGCCGGTCAGCCTGATTGTAGGCGTAATCTGGAGGTCCATGAAACCAGCCCTTGACCTCGCTACCCAGCCCATCGTACGGATCAGCACCATGCCCAAATGTTTCGTGATGAAAACATGTCTCGCCGTTGTCGTTGTGTGTGCCTCGCTCCAGAATGAAGCACTTGGCTTGAGGGCTAGTGGGTCGCCCGTCATATCGTAGAGACGGAGCAAGCCCAGCTCAATCTCCTGGTGGTCCGGATACCCGCGCTTTTTGCCCTCCTCACGTCCAAAGACCGGGTCCAGGTGATGCATGGATTTAATCACCACCTCAAGCAGGCGTCCGATTTTCGTGAGCATCTCGTAGGCTACGTTTGCCTCCTACAGGTGGCCAAGGCTGTAGAGCTCGTGGAGGTAGCGCAGGTTGGTCCACCGGCTTTCAACGCCACGTACCGTATAGAAAGAGTTGAGATAGCCGTCAGGGTGTTGGGCTTCGCGAATCATCTCGACCGTCTCCTCCACAACGCGGAGCATATTCTCATTTGGATCAGTGAGTAGCAAGTTACAGGCTGCCTCTGTTGTCTTGTAAACATCGCTATCCCAGAAGGCATGGGGCTGCGGTTGGTGGCCCTTCTTCAAGGTGAGGCAATCCCAGTGACCCTCCTCCTTTTGCGCCTTGATGATGGACGGCACCGTAAAATCGCGGACATTTTGCTGGACCTTGGACCAGAAGGGCGATGACACACGGACATTCTGGAAGGGAATGTTGCGGAGCGGCATTTAAAATGGCTAAGCTGAACTTGTGGGTCTGAGGTCGTGTAAGTTGGTCCAAGGGCAAGAGGTCAGTCGCGATGTCAACTAAGATGGAAGAAGACAGAAGGAAGCGCTAAAGGATAAAGGGCCATGAAAAAGCAGATGTTTTATTTATGTTCACGCATTCTTGAAATTGGATGCTGTCGCAAAAACGACGCCGTTAATTACGGGCAGCAATTAACGCCATATATACCCTACGACATAGGTCTCTCATAAATGCCGAGTCTGGTCATATACAAGATCCCACCGGCCAATGGCAAAAGGCGAAGCCGGGGACTTTTGGCGTGTTGGCATAGTTTCTCCATCAAAACCTTAAGTTGCCTTGGCTCATTCAACATTGGCGACTATCATGCTATTTACTCAGTTAGCCTTTGCATCAATGAACCTTCATGGCCGGGAACGGTCAGAATGGTGCCTGTATTCTTGGGCACGGCCGTAACGTAAGAAGCTCCAAGATCCATGGCCGTGCTAGATATGTTCAATCGAAAGATGCAAATGTTCAGATGGCGGAAATGGGCCACCTAGTATCATGAAGCAAAGAAGGAAAGCCCAGAAATCCTTGAGCGACTTGGATTCTCATGGCAACAGCCTTCAGCAGCTCGCTCTACAATGAGTCCCACTTTCGAGACTTCATATTGTCTTCATGTTCCTGGTCACAGCCTGCCCCTGCCCTCTCATACGAAACCGTGATGTCTTGCCTCCTTATGATCCCAGGAACTCTAGAGCTCGACCCAGTCTCCGCTCCGACAATACTATCTTGACTACTCGCATCTTCCAAGTCGATTCTTGAACTGATAGTTGTCGATGTCTTGCCAACGGCGTTTCCGTTCCTCGGCACTGACCGAGACCCGTTCATCTCAATTCCGCCTGACCGCAATCCCGCCGGGTCGCTTTGCTTCTGATACTTTCGGTCAGTTGAACTTAGAACGCGACGCCCAAGCGCGAGTTCTATGAGGGGCCCGAGGATGGGTATGCAGGCGGCGATGATTAAAGTATTGCCCTCGACACTGTCAAGAGCGTTAACTAGGCGTACTCAACATTCACGGTCAAATTCCTTCGGTACTCACATGGTCCATACAACAAGCTCAGCGCTATCATCTTCTCGACTGTTAGCTAAAGCGGTGACGCTGAGTAATGTTTTCTTACAAGTAAAGTCTTTGCTTGCAAGAGATGGTAGGCGTGTGCTTTTGTAGATGGAGATAAAGCAAGAGCTGAAGGGTTCGTTAGACATGTTTAAACTGAGAACAGCCCCGTTCAATCATGGTTCAATACATGGATCCAATGCCAAGGGCAGTGCTTAGGATGACTTTTTTCTTGATGTTCATCTGAAGTCTCATCAAAACTGTGGCAGGGTAGACTGCAAGGTATAAATCCAGGGCAGCGGAATAAGCTGGCATGGATTGGTTTCAGCAATAGTCACTTCGGAAGCAAAAGACACAGCGCTTACCTCCTGTCAATATAGCAACATTTACGAGAATCCAAGGACTCCAACAGCTCTTTTCAGTCACCGTGAAGTCCCATTGAGCCCGAGTCGGTGTACACTGAGCAAACAAAATGATGATGCAGAGGGACACCAGAATTAAGCATCCGGTCGCCATGCACCAGAGCATAACTTGATGCTTCCTTCCTGGGTTCAGAATCCTGACGAGTAGTGCCACGACGGCGAACTTTGGTATGGTATAGGCAAGGACATTCGGAGGAAATCCTGAAATCGTGGAGAGGATTGCGGCGGATTGCTGGTCTTGGGAAAGCGTGTCGGCGTGTCGACCATTGCCGCAACGAATAGCCCAAATTTCGAGAGCTACTGTCGCGTAGCTGAGCAACTACGCCAGGATGTGTTAGCTTCTTGATCTTGAGAGTAGAGCTGCTGGATCCAAGGGAGAAAAATTGAACTCACTAAAGATGCAACCGTGAGGTGATCATCCAAATGGGTTTGACCAAGGATTTTGATGCGAACAAATAGCCGCATGGCAACGAAGAGAGTGCTGATTCCAACAATAATACATATTGCAACAATAATCCCAGGGCCTTTATCCTCTGTTGAGTAGGATATTGTTGTCGAGCTATCACTCGCCATCTTCCAGAATGGTGATTGTTTGACGGCCAAAGATGAAGTCGAAAACTCGCCCAGGCATGTGGAATCGTTTGGGTGATGAATCTATGGTCTTAGTCAGGAGGCGGAGGCCAATGGCTTGCGCTTCCCGCTGATGACCTTCTGCAGAGATATGCGCCAAGGAGGTGTCGGATCAGACTCGAAAAATGTCGTGCCGCAGTTGGAAGCACGAACATTCATCAAGGGGGGTCCGGCGACGAGCTCCACCCCAGACTCCTCGTGCAGACGCACGTACGCTCACCTGAGCCGGCCCGTGTATCCTTGACGAGAGACAAGAAAGCACAACATTACTGATGTTTCCAACAAAGAGCATGGAGGGCCAGATAGCGTAGCCCCTGGCTATCTCTAGAAGTCGAGAATCGAGACTACATCCTGCAGTAACGCGCGGCCAGATTGCTGTCCATCTGTTGTGCCTGCGACCGAAGTCGATAGTGATACCCATTTCCAACTAACAGAATCTGCCTAAAGCAGAAATGTCTTGTTGGTTGGATCTAAATCCAAGGGATATTGTGGGCTGTTTGTTGCGCAATATCGGCCCGGACGTGGTGGACATCATCCGGCGGCCCCGCCGAAAGCTCTAGGGACCCTCGCTCCTCTCCACCCGGCATGGGTTTCGTCACCAATAAGACAGTCTTGTTGACAGACTTCAGAACCAACGGCGAACAACAATCTACTCTCGGCCTACAGGCTACAGCACCCTTGAAGAACAAAGTGAGAGAACCCATCTGTGCATGAGTGGACTACGAGCCCAATCCGAGAGATTCGGGACAGTCACACGCCTTCTCATTTTGATCAGGTACTTTTGTCGGACAAGACGATTTCATCCCCACTCAAATCGTGCTCTGTTGGAACAGGGTCAAGGACACGAAAGTGTCTCCAACAGACAAATTTGTGGCCATGAGCCCCTTATTTCTGACCCTAGGTCCGGAGTCTTGACCAGTTGTTACTAAGGTACGTCAAGGTTAGCAGAGCTTGATCGTGAGTAGACGATTCGAAGGTGCACATCATCTTGCGGGCCCATGTTGGCCTAGTCCCTCCTCGCCTCCCTGTGACTTTTGTGACTCCATGCCAGGTACCTTCCCTCATTGTGCACCAGTCTCGCCAGTTCGAGGTTGGTGTATCCCCTCTGCATAATACGTTATTGGAAATGTCTGGGGAGGCGTCTCAACTTGCTGGTCAATCCTTCCTCATATTAAGGCACCCAGCCATTTCTCCGAAAGAAGGGCACTGGACTTTAATCCCTTACCTAGTAATCTGCGGTGATTTATTTTTTGGTTTCTTCATACTGCTACCCTACAACCGCCCGTCACCTGAACGATTGAGCAATTGCCTTCCTCCAAAATCACCTTCATCATACAACACCATGGGTTCTATCCCGAGCGAGATACCCCGCGAGGTTGACATATCTGTTGCTTTGGCTGCGTGCGACCTTCCAAACGTAGAACAACATGTAGAGAATATTGCCAACCTCACTGGCGCAGTCGCCAAAGGTAACGACACAGCACGTCTAAGCATGCTACAGAGCGCCCGTTTACTCGTACATGCACTGGAGACACCGCGCGAGACCATGATCAAACATTGCTGGGCACAAGTAAGGCGACCTTTCTCTCAACCTTCAACAAATTTGCTAAAGATCGCCACAGCCAGCCGCCTTCACTGCCCTTACGTACGCAGTTGACTCTGGTCTCTTTGCGTTGTTGGCGCAGAGCAAGAAGTCTCAAAAAGTCTCCGACCTAGCTTTGAAACTAGGACACGATCCTGCTTTATTGGGTGTGTCGCATCCCACGAGATGAGACTCTTGGGCTACTGCTTACTCTTTTTCCTCACAACAGGACGGATCATGAGGCATCTCGGCGCGATGCTATATATCACTGAGACCGGACCTGACGAGTACAAATCGACCAACTTCTCGGATGCGCTCACGATCACTAGCATGGGCGCTGGCTACCCCTGTGTGTAAGTCAACTCTACCTCTTACTCACCCAGCCCACTCGAAATATCAAAGTACCAATGTTCTTTGGCGCATACCCTAACAAACATCTATCCTGTACCTACTTAAGCTGATAATCGTCAACAACCAGCGCCGGAGCCTGCATGGAGTCCTTGGCTAAGTTTCACGAGTTCGCCAAGAAGACCAACTACCGCGAGCCTCACGATGTCTTCAACGGACCCCTACAGTACGGATATAACACCAAACTCGACTGCTTCAGCTGGCTTGCAGCAAACCATCCATACGAGATGCAATTCGCTCAGCACATGGGCGCATACCGTCAGGGCCGACCTAGCTGGATGGACGAAGGCATTTACCCGGTGAAGGCACGATTGGTTGACGGGTTTGACGACTCTGAGAACGGCGTTCTTCTGGTTGATGTCGGAGGGAGCTTTGGTCATGACGTTGATGAGTTCCGGAGGAAGCACCCTCAGGCTCCTGGTAGGCTTGTCGTCCAGGATCTGCCGACTGTCATCAGCCAGATTGAAAAGCTTGACGAGAAGATTGAGAGGATGGGACATGACTTTTTCAATGAACAACCGATAAAAGGTAAGAAACCCCCCTCACTCTCTGGTCACAGACATCCAAGCCTAACGCGCCACGTACCCAGGTGCCCGAGCCTACTACATGCATTCGGTCCTCCATGACTGGCCGGATAAAAAGTGCGAGGAGATCCTGGCACGCACCACGGCCGCGATGAAGCCCGGATACAGCAAACTGTTGGTCAATGAGAACTGCATCACCGATACTGGTGCCGACTGGCAAAACACAGGACAGGATATCATGATGTTGACGCTGGTTAGTAGCAAGGAGCGTACACGCGTGGAGTGGCAGAGTCTCTTAGAGAAGGCCGGACTGAGAATCTTGGACATCCACGGTGGTGGAAATGGCGTCGAAAGTCTGATCGAATGTGAGTTGGCATAGCATGCAGGTATCACCACAGAGAGTCAATATCCCGCGTTTGACGTTCGTTTATCCCTCCAAATCAGGTAAGAGGTGATTAGAAAGCCATGATAGATAGTCCTATTCTTGCGACGTTGCCATCTTATCTGGTTTCTGTTTTTTCACCAGTCCCAGCAGAGGATGTTGTTATTAAAAGTGAGTGCCATTGCTAGAATCCGTGTCTACTTTTGGTTCATTCTATCCTGTTCCATTGCATATTTATCAACACATTCAGTCGTTGACTCCCGCTTCCATCTTTCTCATTTCTTAGGCACCACCAGGATATCATCCACATTAACGGCCTGCCCTGTCGCCAGTGATCGGTTGGCGGCAATACCAGTCAAGATCGACGCGGCACCATCAATATGACTGGCAGCCCGCATGTACTCATCGGAGACCGGCTCGCCAAACAGATCCGCCAGCAGCACAAGATCTCCACCGCCGTGGGCACCCTTGGCCTCGCCCAGATCAATCTCCTGAGGAGGTCCAAACAGTGGCCTAAGCAGCATCGTCCGCTTCTCAATAGCTCCCTCCAGAGCCTGACTACCTCCAGAGTTCACGTAGCTCTTCTCGACAACCTCAACCTCGAGGCGGCCGCCCGTGCCGTTGAAGTTGACGCGGAATCCTTCCCACGGCGCATATGCTGTCAGAGAGTATGTCATCACCGCGCCATTGCGATACCGGATGAGCAGGTTCATCGTATCCTCAATGCTAATGCCGTCGCCAAACACGCTCTGATCTCTGTAGTAGCTATCTTCGTGCTCCGCATCCAGATACATGGCCTTGAGCTGCGGGTTCTGGTCCAATTGCAGTGCAAAGGGATCGTCTTTTGCTGCCTCGCTTCCGTGCGCTCTGGTGTAGAACTTCGTCACGCCCCGCGCCTCGGCATTTTCCCGTCCGTAGAATTTGAGATCGCCCTGGGCGTAAACCGTCTGCGGCCGCGTCTGAAGCCAAAAGTTGACGAGGTCAAAGTGGTGCGTCGACTTGTGCACAAGGAGGCCGCCTGAGTTGCGCTTATCGCGGTGCCAGCGACGGAAGTAGTCGGCGCCATGGTTCTCGTTGAGCATCCACTCAAAGTGCACGCTCGTCACCTTGCCAATGGCGCCGGACTTGATGATCTCAAAGATCTTTGTGTTGTGCGGTGCGTAGCGGTAGTTGAACGTTACGCGCACCTCCTGGCCTGTTCGCTCGACTGCCGAAAAGATTTCCCTGCACCGGGGCGCGTCGATGGTCATTGGCTTCTCAGTGACGACGTTGCAGCCCAACTCCATTGCTCGTACGATATAAATGTTGTGTGTACGGTCCATGGTCGTGACGATGACCTCGTCCGGCTTGGTGTCCTTGATCATCTGGTCAAAGTTGGCTGCGATGTAGGTCGGGACCTCGCCGTGCCCGAGGTCTTTCAACCTTGAGTTGGCATAGTCCATGCGCGTCTGGTTCGTGTCGCAGAGACCGACAATGACTGAAGTGCTGCTGTAGTCCTTTGCAATGGCCGTGTAGAAAAAGCCCGATCGGCCACCGGTGCCGACGATGGCATACCGCTTCTTCTGTGTTGTCTCGCCCATTGTGGAGGTCAGGTATGTACTCGGTTCGTGTTGATTGCTGTGCTTCGAGGTGCTAGGGTAAGGTTTTGTCGGATTCAGGAAGTTCACAAACTGCCTTGAAATTGCAGAGAATGGAACTGACGCTGGACTGTGACGGGCACAGCGAGTTTATTGAGAGACCGAAACCCGCGTTATCGGAGTCGTCATGACTTCGGCAGATGGCACTCAAAATCCTCGAGATCTCATGCAGTCCCGGCCCCCGGCAAGAATCCCACTCGGGATCAGATATCCCACTCGGGATCAGATATCCCAAACGCCCGAATTTAGCCAAAATGGCAACCCGTTTCTGGGCGCGGGGGTTTGAATGCCCGACTCGTGAACCAGTCACTCGACGCTCACGATCCCCACAATGCGGGGAGACGATGAAGCGGAACGCGGGTGTGGCTCTCCGCTTCAATTGTCGGAAATGTCGGGGATACTGGGGTAAACCGAGGACTGGAGACTCGAGAGAGTAGCGTGCGGAGAGATTTTGGGGTAGAAGTGGGAATGGGTGCAACGTCAGCCCAGAGAAAGCCCCTTGTTGGTCCTCTCAACTTGGCTATTCCAGCCACCCGCTCGTAAACGGTAGATCGTTACCCCAGACTCTTTTGAACTAGACTTGGATTGACTTGGCAGGGTTGCGCACGACTCGTAAGGTAAACGATGACCCTCAGGCGTTGGGCTGAGATTTGATTTGACAGAGACCCATGATGTCTCGGCTTCGCATATTGCCTGAAGTTTTCCCTCCAATGAGAAACCACATTGAAATTTGGACTGGGGTGTTTCCGAAGGATCTCTTGGGTTCTGTCAAGCAACCGGCAAGCAATCTTGGCAACGTGCCATCCGACTTGGAGGGCAGACTTAATCTCCGGCTATTAGCAAGAAAGATGAACAGACACCACACGATGGGCATACGCAACGCGGGAGTCAGGTGTTGCCAAGGTAGATCGATGTTGTGCCTCCAAGCTCGGGTTTCCAGTTCGTCTTCGGCTGAGAGCCTGAGAGGAAACCGGTTGTTGGGGGCGGACAAGGGGGCTTGTCGCTTGAGGGTATATGACGGATAAGATGAACGAGTTCGAACCACAACGTCAGGTGTCTGCTACTCTCCTTCTTCCCATCAAGGTGCTGCAGTGTCATTTTTAAACGGTGTGCTCGACATATGTACCAATAGCACGGCACTACCTTTCTGATCGTTACTTCAACGACACCTGTTAGGGTCATTTTCGTGCGAGACCGAAGATCCAACATGGCATCACAAGCCCCGGCCGAGGATAGGGTCGGCGGTCCTACCGTCGACGCGATCGAGCCCGTCCCCGAAACACCGGCTCCGGCGAACACGGTCCAAGAGAAGGCGGCAAAGTTCCTTGCTGAGCACGGAGGTGGTGACACGACTTTCACGTACGAGGAAGAGCAAGCCGTTCTGAAGAGGATCAACTTTCGTATCCTGCCCTTGATTCTCGGAGCGTATTTCTTCCAGCAGATGGACAAGAGTTCTCTCAGGTGAGTCAATCCGTATTTAGGCCGTCCAACGCGTGCAGGTTACTAACAGGTCAACACCAATAGCTATGTTTCCATCTTCGGCATCAAAGAAGACGCACACCTCGTCGGGAAGCAGTACTCCTGGCTCGGCTCCATCCTCTACATCGCCCAACTCGTCATGCAACCCGTCGCCGCCTGGATCCTCGTCAAGCTGCCCAACGGAAAGGTCATCGCTGCCGCCATCTTCCTATGGGGCTCTTCCCTGGCCATCATGTCCTCGTGCACAGACTTCAAATCCCTTCTCGGCCTGCGGTTCATGCTCGGTTCTTTCGAAGCCATGATTGCGCCGTCATGCTTGGCTGTCACGACTACCTGGTGGAGAAGAAGCGAACAGACGTTGGTCACGAGTTCCTGGAACGCCATGAACGGCGTGACGTTCATCGTCGGAAGTCTCTTTACCTACGGTCTGGGCCACATCAATAGCGATAAGCTCTACAAGTACCAGATTATCTTTTTGTAAGTCATGAAAAAAGGATCTTGAGGCGGATAGCTTCGACGCCGAGGATGCCTTGCTAATGCTGCCCGTGACATAGGTTCTGCGGCCTGCTCACCGTCACCTACTCCGTTGTCGTCCTCATATTCATGCCCGATTCGCCCATGTCTGCCAAGTACCTGACCGAGAGGGAAAAGGTCATTGCGGTTGAGAGACTCCGTGCAAACCAGATGGGTATTCAGTCTGGAGTCTGGCGCTGGGACCACGTTTGGGAAACGTTCCTGGATTTGAAGACATGGTGCTGGTTCATTCTGATCATCGCCATTTCGTACGTTTCTCGGACCATCTTCTACATGTACTGTTGCGGTACTAACAAGTTATTTACAGCATCGCCAGTGGTGGCATCTCAACCTTTGGTAACTTGATTGTTCAGTCATTCGGATACAGCAGTTTCACAACCATCCTATTCAACATCCCCTTCGGTGCCATCCAGATCATTGCCATCATGGGAAGCGGCTGGATCGCTACTCGAATCCAGAAGAAGGGCATCGTTATCGCAGGCGTGGCAATTATCCCTACCATCGGTACCGTCCTGATGCTCACCGTACCGCGTGAGCACAAGGGGGTTCTGCTGTTTGGGTACTACTTGGTAAGGTTCCAATGGATGAAGCAACAACATGCATGCGCGCAACGTACTAACTTGCGATAATCAGGTCTCTGCACTAGCTGCCATCACGCCTCTCATCTTCACATGGCAGGCACAGAACACCGCCGGCGACACCAAGAAGAAGACCACTTCTGCCGTCGTCTTTATCGGCATGTGCACGGGCAATATCATCGGACCGCTCTTGTACTCCGTTGATGACGCCCCGGTATACCGCCCTGGTCTGATTTCCAACCTCATCATGTTTGTCCTCGTAGCCATCATGGGAGCGTAAGTCATCTTCCCTATCCCTGTTCCATGTTGCACAATGTTGACTGACTGGTCCTCGTACAGCCTGATCCCTCTTTACCTCAAGTACCTCAACGTTCAGCACGCCAAGCGCCGTATAGCACTCGGCAAGAGCACGTTGATCGTTGACGAGTCGATGATGCGAAACAAGGATAAGCAGGAGGGCAAGGCGGTCGAGATTGAGGAGGACCCTCAACACCAGCACCGTGCGATTGAGGAGGATCACGGTCTGCAGGACATGACGGATCTGAAGAACGAGGACTTTATCTTTGTGTACTAGAAAGTCGGTGATATATCGACGCGAGACGAGGTACTTGCCTATATATCGAATTGGGAATCAGAGCACCTGGCACTTTGATGGGTGATCGTTCGAGTGAGCTTATGAACTGTCTGCAAGGAATCTGACGAGGACTTCGTCGGAAGCCACTGTGGCTGCTTATCGCTGCTTATCGCCTGTGGCCCTTTATCAGTACCGATAAGAGTTCTTGAGGTGTGCTCGGTGAGATCGTTCGGTGAGCGATGACTAATGACACACGGACTACCATCTCGCTTCCGCATTCGGCTAGGAGGCAGGTGCATCGCCCCCACCCTGTTTCTCTGCAGTGGACCCACATCCTTCGGTGACGAAACGAGCACAGACAACAATTGTTCCAGTCCTTTGATAATTAATCTTTTCGTTTATTCAAGTTGTTCTGGCTCGAAGGCCTCTGCTGATATGTAAGAGAAAAAAACGCTACAACTAGTGTGTCTTTTTGCCTCCACCGCGAAACTCCATGCGTCGATCATCAAGACCGGACTGAAAATGCTACTGCAGCAGAAAGAAAAGAAAGTTTATCGTCAAGAATCGTAAAAGCATTACAACCCGTAGTCATTCTAGGTGCCTGGCCTAATCGACAAGCACTCCCCGAGTCGCCAGCTTCTCTGGTGTCACACTACTCACATACATTTGTCTATACGTCTGGCTTACTTGGTCTGCTGGACGATGAAGGTCGATGCCTGGGAGATGTAGTCCTGCTTTGAGAAGTAGCCGAGGTGGACGGTCAAGTTCTGGCCCGAGGCGCAGAAGAGATCCGTGTCGTCGCAGAAGGACGCGAACTTGCTTTGCAAGGCCTGGCATGGGCCGAGATCCATGCGAGGGAAGATCTGCGAGGCAATGGTCAGTCAACCGCGGACGGGGTTAACGATCGATGTCAAGAATACATACGCCATTCTTCTTTGAGGTTCCCTTGGCGAAGGGCTGGCCAGCGATGAAAGTTGGGTCGCCGAAGAGGACGACGGCAGCGACTGTTGAGCCATGTCAGCAACTGGTCATGACTGTCACGCGGGATCGAAACTCCGTGGACTTACTCTTGCTTCCGACCATGGGTGCCTGAGCAACAGTCGTGTTGAAGTTGGGGCCATCCGTGGTACCGCAGAGGGTATCAAGTGACACTTGTGCGCCCTACAGTACGTCAGACACAATGGCAACACGTCAATTTCACGGAAACCACATACCTGAGAGTATCCCATCAAGACGAGCTTTGACTGGGGGCACTGCTGCGCTTGCTGGTTGAGAAGAGTCGTCATGTTCATGACACCAGCCGACACAGAGGGCGGATACGGATCGAGTTGTGCCGGATACACCAACGGCGTGATGACGGAGCCGGGAATCTGCATCGACGCGTTCATGGCGATATTGCCCAAGAGACCGGCACCCTGCGCCTCAAGACTACCGCGGGCGACGATGATGTTGACCGGTGCGCAAGCGGCTGGCGGACCCGGTGGAGGAGGAGGTTGTTGTTGTTGGGGCAGGGCCAGAACCATGGGGACGAGGGCGGCGAGCGCCGACAGGCTGATTTGAGGCTGCATCGTGTGCTATGAGAGGCTGTGCTTCAACAGACTAGGTGGATCACGAGAGGATGTGAAATGTGTCCGTGTGTTTCCTTGGAAGGATCAAAGTCGAGAAGGAGATCGGAATGGAGAAAGAAGGTTGGTTGGCCCGATCCGTCCAAGTTCGTGGGGCCATGGCCGTCTTCTTGTACTGACCACCATCCAGAGTCTGGGACGAGAGAACGATCCATCCCTCGGCATCTCGAGAGTGGGCCACCACCACACCCTCCATGTGCTGAAATGGGGGGTTTGACATCCGCTGCCAGAGCCTCTTTTGGAATCTCTGATATCACAGACATGCAGAAGCACACGGGATGATCCCTGTCTGGTTTTGCTATTTGCCCTTTGGCAGGCAGCTTTCTCTTCCTCCCGAGAACACCCTTGACGTGCCCACTGTCCAAGCCACTCACGAAGAACCCCTGGAGAACTTCAGCGCGACTTTGTCCCGAGTTGGTGTGGATTTGCAACCTTTCCCCGATCGGGGCATTGCGTGAGAGAGACTGGGGATTGGGGGGATTGCGGGACTGGGGAGCGGCCAGTGCCATCTTGCCGCAGAGCCGGAAACACGCACGAGATGGGATGAAACTATTCCCAGAATACTGCGCCGGCTGGCATGCTGACTTACACACACACAAACAACTCCTACTCACATAATTCACACTGACTTGCGTTCTCTCTTTCGCATAGAGGCACACACAAACGCACAGCACACACACGAACCTTTATTTACAAATATCTGAACATGTGGGAGCCGACAAATACTTGTACACGAACACCACCAATTGGCTGGCTTTGATGTTGCCTCTCGGCTGCATATACGGGGCATATGTACTGAAATGCAGCAGTCAATAGCAGCGACCGCGGCCAAAAAGAAAAAAGTCTGATTCGAACATGAACGGATGGAGGCAGTTCCCATCTCCCCAATAACACTCTACGCATCGGGTGAAGACGCCCAAACCCTCCGCCCGTCAAACCAGGTGGCCTTGATCTCGCCCTTGAGCAGGCCTTGCGGCGTCCAATCCATCTCCGCCACCACAAAGTCCGCGCGCTTGCCAATCTGCAAAGAACCCGTCCGATCCTCTGCAAACACGCTCTTTGCAGTTCCGAATGCGGCCGCTGTGATGGCCTCGCACACGCCCAGCTTGAAGTGCTCGTTGACGACCACGTCGTACCCCGGTTCCCTGGCGGACCGTCGCGTCGTCGCGACGTAGGCGTTCTGCAGCGGCGCCCAGGGAGCCGTGGGGCTGTCGCTGCCGAGTGCGAGCAGCGCGCCGTGGTCTGCGAATTCGCGGTAGGCAAAGGCGCGCTCGCAGCGGTGGGCGCCAATGAGGCGCGGCCAGGCGCGGAGGATGGCCGGGTCGGCGTGGACGGGTTGGATCGAGGCCGTGAGACCCAGCTCGCCCAGGTGCTTTGCGTCCTCAGGGGATGCCATCTCGATGTGCTCGAGGCGGTGGCGGCGGCCCGGTGTGGCGTGGTTGGCGAGGGCGTTGACTGCGTTCTTGATGGCTGCGTCGCCTATCGCGTGCAAGGCGATTTGCAACCCGGCGGCGTCTGCCCTCGCGACCACGGGGCCGAGCCACTCGGCGCTCCAGAAGGGCGGGGGGGAACCCACCTCGGCATAGGGCTCGGACAGGTGGGCGGTGCAGGCGTCGATGATGCCGTCGGTGATGATTTTGATGCCTACGATGCGCAGGTCGGGGGAGGTGGTCTTGTTCAGCTCGTTGTGGAGTTCGATGGCCCGATCGACCTGCTTGAAGCGCTCCTCTTCGGATTCGGATGGTTTGATGAGCCAGTATGCGTGGATGCGCATGGGCAAGTTGGGTTCCTCGGCGCGGAGCGAGCACGCTGCGTCCCATGCTGGCTCGTCCATGGCCATCTCAATCAGCCCTGTGTAGCCTGATGCGTTGTAGGTCTGCACGGCATCCTTCATGGCGTCCATCCGATCTCGCTTGGGGGCGACTTGGGCAAGATGAGGCCACACGATGGTGAGCACGGCGGCTTCGCTGAGGAGACCCGTCGCTTTGCCCTCGGCGTCGCGGTGGATCTTGCCTCCTGACGGGTCCGGCATGTTCTCGATGCCGAGCTCCTTGATGCCGGCTGTGTTGCACCAGGTCGAGTGAAGGTCCTTTGTGTCGATGAAGATTGGTCGGGGGTCAATGTCGTCGAGCATGGTCTTGTCGACGCCGTCGGGGGTCATGGAGTGCATCCACAGCTTGCACATGATGCGCGGGACGTCCGGGTTGGCGACGGCGTATGCCTTGATGGCGGCGCGGATCTCCTCAAGTGATGTGCAGTTCTCGAGGCTCACTTTGCGCAACGACTGGCCGAGGAGGAGAAGGTGCACATGTCCGTCGATGAAGCCCGGCAGGACTGTCCTGCCCTCCAAGTCGTGTGTGGTGACCTCTCCTGATGCGTGTCTCGCCTTGAGGTCCTCTGTTGTGCCAATGTTCTCAATGATGCCGTTGGCGACGAACATGCTCTCGGCAAAGGTGGGTTGTGTCTCGAGGCCGGCTTCGGCGTTGTGCAGGAAGATGCGCCCATTGATGAAGAGCTCCCCTGCGCCTCCCACTTGATTTTCAACTTGCGCCATGACTGTGATGTTTCTTTCCTTGCGTTTGCGCCCAGTTTCGTACGCTAAAAATGCTTTGCGATAGAGGAAATCCGTTTGCGCCTGCGTGTGTCGTTGCAATGTGTCGTTATTGACTCGGGTGGTGTGAGAGAGGGATATGGTCGGCTTTGCTGGTGAGGGGCAGCCCGCCTCGCCCTGCGTCGCTGCGGATTGCGGACCGCGGGGTTCGTATGGTGGGGTTGCGCTGGCAAGGATCTGATAAGATCTGATATGAGGTCTTTTCCCCTGTCCGGCTCGTCACTTATCTTTACTGCCTTATCTCGGTGGATTCGGTCAAGCCGTGGTGAAGGATTCGCTTCACCGAGGTGAATGGATTGGCGCCTTCCCCTTCAAGTACTGCGTAGCGAGAAGCTGGAAATGGAAAGAACCGCGGGTAGTAATCTGGGCAAGTTTGCAGAGGGCCGAATAAGAGCCAATCGCGGCAACGTTACTTGCCGCCCTTGCCTCACTTGAAATGAGGCTATTCCGACTTCTTCGTTCCATCTCTAGGGATCCCGACGTCGTCGTAGTAGTAGTAGTAGTAGTATTTAACATCAGGGACAGGAGCCTAGCTATCTAACTAACTAAGCCCGATCAACCAGAGCGCCCTTTAGGCATATAATGTGCCGTACCGCTATCTAAACAGCATACGACAAGTCAGACAATCTATAATATACACTTTTCTTGTCGTACCTAAAGCAGTAGAGATTATTAGCTAATCCCTAAGGTCCGTTCAGTTCCAAAAAGCACGCCAGCAGGGGTTTCTTAACTCGGCAAAAGCGAATAGGCCTTAAGTAGCCCTACATCGTTCACAGACGACGGGCTATAACAAAAAGGCCGGCCCTCGCGGGCGTATTAGATTTATCAGTATTATCTCGAATATATCGGGAAAAATAAAGGAGGGAGAGGGAGGGTAGAGGTAGGGCTATAGCCCAAGAGGTATCGGTAGGTATATAATAAAGTATAAGGCGTGTTATCTCGGGCTCGCTATCCCCTCACAGGGAGTACGTTTCGAAGTACCGTATCAAGCGCTCGAACTTCTCAAAGGCGCCCGGATCTCCAATTAGGGCGTACTAATAGGCTTCGGTCTAGCCCTTCGGGGGCGGTAAGGGGCCCGGATCCTTTTTAGTCCCGGTAATCGGCCATAATACCGCCGTACGGCGGTTTTTTACGTAATATACTGGATAGGTAGGTGATAATTTCCGTCTGCAGTTATATTTAAAGTCCCCGTCGTGCTAAAAACGCTTATAGTAGGCGAAGAAGTGGCCATGGCTAGAGCAGGCAGCGAGCAGGTGGTGCAACAGTGGACGAGGTAGGTCTAACTCCGGTAGGCAACAGAGGGCGGCGTTAGTATTCCTGTAGCCAAACTTGAGTTTCTACTTAGATATATGCCACTACCTCGAGTAATATTCGCAGGCTCTAGCGCAAACCATCTTCGCTATTCCAGCATAAGAGGCCTACAGTAGGGGGTATCCCATCGAGTGCCAATTGGCAACAGGTACATTATGCCCAGTTTTGACCCAGTTTTGCCCCCTCACCGCGGGAATACATGACGGTACGTCATCAACCCCTATATTTTCCCAGCTGCGTTCACCACCACAACTAACATTTCTACAGATGGGCAACTGTCGCGATGTCCTCAAGCGACTCTGATGCGTCTGATTCGTCAGCGCTTTCACATATCACCGTCGCAGTACTTCCCGAAGACCTTGATAGCGCCTGTACAGCTCAATGTAGGCCCGAGAGGTGTGATAACGCAACTGTACGCCCACACGAATCGCCTCCGCTAGAAAGGGGCACACCGGGCCAATTCAACCCCCTCGACGTGCCCTACCGCGCCGCAACAGTACGGGGTCTATCTACTACCCCTTTAGAGCTTTTTCAGCAGTATGTGCCTTTGAGGCTGGTTGAATCGTGGGTACAGTGGACCAATGAAGCCGCAGTACGAGGCCCTGTTCAACAACACTCACGATCCCACAGAAAAAAGACGAGGTCAGGGTGCCTGCAGTGTGGAGTAGCGCTTTGTAACTCGGATGATTGCTGGTACCTCTTTCATAGTCAGAGTATATAGACAACAGAAGTATCCATAATCTAGGCTTTTTGGTTGGCTAGAAGAAGTCTTGGCTGTCTCCTGAGTGGTCAGTTCCCCTCAAGGGCATGTATCTGTTGCCAATTGGCACTCGATGGGATAGTAGCGGGAGTACGGCTCCCTCCTTAGCGAGCTTATCAGCCAATTCGTTTCCAGGTATCCCGGTATATCCGGGCGTCTAGTGGTATTTAATATCCCTTACCTGCTAAGGGTCGACTATCTCCAGCATAGCCGCTTGCGAGCTAGCTGGAGAGAGTCCGAACCCTGAGATGAAGTTAAGAACTCCAGTATTATCAAGACAGAGGTGGATAATAGTAGGGGAGGTGGCAGCTAGGTGCAGTGGGATCCCGACGTCAACCCTAAATACTAATCACCATAGCCGCATTCGATTCTCTCCTGGTATTTGAGGACCCAGACTCTACTGAAAGACGGGCTTGCGACTATCGACATTCTCTTTCACACCCCCCTCTGACGTCTTTTTGAAAGTCAGGCGAACCTTCTCTCTCAAAACACTCAAGAAGACTTGTCTCCACACTTGCTTTTCTTTGCTCTTTCCTTCTCAACCAGCCAGATTCCGAAGGCGGCTCTCAACTTCCACGGGTATTTAACCCCACCGATTCTCTCAGCTACACTTCCCCCAGACAACTTCAACCCAACATCTCCGTCTTCTTACCTTCCCCCAATCTCTTCGATACTCTTTCTTTCTTTTCAGTCTTCACTCGAACATTCTATCTCCTCTTTTCCTCACCATCAATATTTGGCGTCGCAATCAATATCCCCGGCGCGCAATTTTTGCGTCATCGTTCTGATTTTGCGCCCATTTGCATCTGGACAAGCAACTTCCTTTTCTCGACATCGTTTCATCATAGGAGCTCTATATGATATAAAAGATCACTAGCACTGCTAGCCTTCTTTCGATTTCATGAAAACCGCAAAAGGTAGCTGCGACGTCATTTCAATTGGGACCCATGGTAATTGCTCTGGCTAACGGGTCAAAAATATTTCAGGTCCCCATTTCTTCTAAAGCATCACCATTCACTTACTTACCAGTTACAACCTACATTGACGCTCGGAACGTTTCTTCACAGTCGCACAATGAACCTCAGTCAGGCAGTCATTGGGGTGAAGGAAGAGCAGCATGGCAACATCAAAACAGATGCTTCCATCAAGGAAGAAGTCGAAGTGAAGGGCGAGCGGTATGAAGACGTCACGGCATATGCGCCTATCAAGAAGCAATGGAGACCTCTGGAGCAGCGAGCTCTACTGACGTTCTCCTACCTAGAGAAGATGAGAAAGATCAGAGACCCAGATCTCTGGCAGCTATTTTACGAGAAGGTTCCGCTTTTGGACAAACTTCAGCCCGCTTGCGAGACCATTGCTTTCTCTCGTAAGCTTCAGCCTGCCCTGAAGACGGCAGCATCACACTGGGGTGACCAAATCTCCGATCTTCGTGATCGCGCGAAGCGGTCCCAGCAGACAGTCATCGGCGTTCTAGGCAATACCGGGGATGGCAAAAGCTCAACCATCAATGCCCTGCTGGATGAAGAGAAGCATTCGCGGATCCTGGCCTCGGAGGACTGAACTCAACTAATTGTTTCTAGTTTGCTTCCCACGAACTGCATGCGTGGATGTACCGCCGTCGCCACCGAGGTTTCTTACAACCATGATGAAGACCAAGAGAACCCATACCGCGCGGAAATCGAGTTCATCTCTCAAGATGAGTGGTCAAGGGAGGTCAACATACTGCTTATGGATCTTCACGTCGAAGATGCAGCAGAAAAGGATGACCTAGACCCGGAGAGTGATGCCGCTAAAGCTCAATCAAAGATTGAAGCGGTGTATCCGTCAATGACCCCCCAAGACTTGGCCAGCAGCACCTCAGCCCAGTTGGCTACCCATCAAAATGTCAGTGGCTTTCTGGGTACAACCATGACGCTGAAATGCAACAATGCGCAGGAGATGCGCGAGCAACTCGAGCCTTATGTTGACTCCAAAGACAAAGACGACGATACCGCAGCGTACTGGCCATTGGTAAAAGTTGTCAGACTTTTTACCAAAGCCAGAGTGCTCGTAAACGGTGTCACAATCGTAGAACTGATATGTCAAACTTTGTGGGCAACTGTCAGAGCCCTCCCGGACAGGGGCTAGTTAGAGGTATTAAGGAGTCCAAGCAACAAAGGAGTAGCTAAGATATATATATACAGCGCAGGGAGTACACGTCGAGGGAGGAGCAGATTTCAGTGATTCATCATTCTACCCCTAACTGCAGTTGGCCTCTGAGAGCTTCCACCCTGCGTCAACACCCCAACTTGACAGCAACCCGGTTGTATGGAGTGCTGCTAACAGTCGCTTTGGTAGCCCGACCACCAGGATTGGGATGCAGCTAGAGCTGCGGTAGCGAGCGAGTACATCAAGTCGTGTTCGGGAGTCTGGGTTGTGGCCCCAATCAACAGAGCCGTCGATAACAAGACGGCAAAGGACATCATGAGCAATTCCATCAAACGTCAACTCAAACTTGATGGAGCGTTTTCGGCTTTGACCGTCATTTGCTCAAAGACTGATGACATGACGATTAGCTCTGGAATGGACAGCATGAAGTCGAAACTGGACAAGAATACCAAGACAGCATGGAGCCAGATTCAAGTCCTTGGTCGCCGCATAACAGCTCTGGAGAAGGAGCTCATGGTCGTCCGGGGTCGGCGTAAGACATCTCGCGCCTCTACTAATGACGTTGACGCGGACCGCCCAGCCAAAAGAGCGCAATCCGAGTCACCAAACAGGCACGCGGAGAAATCGGCATTCGATACATCCACCGAACTAACCAAGGACTCCGTCATCGACTCTAACCCAAATGCCGAGAAGCATAAGCAGCTCGCGGAATTGCGACAGGAAAAGGGAGAGCTGGTGGATGAGGCCCATGCACGTCTGATTCGAAGACGCAACGAGATTTGCCGAGATGCCGTCAAAAGACACCTCGCCAAAAGTTTCAAAGAGTGAGTGAGCAGGGAAGCTTAAAGGCCATTGGAAACTTACTGACTACCCGTTTAGTCTTGATCGGCAAGATACATCGAAATCCAGTGGACAGGGCCAAGTTGTCAGGGAGTGCCGCGATTATGATGAAATGTCCGCATCGACTCCTGTCTTCTGCACCAGCAGCCTCGTATATCAGAAGATGCAAGGCCTCGTGGCCAGTGACGATGACGAGACTCCTGGCTTTGATACCGAGCAGGACACGGAACGTCGGAAATTCCTCAGCTACAAGCTCATGCTCAGAAGCTGACCGAAGAACTTCGAGTTACGAAGTACCAAGAGGTGCTGAATGGCATATGCCAAGTTCTCAACTTCATTGCAATTTGGGCGCAGGAGAGGGCCGGGACTACGGCAACAATTGATGGGGAGCAACTGAAGGGGATGTTGACACGCTTTGATGCCGTGAGTGCGCCTCCTTCTTAGTCGAATGAAATCAAAGAAATAACACTCGATAGAATATGAACGGCGAAGTCGAGGGATTGCCGCGAAAAATTGCACATGGCAGCAGAGACCATTCTGTACGAGGAGATGAATCGCTTGAGCACCGTAGCCAGTCGTGCGGCAGTACCCACCGCCGTTAGCTGAGGCTCTATTCATCACTCGACGCTGAAAGCAACGTATCGTCGCCACGGCATATGAGGAAGCACAATTCCAACGAAGATCTGTTGAAGCCCATCAAGGAAAACCTCACAGAGACCTGGGAATCCTTCTTTCAGTTCAGTCTCCCTGGCATACTCGACAATTTCACAGTCTCTCCGACCAACCTGCTAAGCACTTTCCACGACGATGTTATGAAGCAACTCGGGATTCAAGACTGCGATCATGATGAATTATCTACGATCGTCCAGCTCAACCGGCAGCTCGACCTACATAGACAAAAGATTGTGCGGCTTACCGCTCAATGTCGGATGGGAGTCGACGATGCTCAGAAAGACGCCAGCAGAGTGTTGACTACACCAGTCGCCGAAGAAATGGCTCCTGGCTATGAAGAGTGTGGTATGATGCGTGGTGAGTACATTTCGCGACACTTATTACAAGCTCTTGCTCTTGGAAAGGCTTATGAAACTCCATACTGATCTGACTGCAAACTTACACAGGACGTGGATCACTGAAAAGGCTTTAAAGTCAAGATCGAGGACTATATCCATATTCGAAAGATCAGGATGTTCCGCGACGCGATTGGAAACGTCAAAGACGTTCTCGAGGACGGCTTGAAGATGGTCCGCGAAGACATGGCGGCCGATATCAGAAACATTGGAGCGACAATGGATGGCGACTACATGCTTGCGCTTGCAGAAAAGCAAGAGTCAGGACGTCGTCGTGAGAAGGCGTCTAAGCGGGAGATTCTGGAGTTCTTGGAGCGTGCTGCGGAGCGATTTAAGTATTAGATGAGCTTGGGGTACTTCCAACTGAGCTGGGTAGGCAACTGGATCGGGAGGCGTCCACTGGGGACAATATTGCTACACTAGCATTATTAGACTTCATTTTATCTCGCATTCCATGGTTCACTTTGATCCAGAGGCCGATGTCTAACAAAACTGACCGATGGATCGAGCAATGAGACCATCTATGCGAACCGCGGCTCAGCCCACACCCAGTCACGGAACCAGCAAATGACCATTGTTTCTAACAGATATCCTCCATCAAAACGGGCTAGAAGTGACTAAGAAATTAACCCAAACTACCTTATGGCGTAAAGTACTTGTATTGAAAAACGTCGTTGGTTGCCTGCCTGTAAACCCATCCTACAGGGGCGAAGAAATTCTCATCGCCAACAGGCGTAGAGCAAGTCCGATTTTGGGAGACGACAGGTGAATTATATGACCTTGTGAAACGGTTATAAGGATACTTTTAGGCACCGGAGTCAAACCTTGAGTTTCATACGGAGGGGGGGAGAGGGTAGCCGAAAGGAGAGCTGCAGGGTCATGTGTGCAATAATGCGTGTGGTCAAACCTTAGCTGAATGGTTTCTCTCCTTTCGATGGAAATCTACTCATGAAAGAATGTTGTGGAGTGAAAATATCATTGTGTCCCCGTCTAGGACAGGCGTGACAATGAAGGGAACGACGAAAGGGACAATGATAACGAGCTCGGGAACTTTTGCGGTAACAACTACACAAAGTGTTCTTTGAATGCAGAGAGACATCGAAGAAACAACACTCTTTTCATCTTGATGCTACAAATTCCAATTCTTCAGAGTTCTCAAAGTGGTGGAGGGCCCCGAGCGTCACAAGGTCGTCAAAAGTCCGAAAGCGGTGTTGCGTAGAAATTGAAATGCAACGGAGGGTGGAGTATGATAATGGCTTCTAGGTCTTGCTGCCTTAAGTGCCTTGACCGAAGTTTCAGTCTGCTTGTGACTTAAGTTTGGCAAACAAACATAAGGCACCACCTTTACTACCTACGCCACCCGCCATCTCCGGTTGTGTAGTTGAATACGCTCCTCTTGACTTTTTGTCACGTCACACTCCAATCACATCATTACTTGCTGGCCCCAGTCTGTTGAGGGGGCGCTCGGCTGTTTGTACTCTTTTCAAGTTGAACTTTACCCTCTTTTTTTTTTGCCTACCTCCGATCACGAGCTTATCTCCCTTACACTTCTCGACAGCCTGACTGCGATCATACGAGAGCCTACAAGTAAAGTATCTCATTCATCGTATGCTCCAGGTAATTCCATCCAACTGTGTTTCATTTGCTCTCGATTGCCGCAGCTTTCTAACTCACTTAAGGACAGTCACCGATACGCTGCGGCCTAGCACGATAACATGGATACCAAGGTGGACGACGAGATGCAAACCAGAATCTGCCTAGCACGGCAAATTCGGAAGGAAATCGAACCCACGAAGTTGTCATGTTACTATGGCATCTATAGAGTGGGCTTCTGGACCATTCTCAAGATGCTTGATATTGCTCAGCTTCTGGACCTCTTGCACAAACTACAAACTCTTCCGAAGAAGAAGGAGAGGAGAGCGCTCCTAAATATCCTCGATTGTTTGCCGAATACGTTCCCGCAGCTTATCAGACTATGTAAGCAGTGTCACCCTAAGCATTTGAATCGTATCTTTAGCATGCTAATCAGACAACAGTCCTTAGTCAATGGGTACCTGCTGAAGAGTCAGGTAACATGGCGCTTTGGCGTTATTCTCAACTTGCAATTGAATAAACAAAGGTGAGTACAAAACTTTGCTTCTTTTTGAAGCCTACTAATAGTTCCGTCTCAGGCACGCGATCGCGATGGGAATTTATGCATTGCTACTGGAGCTTTCGACCCAGTCATTTGTCACATTGTCGCTCCCATCATCTGGCCCCCGGGACTGAGCGGCCTTATCATATCTATCCAGGTTTCTGGACTCTTCGGATGGGGTGAAGACTTTTACACCAAGCTCAGAGCAAAGCTCCTGCATAAGGAGGAGGGTAATGGGAGTATCACGACCCTGATGACGAACATGATCTGTCTCGGTCGCCGGTTGGAACCCAGCTGGTCCGAAGGACTCTTTGCTTTGGAGCCCATTGAGCCACTCGACGACGACTCCTCGTCCATGGCGACAATGCGACTGAGGGTTCACTGGCTGAGACGGACTCGGTTTACGTGCATGGCAAGCAGGATTGGAAAGTCTTTCTCCGCTGACCCTCGCGATGTGTTCGTTAAGGAGGACCATCAACTCTCGCCCGATCAAAGATGGGTCCGTTATCGAAATTTCGGCCGATAGCCAGGAGCAGCTTCCAGATAGGGACTTGCTTGAATTCAGGTGGCTGCTTATGAGACTTCACGCATTATCTGGGGCACCGGATCCCCGCATCTACCCTTACGATGACGTCGAGATGGGGAGGATGTTGAACCGGGGGGGGGGGGGATATACGATGACGACCACTCGGAATATTACGACGAGGATGAATCTGTGTAGCTCGGTTTTGTGGATGGCATGTCTCCATGTCAACGAAACATCGTCAGCATGGCTTGATCTCGGAATCAAATGCGTTGAAACACGTTTTCTCTGCAGATGAGAAAGGTATTTGATACAGTCCCGAAACACCCTGGACTTTCAACTACGTCTGACCAGACCCGGAAAGGCCCCATTAGGATATTCAGCGGTAGGTGAAAGAGGCACATCATGGAGGGCGATGTGAGTTGTGAGAACGGCCACTTGTTGGTCTACTTACACGCCAGTAGAGCTGGTCCGAGCTGCCCTTGACTTCACTGTCGGCTTGGTCAAGCCTAAACAGGTGGATCCGTCCCGCATAACGATCCTGGCAGCCCACGCCCGAGATTGTTTCTCGCATGATCAAGAAGTTGGAGAATTCACAGGCCCGCCAAGGAACTCCCCGCGCCTCAACTATCGATGGGTACCAAGTTCAAGAAAATGACATTGTCATCGTCATCATGGGTACTGCGTTTCCTTCTGGTGCTGGCTTTCCAGCAAACCCTCGGCGTCTCAAGGTCATGATGATTCGTCAGAGGTGTGGACTGGTTATCATTGGCGACATCAATATCGAGGGCCCCCAATAACGCTAACTAAGTCAACGCACCCACATTTGGCCCCCCCCTGCATTGGGCCACCCCAAAAATCCCTCCCAGCCACCGCATTATTATCCATACCCCAATGTACAAACCACCACAACAATTGCAAAAATCGTCCAAATACAATTATTTTTTGCACACTTATTTATCGATATGTCATGGTCGCATATACCTAAAATAAAGTTGCTCAGGCTCTTGAGGCTATCGGAAACGGTCTCTCTATCAAGAGGGCCTCGATTGAGTTCGGAATACCAAGATCAACACTTCGTATTCGTATGAATGGCCACCAGAACAGAGCAACGGCTTTCGCTGAGCTTCAGAGGCTTCCTCCTTGGCAGGAAGATAAGCTGGCTGAATGGGTTCGCATTCAGCACACTCTGGGTGTCGCACCAACACATGAACAAGTCAGGGAATTTGCTGAGCGAGTTCTGCGTGCCCAGGGGGATAACAATCCCATTGGCAAGAGATGGATCGAAGCTTTCTTGAGAAGAAACCCCTCAGTTAAGGTCCAGAGAAGTCGAACCATCGACTCTAGACGTGTTAATGGAGCAACTACTGAGGTAATTAGGCCCTGGTTCCGATTACTCGACATACCAGAGATCAGGAAGATCAAACAAGCCAAAAGGTATAATATGGACGAGACTGGTATCCTGGAAGGCAAGGGATCTAATGGGCTGGTCTTGGGCATGGCAGAGACTAAAGCAGTGCGGAAAAAGAGCCTGGATCGCGTGCCTGGGTGTCGATTATCGAGTGTATCTCAGCTGAGGGCAAAGCTATTAAACCACTGGTGATATTCAAGGGAAAGTCGGTCCAGCAGCAGTGGTTCCCCCTTAACTTGCCCCATTCGATGGTTGGAAGTTCATAGCAACAGATGATGGCTGGACTATAGACGATACTGCTGTTCGATGGTTGAGAAAGGTCTTCCTGCCCCGGACTGAGCCCCCCCCCCCCCCCCCTTAGGGGACTCGACAAGCGAAAGGAGCCTCGACTGTTGGTCCTGGATGGGCATGGGAGTTATACGACGACTGAATTTATGTGGGAGTGCTTTATAAATAACGTCTATTTGCTCTTCTTGCCACCACATACATCCCATGTCCTCCAGCCCCTGGATCTAGCAGTCTTTGGACCAGTGAAGACTACCTACAGAAAGGAGCTCGGAAACCACGATATAATAGACAATTCTACTATCGTTGGAAAGCGGCACTTCTTGGCCTGCTATACGAAAGCTCGTTTGGCTAGTTTGACGCCACATAATATACGAAGTGGCTGGAGGGCAACTGGACTATGGCCTATCAACATGGATAAGCCACTCACCAGCCCACTGATAATCGCCAGCCCATCCACACCGCCAAACAAGACTGCAGAGGCTGGGGCAGTGACTATCAATGCCAGACAGAAAGCTGGTCAGCTCTGTGGCCACTTGAAGCTATTCACAGAGCTCAGTCCAGACCACAACACTCGACGACTGCTGTTCAGAAAGATTAAAAAGGGCTTCAGTCAGCAGGCCTACCAATTGGCTGTCTCTGAGCACAAGGTTCGCCTGCTCCAGGCCCGAATTGACCGCATGGCACCCAGGAGGAAGAAGACTGTACAGACAGATCCAAATACCAGGTTCGCGACCATCGCTGACATACAGAGAGCTCAGGAGGACTCTGGCGACCGTCTCGTTAGTCCCAGTCGACTCGCAGGGGTCAAATCACCTAGTGAAAGTGGTGACTGTATTGTAGTGGCAGCAGAAGGTAGTTAATTAATTGAGTGTAGTTGGTGGTGATGTTTTGAGACTAAATTGATTGGGGTGGCCAAATGCAGGGGGGGGCCAAATGTGGGTGCGTTGACTTACTAGATAGCGTCAGTATACATAGTTATACGTACTTTCATAGGGGGAATAACTAATAAACTAACAATACAACCTTATTTTCCTTATATACGCCTAACTTATCAATAATCTCGGAATAGAGCAAACTTAGAGAAAGATTAGAGACGGATATAGTGACGTCATCTAGAAGTTGATAGGATAGAAGCATGTCAAAGATAAGGACAATGTAGCCCTTCCTTCCACCCATCATTGCTGTTCACATCATCTGAAATCAAGTCTTAGTCATTGTTCTCATCCTGAAGCTCTGTTCGGTGCAATAATTGACAGAGTGCTATTGTGATATCTCATCCGGTCCTTGGAGATATTCTCGCCATCGCCAATGTGGAATCAAGAGTCAGACCCAACGCCTTGATATCACGGCTCAAACATTTGCTAGCAAGTACTTCATCCCGTTCCACTGCTCAATCGCACTAGGCAGAATCTGAGCGGCAGGAAGAACAAAGCCACCACCAGCGGATCCAGAGGGTCTCAACTCGATAGTCCACGCAACCTCAGCACCAGCAGCGCCGGTAAGGTAGTCCGGAGCGCTACCAGTGGTGGCGTAGAGAGTAGAGCAGCTAGGTCCGTAGGTGAAGCGGGTGCCGTAGGCCTGGGCAATGGTGTTGGCGGTGCTGGTGGCGAGGGTCATCTGGCGGGCGTGGTTGGAGGCTCGGGCGGAGCAGTCGTAGCCGTAGGGCAGAAGGATGTACTGTCCGTAGCTGTGCCAGTCAATGAAGAGCTTGATGCCGTTGCCGGCGGCGAGGCGGTCGGTGTAAGCCTTCAGGGCGACCATCTCGGGGGTGTCGCCCGCAGCCTGGCCCTTGTAGGTCTCGGAACAGTAGTTAGTGGAAGCGCCGCCGGGGAGTTGCCAGTTGAAAGGCCAGTTGCTACTGAGTGTTAGTCATGCCTTTTGTAAGTAGTTGACGATGTGATGGACGCACCGATTGATGTCAGTACCGACGCAAGTGCTGCCAGACCTGACTTGACGGTTCTTGCGCCAAAGACGGTCGTTTGTCTGAGTGTAAGCAAAGCCTTGGTGAAATCAGCTATTTGTTCAAAAAGGGACGATTCATAGTTCGATCCGTCTTACCATCAGGGTTTACAATAGGCAAGATGTAAAAGTCATACTTGTCAAGGAGAGCCTTGACAGCAGCGTCGTTCTTCTGGTAGCCATCGATGAGCTGGTAGGTGAGGTACTCGACAACCTGTTCCATGTGAGCAATGTCGATTAGATCAGCAGAAGATCCGGTGACGTACCATGGTGGTGACCCACTCGCGAGCGTGGACGGTACCGTGCCAGTAGATGGCAGGCTTGGAGCCCTTGCCACCGCTACCCCACAGGTGAATACCTAGGAGGGAGCGTCCGCCGTAAGAGTTACCAGCGTTGACCAGCTCAGAGTTGGAGGGGAAGTTGGATTGCAGGTCGCGGATGAACTGTTGGTGGTCGGCGAATGTGTGGTACGAGTCGAACCACGTCAAGCTGGGGAGAGCCTGAAGAGAGATGTCGTCGTTGCCTGTTAACTGTCAGAGAAAGTGCTCTTCATTCAGCCCTCATTAAAGGTCGACATGGAGAATCTTACTCTCGTAGGGAGTGAAGGTGCCCTCTTCGGCGATATCAGCACCAAGGTCCTCGTGAAGGATGGATGTCTCGAGACCAAGCTCCTCGAACTTGGAGACATCGCCAGCGGGGATGGCGACGTCAAGGTGCTCGCTGTTGTCGAGATTGAATGGGATCGCCGCAATGTTGGCAATCTTCTTCTTGATCGACGCAGGGTCGTTGTGCGTGGAGATACGGAAGGCCTTGAAGCCATTATAGGTGATCTTCTTCTCGAGAGGGGCCACAGCCGCGGCGGATGCCAGCGGCAGGACGAGGGACAGACCAGCGAGGAACTTCATTGTCAACGGCAGACTCCAGGAGCGGCGTGGCAGTGCAGCGAGTTGAAGACTGGAGTGCTGGAGGAAAGCTGGGAAAGCGGGAGCGATGACCCGTCTCTATTTATGGAAATCAGATGACATAGCCAGCTCCAGCTATCACCACCTAAAGCCTTTCAATGAGCTATTTTGAAGTGGTGTGACTAACGGCTCTTTGCAGAAAGTGGTAGGTGTGATTGCCTCTGTCTTGGTCGTACTCAGATAAGCTCCGGGGTTGCGGCCTAACCCTCAGCATCCCCGTGAAGCTAAGAAACCACTCACTCGGCTTACAATTCCGTGGTCATGTTCATCAAATGGTCGATTGTACAGGTCTCAAATATTAGGGAAGCTGCCATGCGTCATTGGCCGCTGGCCTTCTCGAAGACATGGCCTGACCCGTTCGGGTGCCACGAGCCGGTCGTCAAGGGTCCGACCAGCCACTGCCGACACGACAGCTCCACCTCAAAGTAGGGATGAACAGTCTGGGGGAGCTTGCATAGCTTGGGCAGCTTCTACCCCGGTGAGGAGTTAGGAGCTGGCCAGACGCAGGTCGTCAGTCGAGGGACTGCGCTCGCTTAGTGCAAACCTTGAATAACATCTGAGTTCGACTGTCAATGTTATCTGATCACCTTCCCTATCTCGCCAAGATGAGAGATTAGCGAGCCTATCTCAAGGGCAAGACACAAGCAACTCCAGGACATCCGGCGGATGATTTGCTGTCATATCTGAATGGAATGAGGAAGGCGGGTAATTGACATGTTCGAATGTGCCAACCGACCCGGGCACGCAACTCGCACGCAACCCTTCGAAATCCTTCTCACCTGCCCTTAATGTTTAAGCTTAAAGCTCCCTCAACGGCGACGATTGGTGGCCAGCGTGCTAGTGGAACGAGCCGATCTGCATGGCCTGGGGTAGACCTGGTTGGACCCCCGAATGTCACCCCGCGCGGCGGTAAGGATCCAGTTCAGACAGAATAGTGACCTGCGGCTTCCTGTTGATGGTTCGAATTCGGGCCATGGGGTTCTAGAATTAACGTGCTCTTAAGAGCGGCAGGGACTTTTGAAGTTGTTCGTCAGTACAAAGAAGTCGCCTTATTTCTTGGACATCAACTTTCGGGATGATGCATGTGGCTACCGTCGGCCACTCTACCAAGAGGCAAGTGAAAGTTAGGGCGGAAGCAACTCCGCAAAGAGGGGAAAGGTTCACAAAAGGCAGCTCGATAAGATGTTGATGAACTGCCAAGGCTCTAAGACGCAGGCCAAGCACAAAAGCGAGTTTTCAGTCCGAATATCCCAGCTGCCAAGAGTTGCTGACTAGTAAACACGATTATTCAGTCCCAGCATCAGAGGATATGTCAAAATCCATGCGAATCTTCCCTAGTTGATGGCGCTACTTTTGAATCACGCGTAATCATCGCAGCAACCCAGCAGCTACCTGTCCATGCTCCCTCGCTCCCCTAACGGCATGGAAATAGCTTTCCAAGATCAAAGACAGTCTAAATGCAGACAGGCGGGAGGCGATTTGTGAGTCTTTGAGTTATATAGAGAGTAGTCCCCCTACATGGACCAACATGAGATTTCGATCAACCTTGCAGTGATGACTTTGTAAGTAGGTCGAGTCAACATTAGTTAATCCTCATCGTCGCTGATATGAAGGCTTGCCAAGTCTTCAAATATGACTCCCTGAGCCGCGAAGCGTTTCGTCAGGTACTTCACTGCACCTTGTCCT